AAAATTAGATCAACCGGAACATCCGTTCAGCAGTCCTACACATCAATGAAATTAAAAATGATTTGCTTATCTGCTTATCCAATCGGCTTGCAATCGGATTAGCCGAGATTTTCCAGCCTTTCATTCAAGTAGTAAACTTGGGTTGAGAGCTAATGCATAATGGAAGCCGGGTTATACCCCGCATTACCCCATGGGGTATGCTAAGGGTTCTGGAAAGTGAATTTTTTATATTCCATGTTTATAGAATAGATGCCAACTATAGGTCGAATAGAAATACTTGTTTACGAGGTAGGTAAATATGATTTCTCTCGGAAGGCATATTCCGGTTTCCATCTGGTTAATCCAGGCGTATAAAAGGGAAAGGATTTCCTATTCCTTTAATTTTTTAAGTATCTATTTGCTTATTCCTTATCCTCTGCAAATCCGCACCTGATCTTAATACCAAAATTTTTCCAATCAATATCATGGATCAAAGTAGTGATCATATAACTCCAGTACTTACAGCTCCTGGAACTGAACTATTATATGATATCAATAACCTTAAAAAATATTCCGAATTTCAACACGTCGCACATGGTGATTCCCATATTCTTCTTGTTCCTCAACCATCATTAGATGATCTAAATGATCCACTACGCTGGTCGCGGCTCAAAAAATGGGTCACTTTATTAAATGGTATCTGGTATTCTTTTAATGGTGCTGTCACAGGCCCTATTATGGCGGCTGGTATATAATCAATAGCTTTATTATTGGAAAAGTCGACTAAATTTATTGTCTAGGAATGATTCCCTTAACAAAGCAATTTGGAAAAACCTTGCAAGAAATCAGCTACGCGAACGGCGCAACACTTGTCTGTCAAGGCGTTTTCACTGTAGTTTGGATGCCGTTTGCTGTAAAGTATGGCCGTCGTCCCATTTATCTCATCTCGAACTTTCTTATGGGGATTGCATGCATCTGGCTTGGCATCTGCAGCAATAAGACGTATACTCCATTTATTATTGGACGTGCTGCCCTTGGGGCATTCGAGGCGCCTATTGAGTCTATTGTAAGTGAATTTATATCTAACGGTAATTGGCAAAAGTTATAAGAAAATATATAGTCACTTATTTCTATATAATCTCTTCAGTATAACCAATCATAAGCGTATACTGTTAAGTATTTATATTAAAGTACTAACTTTAGGAAGGTTCCCTCAACAATTACTGATCTCTTCTTTCTCCATGAGAGAGGAGAAAAACTGTCCATTTACGGGCTCTCTGTACTTGGGGGAAACGAGCTTGGACCTATGTTATCGGCATTCATTATTCAGTCAATGGGTATGGATTGGGCATTCTACATTGTCGCAACATGGATCGCCGGAAGCTTGGTCTGTATGTTTTTCACAATGCCAGAGACCAAGTTTATGGGCAAGCGTCCTATTATACACATCAATGATACCGTCAGAGCCAATCCAGGAGACAAGAGCGCTATGGAGCACGTCGATCATAATGATAAGGCCGGCATATCTTCAAATAATGAAGTTCATGAAAGGAGCTACATGTCGCAACTCACGTTTTGGTCTCGAGGAGACCCGCATGTGAACTTATGGAAGGCATTCTTTGCCCCTTTTATATTGCTAGCTTATCCAACAGTTCTCTGGTCTTGCATAGTCTATGGGTTTGCACTGGGTTGGAATGTCATTCTTGGTGCTAGTGTCGCCCAGCTTTTTGCACCACCGTAAGTATGCCAGCTTTCATCAATATACTTTGGCTGATATATATATATAGACCATATAATTTCAGCTCATCATCTCAAGGCCTTATATTTCTCTCGCCACTTGTCGGATCATTAATTGGTACCTACTTTTGCGGTTCATTCGCAGATACAGTTGCAAACTATTTCACCAAACGTAATAATGGTATCAGAGAGCCGGAGATGCGTTTACCAACATGCGTCATTGCATGTGCGCTTACATTCTTCGGAGCTCTTTTATCAGGATTAACTTACCATCATAAAACTCACTGGGCAGGTCCGATCGTTGGCTTCGGTATTCTCTCAACTGGTGGTCAAATGGGAGCAACGCTAGCAATGAGTTATTCTCTTGATTGTCATAACGAGCTGAGTGTTGAATTAATGGTTACAGTTGCATCTTTAAAGAGTCTGATTGCTTGGATTTGGACTTGGGTTATAAATGATTGGGTTATCAAAGATGGGTTCTTAACCGTTGTCATCATAATCGCTTCTCTGAATGTTATGGTTTATGGGTTGACGTTTGGTCTATATTTCAAGGGTAAACAAGTCCGGTTATGGCTTAAGAAAGCAGATCTTCTTAGCAGGGTGGGAGTAAAACAAGATCTTACATTACTCTAGTACTATGTAGCATTAATATTGAGACAGAGGAGTTTCTCGTAGTTTTTCTTGAACTTTTAAAATGGAACTCAATAATATATATAAGTCTGGAATTTCTTCATCTGCCACCCACTTATAAACAAGCGCTAGAATACGGTTCTGCGAAGGTATTTTGCTATATAGAATTTTTTGTTCTAGATAAATATCTAAATTTGATGTGTTAACGAATCCAAGCTTCATAATTGAAAATAGTGTACCTGAGATAATTTGTACTATGTCATGTCTATTGTAAGTTCTAGAGCTTTTAATAAATAGGCTGGTCAATCCTCTTATGCACGATTTTCCCCTCCTGCTAGGTGCTAGTACGTACTATCATCACTTCTGAAATAGTGTCCCCGGATAATCCGTATCCTAAAATACTCCTCGGAAGATCCGTACCTAAACTTCCGGGGTTACTAATCCAAATTAAATAAATACAAATAATAAGAGCCTCAAAAAATATTTAATATAACCCCATTATTATCATAAGTAAAGGGAAACGAGCAATGTGAAAGCATGGTTAATAAATTTTCCCTTCTCTGATTGCAAACCTATTAGTTGAACAGTATCTATATGACTGCTTTGGCTGCTATTACTCCAACAAGTACCACAGAGTTTACAGCTACAGAGGCCTACTTTATTAGTATGTCGAGTATGGAATCAGCCATTGTTACTAATGGTACTATGAATGGTATTGGATACCAAGATAAGAGCAGCAACAATGATATCGCTCAGCCTCGCCATGAAATACCAGTCCTGGTTATTGGTGCTGGTCCAACCGGCCTGCTAATATCATATCTTCTATCACAACTTGGGGGTATGTAGTCCGATATAACTACACTTACTCTATCATATTAAGCATTAACGAGTAGTTAAATCACTTGTTATCGAGAAATATCCCACTCGTTTACCTGCGCCGAAAGCTCACGCCATCAATCCCCGGAGTATGGAAATATGTCGGCAATTTTGTCTCGACACTAAATCAATTCGTACTCTAGGTACTGCTAGGCAAGATGCATTCTGGGTCAATTTTGTGACGAATCTGAGTGGCCAGAAAATTGGAGTGCTTCCCTATGAAAGAATGGATAAGAACATACTGGCTGATGTTCCAGAGATGATACATAATATCCCACAACCATTATTTGAGCAGTTCATTGCGGATCACCTTATACATGACTCTGGCGTTGAAATCAAGAAAGGCATACATTTTGTTTCATGTTCCCAACACGCTGGACGAGTTACAACCATTGTTGAAGAGCGAAGCACCAAAGCACGTTATTCAATAAGATCGCAGTACGTTGTTGCATGTGACGGTGCTAAGTCTACTGTGCGCAATTTCCTCGGGATTGAGTGCGACGGTGAAGACTCTTATGAAACAATGATGACAATTCATATCAACGCCGACCTACGTCCTGTTTTAGGTCCTCAGACGGGCATGCTTCACTGGATCATGGATCCTACGGTCTCTGGGTTCATCATAGGATACGACCTCTCTTGCAACCAGGTTCTTATTTGCAACTTCGACTCTCGAAAACACCCTGCGGAAAGTTGGACTACTGATTATGCAAGAAGTATAGTCATTGCAGCAATAGGTAAAGAAATACCGTTTGAGGTCCTCAGTTACCGGCCTTGGATTTTAAGTCGGAAGGTAGCAAGGAAGTATCATGATGGCAATGTTTTCCTTTGCGGAGATGCTGCGCATTCTTTCCCCCCTACAGGTGGACTCGGGTTGAATTGTGGGCTTGCTGATGTCCACAACTTGGCCTACAAGTTAGCGGCAAATATACAAGGGTGGGGTGGTGTTTCACTCTTGAAATCATATGGACTTGAAAGACGACATATTGCCGAACTATACTCCCAACAAAGTGTGAAGAATGGGAAAAAAATATTTGGTTTTCTCAAGACACTTGGACTTGCTGACAACGATAATGTAGAATTGGCTAGGAAAACATTGGTTGAAAGAGTCAATAAAGTGGAGATGCAGCCAAAGATCAGGGAAGGTGTTGAAGGCCAGAGGGAGCACTTTGACAACCTTGAACTGCATATTGGCTATGTATATGGGAATGACTATTATCCTCCTCACGCTTCGCAGTTTACACCAAAGTTCTTGGTTGGCGCGCGATTACCACATACTTGGATTCGTCCACGTCCACATCTTCTTGATAGCCGGTTGAAACCTGTGGATTTGTCCTATGTTTGGGAGTTTACACAACATGAACGAGATTTGCGACGTTTTTCTACTCTAGATCTGGTACCTAAAGATGGTTTCACACTTTTGGTCAGCACAAAGCGGAGTTGGTTTGATCGTTTCGAAAGAATCAAACAACACCTTCTACGCCATCGGGTCAAGATTCTCTTATTCATTGCAGAACAGGACTTTGAATTCACAATACTGGATGATGGTAAGAAATGGGCTAAAAATGCTGGATTTTTGGATGGAGGAGGATTAGTTGTTCGTCCCGACCAACACATCTTAATGCGGGTGAATGCTGACACTAGTGGCGATGAGATAGCCTCTCATATTCAAAGCCACCTCGGTCTTTAAGTATTAACTCACCCTGTAGCTACTCAGTCATTTTCAAAAACTATAGAATGAGAATATTTTACTTTTTCATCTGATTATCTTCTTTGGTATCTGAACTATTCTCAAGACTGAATGATCTTGCTTGAGATCTTATTTTAAGTTCACTTCGAGCTGTATATCGATAATGCATCGAGAGGCAAAACTCGCAGTCTACAGCCTATGATCCACTTTGGAGCTTTCCTTCGTAATCTGAAGGACAAAATCTTTCACGATATCTGCAAACTTCTGCGTTCTCGGGACAGTGTGCTTCCAAGGATGAGACACAACTTTTGCGTTCGCCAATCGAGATATGAGCCACTGTTGCCTCTCTCGCTGACTCTTTTCACTCTCCCACTCTTTTTCTCCATAAAATGCTAGTGCTGGAGTGTTGATTACATTTTCAGGCCCTCCCTCAGCATAGAAAAGCCAGTGTACTGTTTCGTCTGGATAGCGGTACGGATTGCCGGAAAACATGATTAAGAACTCGAGTGGCGGGTGCCACGGAGGTACGTATTTCTTAACTAGTGGGTGACATCTCCTCGATGGTTCAAGCATGGCTGCAATTGACGCGGCTGCACAGCCTCCTTGTGAAAAGCCAAGAACACCCGCAAATGGCCCATGTTTATTCAGAGTCTCTCCCCAAAGCGCCATTGTTGCTTCAATCCCAGTATGCTTTCGCAAAATGTCGTCCGTTTCCCACCAGCTACGCTCATCATCGCCTGTTCGATAGTCGTGCTGTCGTGCATTGACGTAGGGCGTATTCGAAATCTCAAATAACCCCGTGAGTGCAATGAATTCAAAACCAAACGGCTCTAGCGTGTGAACAATAGTATTGATGCGACGATTAAGAAATACCGGGCCTGACTGCGCAACACCATGCAATACTAATATTTTTCGGTTCATCATTGCTAAGTATTGTGTATAGTGAGGGTACGCGCTAGAAGTTTTAATGCGCTAAGGGTACCATGATATATCTTGTTGAGAGAGGTGTTGGATCAAGGAGAGAAATCCATGGAAGACAAGTATATTATATATTCCTAAATTATAAGCAGCAGAGCATCATGCTCTCATTTTGTGATGATTGGGAAACAACGCGAGAATAACTAACTGCAGAAAAGAAATTCCCGAGTCTTGAAGGTGCCGTCGGCATAACTCGGTACGTGCTCCACAGTTTCTCGGTTAAACGACTACTGCCTGTCCCTTCGTCTTGCCAGTATCAAAAAGCTGGCGATTCCACAACAAGCAGTTATAATTTTAGCCAATGAAATAGAACAAAATCATATTTCATTAATGAAAAAGCTGACAATTAATTTGCAATTATATGCACATATTGATTCTTAAAACTTTCTCCTAGCTCAAAGGGCTCGATGTTTTGTCAAACTCGATCTTCATTTCCTTGAGCTTTCTGACAGTAACATAATTCAGCGACATGTAGATTTTAAGAGACTTTTGAACATTCACCGTGAGCAGACTCTTAAGAATTCCAAAAAGCAAAATGTCTTATTGATGTCCTTAGTTTAATGATGGAGTCAGAACGGTCTAGAAAGACTAAGAACGCAAAGGTAAATATGTACCTGTAAAACCGAGGTGGACATTACTATATTGCATTTGTAGTGGGTATGATGAAATGGGACCCGACAGCGGCGACGGTAAAGTAAGGGCCGAGACATGGAGGTTCAGAGTTTAATATATGTATGTTTACAATCATAAATCTGGAAACTATACTCTACATGTCTCCTTCGAATTATTCACAGGAGAGGCGTGAATCAACCTTTCGTACTAGCTACAGTCGAGCCTCTGGGGCAGCACCCGAATCTAATGCCTCCGTTGCCATCAGCTGTTCAGCTACGAGGCCCGCCTCCGGCGAAGCTTCACCTGTGCTCGTCAAAACCTTCGCTGGTTGCACTTCAAGTTCAGCACCCATCTTCAGGCCCAGTTTATTTACCTGGTCAGGCATCTTCTTACTGTCCTGTACACGGACGTACGAGTTCTTCGGACCACTAACCAAGCCTTTTACAACCAAAATGCCCTTTTCGCTATCCGTCATGAGAACTTTTAGGTTCTGAACTGTGTGCATGATGCCACCCATACGACCGGCCATGCGTTTGCCCGGGTGTACGCGCGAGCCCGAACCTTGTGAACCACCCGCGGAGCCAAGAGTTCGGTGAGTAAGGGATTGACCATGAGAGGCTGGTTGGCCGGACATGCCGTGTTTCTTCATAACCTGTAGTTTGAGATGAGCAGAATGTTCATTTGCTTGAGCCTGGTTGACTTACACCAGCGAATCCTTTTCCCTTGTTCTTACTCCTACAATCAACATACTGCCCAACAGTGAACCAGTCCGGCTTCAGCTCGCTTCCAATAGGAACTTGAAGACCCTTTGAATCTTTGACTCTGAACTCAACGATCTTGTCCTTCGGGCTTATCTTGTAGTTTGCTAGATGTCCAAGTTCCGGTCTTGTCATGTTCTTCGGTTTCCTGTACCCACTTCCAACTTGCACTGCCCAATAGCCGTGCTTATCCAAAGTTTTGTAACTTATGACCTGACATCTGTCTACCTGGAGAACAGTTGCTGGCATGCGTCGTCCCGTGTCTGGCTCGTAAATGGACACATGGCCCTTCTTTATGGCTAGCAAGCCTGTTCGTTGAGGAATCGTGTATGATTTACGTTCTAGGACCTTAGACCTTGACAATGCCTCTGGCGCTCCGTGGTGTGCGGACTGGTCAAACCTGTTGGGTTTCGGGGGTGGTTTAAGGATGGACCTGATGCCTCTCCGCTGCGCTTGGCATGGAAGTGTGCGCAGCGGCGCGGGCAGTTGCAGGTAAAGTGCCGATAATAAGATATTTATTGGGGGACGAGGAGGCATCTTGGTAATGATTGTCGTCCGCAATGGATTGTCGGCAATACCGTTGCTGGATGCTTTCAACAACGCGAAGGTCGATGCGGAATTGGAAACTTTTTGCCAGTTTGGGAATTCAGTCAGGCGACAAGGCCTCCATCGGCAACACGTACTCTTTAATGGTTGAAGGCTTGCCATAATCACATCGAACGAACAGAATCACCACCTACAGCGGTAAAAACAAAATATATGTATATATATATATATATGTGTGTGTGTGTGTTTATGATATCTTGAAATTCATAAAGAGTCTATTCTTCTATGATAGAACTATGTCCGTCAGCACCAGAACCGTTCACAACATCACGCGAATTGGACCATCTCGGTAAAATTTCTGTAACGGGAAAAATTCCTCCCGTTCAGCTTTGGTTTGGTCTTGCATATCAGGTTGTTGTATGTTTGCGATCGTTGTGTCAACCCTACTCAGTGACTCTGCACAGCGCTCCATGTCCCAAAAGCTGGAATCATCTTAGGCTGCTTGAGAGCTATAGTGCGTCAGGATTTACCAGACAGCGACTGTAAAAATTGTAGTTCATGGCAGCTCCTATTCCAATTTGTGAAGCAGAACTCCACAGATTGCATAAGATCATGATATTATAAGAGCACAAGATTCTCTAGATTTCTTATATATATCTACCTTTAAGGAATTCAAGGTTCAAGTTCAGGCATGATTAACATACCTCGCTCTGCACCACAGAGGCTCCTTCTCCCATAGTACGTATATTTTCTTCGTGTTAGCCCAGTTCTCGCTAGTTTGTTCACACAATTCCAGGTCGAAGTTCCAGAGTACTTTCGACAAGATCAGACGTATTTCATGATACGCCATGCTGCACAATGTTAGCTAATCAATCTTCGAAAATCTAAGAGATGAACGCACTTCTTGCCTAGACATGCACGTGGCCCAACAGAGAAAGGATTAAGGGCTTGCTTCAAGTCTGATGCGTACTCGTTTTCGATCCATCTCTCTGGAAGGAAGGAGTAAGGATCTCTAAAATTCTTTGCATTCCGGTACGTTGCAAGATGTTGGCTGTAAACAATCGTGCCCCCAGGAACAGGTCTTGCATCAATTCTTGCTCCCTGTGGTGGAACAACACGAGGCAACCCATTTGACACAGGCGGATACATCCTTAAGCCTTCTTGAATGCAAGCATGCAGATAGGGTAATGCTTGCAGTTTCTCGATCGTAATCTCACTGTCGTCTTGAAAAGAAGATCGAATCTCTTGCGTCAGCTTCTTCAACTTTTCTGGATTCTTCAATAGATGAAAGGTAAGGCCACTCAGTAATGTGGCTGTAGTTTCGGTACCTGCAATCATGAATACGTCCGCATTCTTGTACATCTCAAGACGAGACAAGCCTGTACCATCCTCACGAGAGATGACAAGTCCCCAAATGTCTGGCCTGGCATCTTTTCTCGCAAGTCTTTTATCGACGCGGGACGATGAAAACTGTTTATGCTCGTTTCTTTTCTCTTCCAGGTGGGTAAAACGCAGAAGGTTCAACATTATCCATTCGAGCAGTGGAAAATAGCGAACGCTATGGAGATAGGCGCCAAACTTGAAGTTCGCGAACATTGCTCGAATCCATCCGTGATAGGTCGAATCTTTTAAAAGATCAAGCGATTCTCCAAATGCCAAGTCGCCCATTATGTCAAAAGTTGTAAAATTATACATCATCACCATGTCAAAAACGTAGCTTGGCTCCTCTTCTAGTGTGGTTCGGATATTCTCCACAAGACGATCGACGTAAGTCAGGAAAAGCGATTCTTGCATTTTCAGAGAACGGTCTGAAAATGCATTGGCAAAGATTCGACGCATACGCGAATGTGTCTCATCATCGCCGTTTATGATATCATGGACTCCATCATTGAAAGGATGGCTGTAAAACTGATGGAACTTCTGCAAGGTAGGCTCTCCGCCTTTGCGATGACCATAGATGTCTTTCCACGCATTTGCACTTGAAAAGCTTAACTCATTTGGAAGAACGCGTACGACCTCTCCGTATATCTCGTGCAACTTTACAATCTCATGCTGCAGTTCTCCCCGTAGCTGGCTAATGACATACGGCAGGCTGCTCGCGGCGTGAGACTTAGGTCCTGGGAAATGCCGCAGAGGGTGGAAAAAGATGTTGTATAGATACGTTGCGATTTGAAAGGTAACCAGCTTAAGAAGAGTCAGAATCAGTAGATTTTCAGTAAAGTTGCACTCACTACAAAGGTTAAAACGCAGATAAGGTTGAGCGCAAGTTGAGGGTGAGTGACTACCACTTCAAAAACTCCCATGGCCGATTTCAAAATTGACTGATGCAACAGATGATGATAGATTTGGAAGATTTCTGCTTCTCTTCTCCCAGAATTGCCATCGGTCAAAAGTCATTTTATACCTTCAAGTCGAGATATTGATCAGCATTAACAGGGATACTCGTACTTATAGCCTAATTGAATACGAAGTTTCCTGTGACAATCGCTTCAAGGCACATGCTTGGCGAATGAAGCAAAGAAGAGAAGATCCAGCAGAAAATTAACTGTGATTGGGAACATTAGCGCTGAGAGTCTTTCCGTGTTGGATGCGATCCGAGAAGCCGAAGACATAGCCACTTGCTAATCGCATCACGGTGAGGATAACAGTTCCGAAATGATGACGCGGACACAAGTGAGCAAAGTTCAAGACCTTGTCGGGTTCTCTCCTCATTATTCGCAAAGCAACATACGTATCAAAACCTTCTTGGATCCTAACTATGGATATCATTAGTCATACTCTCTATCGATCTAGGCAGCAAAAACACATTCTAGGCAACCATTCAAGCCGGATACACGATTTTGGAACAGCTGTAAGAGATGCCTGATCAGACTAGAGCAAAAACTCACGCCTGCGTGTTTCAGCTACACGTCTTTACCTCCCCGTCTCCACGAATTATCTTTACGAGCGCTTGAAACACTGTAATCCCCATGACAATAAAACCAAATCCAACGCATACAAATGCGAGACCAGTTTTCCAGCTCCTACTTGAAAGTTTAATATAACACAGAGGCGGTAATATGTATGCCAGAGCACATGCACTTGTCGCGCCAATGAGCTCAAAAACGCCACCCAGGTCACAGGTAAACAAAGACAGCGTCATTGCTGTTACAACGAGTGAAGTCGTGAAGATCATGTGCTTCGCGTAGTCAAAAGGTTCTTCAGGAAACCAGTAATTCATCATAACCTCTCGGCAGACAAAACACTCGAGTGGCAAGGTCGTTAGCATGTTCAATCCAAAGCAACTATTAATGGACTTAGTACTAGCAGACTCAGATTGAAATGCGACTAGTACTTACAGACGCGCAATGTTAACCATGATGTTATCCCTGGGAAAATTGTTCAATACATTGCCTAATGTCTTGCTGCCGAAGGTCAGGAAACCGGCCATTGCCATGATAAGGCAAGCCAACATGCTGACTCCTGTCGAAAAGTGTGTAACCTTTGCAAAGCGATCTAGCGTTGGCTTCTTTAACGACCCGTAAATCAACAGGCTATTATGGTGACAAACGAATGCAAAAGATATGACACCTATCGCTTGAAATAGTCCGGAATTAATGAGCAGCGATCCCTTAAGCTGACCTCTCGACTCTGGTGGTACTCTATATCCTTGGGTGATGATTGTGATTAGAATTACAAGCATGCTGACAAGGGCGAGAGCGGACGCCTTCGCCAGCTGCGTCGGGGTTAGCATTCCTTCTTGGGCCCCTTACGTACGACGTACCTTTGCAATATCTCTATAGAGGGATAGGGGATATGATATTCCCAGCACAAAGAGAACGATGACGGCGCGACGATCTGTCAGCAGCCATAGAAAGGGCATTTCCTCCAGCTGAGGGAAAAAACCCCGCAAAACATTCGGGATAGTGTCGCCAATGATGATGCAAAACGCTAGCATTCCTCCGAACGCAAAGGCCCATTGCGCCAGAGAAATGGCGATCAATCCGGGGCGACCGTAGCAGTGTTGGACTGTTGTTTGAAATGAGTTGGCGCCGCTCAGCTTGGAATTGATGACAATGAGCTGAATAGTCCAGTCGACGATCACGGTGAGTACGACTAAAAGGAAAATGCCGGCGAACATGCCAGCCTGCCGCAAGGCATACGGCTGGCCGATTATGCCTGCACCGCTGGTTGTCGCTCGTTAGCTTCACGATGTTCCAAGAAGATGACTGCACCTTCTCCTTACATGATGCTATTCGCCATATTCATAAATGCGGATCTCATACCACTCTTTGGTCTCGCGTTCTCCAGCAAATCATCTAGGTTCAAGTCGCTAGCGACAGTGACCGAGGGAGCCTCAATGCCCTCGAGCAAGGGCCTCCTCTGCACTCTTCCAGCGGCATCATGGCCCATGTAGTCTTGCTCGTCCATCCATGCTTGCGACGCATTGCTTTGTAAACTCTGCCTGGGTGACAAGGTTCGAACGGTTGGCGAGTCGTCGAATTGCACTCGATTCGGCGTGCGGGGAGTTCCATCCGGCCTGGGCTGAGCCAGCGAGCTCTGCCTTCTCTGAGTTTGCACAAGCGGACTGGGACGCCTGCTGGGGCTCTTCGAGTCTGCCTTGGCTACCACGACCAGCTCCGAGTCTTCAGAATCGGCAGAACCAGACAGCAAGCTCTGTGCCTCCTCAGCATCGTTCGACACCTCTTTCCTGGCCACTTGAGCAGCCTTCTTGTTCTGCGACATCTGTGCTGCTCATGGTCCGAGTGCGTAGTGCAATCTGATGCAGATTTCGTCGTCAACAGGGGGCACAGGTAGACGAATGATCCGAAAGGTGCGATTCTTTATGGAGATGTAGATAGGAACAATCGTCCCTTCAAATGCTGACACTTCCGCTTTTAAGGCAGGGGCCCTGGCTTTGCGAACTGTCCACTGGCCGATCTCCCGCCCTAACGAAATTGGACGAAGCCTACACGTTTGCGGGCTGCTGTTTTGAGCCGCGTATGTTCAAGCCGACCTTTTTCAATCGAAATTTTTGATTTGGCTGGAGTCCTCGTCCAACAGCAGAGCCTCGTTTTTTTGCCCAAAGATGTTGCAGTTCTTTTGCCGTTCTCGTTGCAGGATCCTCTTGCTGAAATGTGGCGTCGTCACCCCATCTAAAAAAAGCTGAGCTACGCAACTAGCAAGGAGGCCCATCTCGATTCCGACACCAAATGCGTAGTTTATTTAGTCTTCGACTTGCTTGTTCGCACTGCACTTGTTCTTCTATTGCTATTTACTCGTCCTTATCAATGATGATCTGCCCCGTCTACTAAAAACCATGAGCTTAACCTGTCCTTGCTAAGTGAGAAAGACTTACTATACTGCCAGCTTCCGGCCTTCTCAGCTCTGTAGCCTTATCAATCCTTACGCATCTACTGCTGCCTGCCATTGTTCATATTCGTGAGTATACGTCACAAGAACCGCTTTGTTATCTTAAGCCCTTTAGCTCCATGCGTGATTGATGATGTGGCCGACTTTTGTCTCACTAGGAGTAGCGACTTGTGAGCTTCAACAATCCTTCTATTTGAGCAGACTTGCTTATCCTGGATTTGTCTCTCTTCAGGAATATCTGATCCTGCAATGAAAATTGTCTTCTGTCGTAATTGTACCAGCTGAGGAGGATACCCAGAGGAGAAGTGATTACGGTTGTCCAAGTGATGAAGCCGTCGGAGCAACGAACTCGGGTTTCCCCCTTAATTGCAGGTCAACCAAATGTATTAGAGAATGAGTTCCGTTGGCGTGATTTGGGGAACATGAGATGCCAGCTCATAACATCGCCCTTGTAATGGGATAACTCGAGCCGTCAACGAGCATTGCTTGTCATGTACCGCAACGCGCTAAAACGATCACGAAGTGACGTGGACCGGCAAGTACTCAAAGGTTGCTATGGATTCGCCCTTCATTATCACGTATTTTGAGAATCAGCAAGATATTACATCGGGTATAATTAACAGCATGTGGTGAGGCGATGCAATCAAACGCTCAACAAAGAAAAGTTGTGGTGCTAGACACAGCGGGGAACTGGTCAGGCACTCGATAAAATTCTTAGCAATGATACAACGGATATGAGAGGCCACAAGTGTGAAAGACCTGGGCGCTGTCTCATTCATGGGCCATCGTCATGCAGAGAGCAACGCTCAGAGCTCGGAAGCAGCATTCTCAGCTACCTGGTCCTCGAGAACCTGTCTCGCTTCATCTCTCTTTCTCTCTCTCTCACACACACACACACACACACACACACACACACACACACACACACACACACGTCAGCAGACCCTAACTTCAGTTATATAATACCCGCGTCTGCTAGTACGCCTGCTCCTTCATGTAATTCAAAAGCTTAAACCACTGACGCTTTGCTTTCCGTGCATGATTTGCCCAACGGCGTCTGATCAGCCTTCCGTCTTGTTTTCTAATCACAAACACAAACACTTTCTCTCGTCTTCTTCGCTTGCCATGTCATCTCCAAACACCCAGAAACAGGCCTTGCTCGACTCTGAACTTGCAAATCTCGCGTTTAGAAGCACATTGGCGGTCCGCCGAGCTGCATTCAAAGAAGAAGTGCCACGACTTCCACGGCCAACTGGGCCGCAGTCATCTACTGGCACACAATGCTTCATCACGAGTCCGAGCACGAGCGTACGTCACGCTGACTCAAGTTACAGAAATTTGATACACGATTCGAGTACGTATTCACCCTTTTGTTTTGCTTTTCACACCTTGGCCGCCGTTGACACAACCAAGTCTCAGTCTCTCGGCCGTCCTCTATTACCATTCGCGCTGCTGTTGAGCCCATATCTGGCTCAGCCTATGCATCTCCAAGGGCGAGGGTGCCACGTTCTCCTGTTCAGTCGAATCTTAGCCAACCGGAGCAGAGGCCTGGCAACAAATTCCAGACGGATTCCACAAATCGGAAGAAGCCAAAAAAGAAGCAGAAGAGCGCTAGCTCCACGCTATCGACGAATCTACCTCCGCCGCCGTCTCGTTTCTACGACGAAGACGGTAACTTTCGCCTGACTTCAGAACAGCAGACAAAAAAAGGTGTTGGTGCACTTGGTTCCGCGCCGACACGGAACTGCCTTCCCTTGACCTCACGCAGCAAGCCTCCGCCCAAGTCTAACGGTGAGTAACACTATCACCAATAGAGACTCTCTCGCGTCTTGTCTAAACTGTAGCCAGAACGGAAGAACTCCAAGCATTCATTTTCTGAAAATGAGCCTGGCTCTCCTTGGTATGAAGGCATCGAGAGCGACGAAAGCAAGACGCTTCTGATCTAACAACCAGGGCTTGAAACCCAAGAGTGCTGGAGACGAGTCGCTGAGCTCAAACTGCCGTGCCGTGTTCGATTGTATCGACGAGGTAAGATTTCCAGAAATAAAATATATGTTAGCATAGGCTTAGAAACAGTAGCAAAAGAAGCTAGGAAACAAAAGGAAAGGAAAGGAAAAGAACAATGGAAAAAAAAGAGGAGAGAGAGAAATTCGCATTATCACTAGGAAATGCAGTCAATTCGTTTCTCTGGGTTTCTCTAAATCTTGGCGAACGACGCTGCAGCAGTGGCTTTTATGTTCGTGCAAAATGTTGCGAATACCAGGGATTAATGTGAACCCTCATGGCAGACGTTTCTCACGTTGGACAAGACCGTTCATCTTTTCCTTTTCATTCGGACGTGCCCGAGCAAAAGAAGCTCTGCTGAGATATCTAGCGTGCCCGATACTTCAGGAAACAAATGAAAGAGGGAGAATGAAGTCTAAGACGGCGTTGGTAGCATCAGGAGACTGGTCTCATCTCATCTCGCAGAGTGTGCCAATGACGGGGGCATATTCCTGTCATCAATGCTACTCTTCTCCTTCCCGGTTCTCATCCTCTTCCTCGTCGCTCTCATCGGCATCAGCAATGGCATCCTCACCATAATCCTCGTCCTCACTCGAGCCTCCTTCTTCAGATTCGTCCACATAATCTTCTTCCATTTCGTCTTCCTCGTCTTGCAGCTGTTGTTCAGCCTTTTGCAACTCTGACATCTCATTGGCCTCGCCGTGCTCGGAAGATCTGCCGGAATTATCACGTCCACTCGACGTGACAACACTATCGGAAGTGACCGTGCTACCTTTGGGACCACGAGGCTTGTTGACATCGTATACTTTCGCCTTTCTGTTTGCAGCAAGAGACGCGTCGTGCAGATGGTGACGCTTGACATATCCGTCTATTCCCGCAAAGTCGGCTTGGTCCAACATGGAGAATTCAATCTCTTCCTCTTTGCTGCTCTCCCCTGGCAACGCGAATTCGACAGAGATGTTGAGATTGAAGGTTCGTTGGAGAACAGATGTGTAGCTCACACTTCTGATGGATGAAAATGGCAGAAACAGTAGTGGCTTTTTGAAAGCGAACAAGATGCCCTGCGACAGGAAGAACAGGAATCCATCCTTGGAGCCACGATGGGCTTTGACGTGGTACGCGGGTTCTCCCTTACGCATTACGTCTGGAATTGCCGACTCAAACTCGTCCGAAGACGGAAGAATGACCTCTTTGCCAAGACGGGATAATTGGGCATTGAGAAGGCTGACGGTGTGCTCCGGCTCCTGGAGCGCATCTGTATCCTTAGGACCTGGTTCAAGCGTCATCCATACTATGGGTTCTGGCGCCCCCTGTGTAGGCGGTAGGAGCCCATTCCCGCCTGTGGGAAATATGATAAAGTTGTGTTGCTTCTTCGCCTTTTCAGGAACGGGCAGAGCGAAGACTTGGTCGATGTCTTGCCATGAGACGCCGAACTCAAACTCGCCTGCCACATTCGCTGCTCTTATTCCTCCATGCGGGGCGTCTGTCCACTCCAGACGTAGCTTCTTGCGCTGTGGAATCGAAAAAGACACGTCGCCTGCAGTGTAAACGGCCGTCCTACTACGATTCGCCCAGTCTGCAGTGCTTCCATTGGCAGCCCCTCCATCTTCCAATCTGCGTTTCTTTGATAAGTGCTGTGCGTCGGACGGTTGTGTCGAACTTGCTTGCAGCTGCTGTTTGAGGGAGACAATGTAATTCGAGAGGTCTAAGATTAGACGCTCATCTGCTCGTCGTCGATTAGAACTTTGCTCAGCCAAACCTTGTTAGAACAGTACCTGTGGCTGCCAGAAACTGTAATCGCTGGAAAAGATCCGGCCTCTCAGCAAACGCTGCCTCAAATTCAGGTATCCTCTTTGGTTCTCGCACAACAACTGGCTCTGCTTTCACCACCTTTGGCAAAGCCTTCGGCGGAGGGGCATTAAATGCAGTAAAAGACATGAGTGTCGGGGGGGTCTCCTTCGATATCAGTGGCCTTTTGAAAATTCAGCTATAAATCTCAATATTCGGTGTTGTTGTTATAGTCATGCCCCAAAGCCAATTGCCTGACGTCGACGCGAAACGCGCTGCTTCTGGGATTCAATCGTTGAGCCAGCCCATGATTGGCTGTGAGCACACAAGCAAAAAGCCTTCACCACGACCTTGCTTGGTCCTCTGCGCATACAGATCGATGTTCTCGCTGTCTATCGTCGAGGTCACGAAGTACCTTTTTGCATATGAAGGCCTCTCTCATGCATGATTCTGTAGATTATTTTCGTAAAAGATCATGCGCATGATTTACACGCACGAGGCTCGTTGGCGAGTTTGGTGTAGACTCAAGATACTAGGCCGTACAAAGGCGTCCTATTCGGTTTTTTTTTTCGCGCATCACGAATTTCCGTAGTCATCAAGAGTTTCATTCATACCTGCGAGATCCAACAGATTTGATCTTCCGTGGCACAAACAAGTATAGGCAGTGCATAACCGCGATGCCTGATTGTCCCGCAACGGAGTTGGGCCGGACTTAACCTTCAGACCGTCCGATAGTCTGATGGAACTTGAAGCGTGTCATGAAGGTTATTGCACGACAAGTATTCAATCCGATAGTCGTTAACTTCTTCGCACCCCGTAGGCTCATTGAATCAATATCTTGCACTGATTAGGCCGATATGACGGCGTTCCACTTTGTAGACACTTCCAAAACCGACCGCCTCTCGAAGCGGCAAGCTCGTAGCCACGCGATGAAAGGAAAGAATCTCGGGAAGAAGATTGAACGACGGTCTCGCTTATGTCATTATCAGACAAAGGTGAAAGCGAGAAGTTCGAAGTCCCTCAACGAACACAATAGCTGGCCAGAAACGGCGTTTGAATCGCTAGGAGCTGTCATACCCGACACATTGGTGGCAGCTTCGTTTCCTCTCGACTGTTCATCTGTGAATCGCGCAGTCATCAATCAATGTAGGACTCTTTGGCCTGATGTAAGTACATAAAAATGCAGCTGATGCAACGCAGTCTTATCCGTGGTGTCTGATGCTCTTTATCCCGACGAGCTCTGCAAATGGAAGACCAGCACAAACGTGTATTGGCTGCAAGTTATGTTCTTAGATCGTATATGTGGGTCACATCTTGGTTGATTGTCCTGATGAGCATGTTGGCTGACTTGCCATTCTAAGCATTCCACACTTCGATCGCGGTCATGGCTACAATGAATGCGTTCTTCTTCAATTACGAATCGCTTCCAATGCAAATTTCTCACCATCTGAGTCAAGCAGTTCGCTTGGTCAACGAACAAGTCAAATCACTTGAATTCACCGACTCTACTCTGTCCGTCGTCAACTTCCTCATTGTTCAAGGTTTAGTTCAGGAAGATTTGGAACGTGCAGCTATTCACCGAGAAGGCTTACAACGTATTGTCGAAGTGCTCGGAGGACTCTCTAAACTCAAACTTCATCCTACTCTACTTTTGAAAATTCACAAGTATGCCCCATACCATTGCCCACTCCGTCGATCCGCTAGTTCTAACTCCTTGTTTCGTTTGGCAGAACCGATATAGACCTTTCGTTGCACGATGGCTCGCCAACTCATTTCTACCGCGATAAAATGGCTGAAATAAAGACAACTCTCCGCGAACGAGGTTATGTCTTGGCCGATAAGTCAGTTCCATTCACCACCAGTCTGTCTACGACTGCTCCCGAACTTGCTGGCATACTACAGGATACAATTTGCATCACGGCGTTATTTAATGACAAAGATGTCGACTTCAAGGTCGACCCTCATACACTTGCGGAGATTACGGTATCCATCGGCTACCGCTTATTGAAATTCAGAACGCTGAATGATACACGCCAAGACAACGCATTGGAAGCAGCTTTTCACATTGGCATTGCAACGTTCCTCTCCACGCTCTACATACAGTTCGGGAATCGTCGCTTTCTAAAGTATCATCTCGTAGGTACGCGTCTATGTGAGGTCATAGAAAATGGTCTGGGCAAAGAAAATGCCAGTGTAATGCTTTGGTTGGTTTTTCTAGGTGGCATATCTGTTCTCTCCAATGTCGACCGCGACTGGCTTACGCGAACTGTGCATGTGGTGACACAAGCACTTCGTATTACAACGTGGGAGGAAATTCAGGACCACCTGCTTGGTTACCCGTGGGTTAGTGAACTTCATGACAAACCGGGAATGGCTGTGTGGAAATCAATTGCCGATCTTTCATGACAGTTTAAATCAAGAAGTGGAAGACATGTTCGGAATTACCATGGACTTTGACGGCAATAAGTTAAATCCAATTAGAGAGATGTTAACCACTGACCTAGAGCTGAAAGCTCCTCGGGAGACATTCTAGGTCGTTTACAAAGATTCTGGCCAATAAGAGAAGTATACCCAAAAGTGGACTAGTCCTTCAGACAACCCAATCATGCCTCAGGTCGCTCTCTTCAGCTCCTCCGGATTGCGATCATCAGAATTGCATGGCGGCATCAGGCTTATCGCCGTTGTTTGAGCCGTTTGGTCAGTTATCGCTATGGAGAAACCTCGTGCCGAAATGTCTCGCGGTTCAGTAGAGCTGTGTATAAAAGGCGGCTTGCCCTTATTGTAGACGAAGAGAACAACTATTATACTCAACAGATTATTTATGATCAAAGAATCTCTGCTTCCATTAATATAATGCCTCAGTTACTAGGAAAAGAAATTGGACCAGTTGGGTTCGGCATGATGGGCCTAACCACCAGCTCACCCCCGATTCCAACCGAGCGTGCCATTCAAACGATGCGTGCCGCCCTCGACTCTGGCTGCAATTTCTGGAATGCCGGTGAGTTTTATGGCACACCGGAAAATAACTCTTTGACGCTGCTTGCCGAGTATTTCAAGAGATATCCAGAAGATGCTGGCAAAGTTGTTCTTAGCGTCAAAGGTGCGTTTGACATTGAGACAATGACACCAAACGGAACGCCAGAGGGGATCAAAGCCAGCATTGACAACATCTTGAAAGCTTTGGATGGAACCAAGGCAATTGATATTTTTGAATGCGCCAGAGTTGATCCCGAAGTGCCGCTGGAGGTCACGCTGAACTATCTCGAAAGAGAATACGTGCAAAAGAAGATCATCGGCGGTGTTGCGATGAGCGAGGTGAGTGCAGCTACCCTGCGCAGGGCTGCACAGATCACCAAAATTGTCAGCGTTGAAGTCGAGTTCAGCCTGTGGTCGACTCACGTCTTAGAGAATGGAGTTGCCGATGCTTGCACCACCCTGGGCATCCCCTTGATCGCGTGAGTAGCATCAAACGACTCAGGGCGATAAAAAAAAACGCATCCATGTCTAACATCTCACAGTTATTCTCCGATTGGAAAAGGTATGCTCACCGGGCTAATAAGGTCATTCGAAGACCTTCCCGAGAAAGACTTTCGTCGAATGTACCCACGTTTCCAGCCTGAGAATTTTGCCACAAACTTACACCTGGTAAACCAGCTCCAAGAGCTGGCGAAGCGGAAAAGCTGCTCACCCGCTCAGCTTGCCATCAGTTGGACATTGGCGATGAGCAAGAAACCCTCCATGCCAGTCATTGTCCCTATTCCCGGGGCCACTCTCGATGCTCGCGTCCGCGAGAACGCGGTTGTCGTTCATTTTACTGCCGAGGAAATGGACGCCATCGACGCCCTTCTGGCGGAGGCGACTGTAGTTGGCGAGAGATATCCAGCTGGCGTCCCGATCGACGGCTAGAGACTCCGCGAATCGACATTTGAGATGAGCGTGTGTAAATAGTTCACTGAACAACGTCGCTGCGAAGTCTGCCGAGATGAGATTCGCCCAAGGTAGATATGCGGCCTCTTACTTTGCCCAAGTTAATCCTTGGCTTTAAATTTGATCAGAACACAACGCAACGAATTGCACCAGTGTCGGTGTTTTTTTTTTTTTTGTTTTTTTTTGTTTGGGTTCCTCTTGCAATCCATCAATTGACAAGGAGCTTTTGATTGGACATTCCAGTTACTCCCGAGCCTGCAATTGTCTGAATTGGAATCGTAACGGGCAGAGCATCCAAGGCCTGCGTGAAAGGCACCTCTACGTTGAACCAAGCACTGAAGCGCACGGAAGAAGATTGCGCGAGACCGCTCGTCAGACTTTCTCCGTAGCAGTGATCCATTCAATTTCTCTGAGAGCAGTAATGGCTCGGCTGTGTTGAGAAACAAAAGCCAACGTTTGCAACCAACACACCCCAATGGCGCCAGTCGTCCCCCTAAAGCACCATGGTTCACTTGGGGAATCGACTTCGTCTGCCTACACGGAGAATTTCATTTAAGGCTGGGTGAGTGAACCTCGAGTCATCGGGCTGTTCACAGGGATATTAGTTCGACGGAAAATTCAGCGCGATGTGCGGTGGCAGGGGAATTGGCAACCTGCCGTTGGCTGCACGGCTGGACCCGAAAACGCCGAGCTCCGCGAAGGAGCCGTGACGAAAGATCACCATCCCGCACGTCAGCGTCTCCGCCCGCAGTGGTTGCGCATCAAATCGTTCGATATAGGTCAGTCAAATGGACCATGAAGCGCCTGGCGCGCACCAGCCGGCGTCAGAACGGGCCCAAGATTCTAGCCTTCCCGCAGACGCTTCGTCCAGCAGGCCGTCTGCGGACTCAATTGGCGAAGCGCTTCTGGCAAAACGAAGAGCTCGACCGCAGAAGGTGTGCCGCCCTTGTCGTCTTCGAAAGGTAAAATGCAGCTACGAAATCCCGTGCCAGACCTGCATCGAGCGGGGCCACCCGGAACTCTGCCAGTACGTTGCGGATCCACCCGCCAAACGCGTTGCCGTCGAGTCTTCAGCATCGCGCGCCGGCGACGCGGAGCAGTGGGCGCCATCGAAGCAGGAATGGGATGCGCTTCAGCAGCGGCTCGTCAACATCGAGAGCTTGCTCGTCGAACTCAAGGAAGCCAAGACCAGCACTGGTGCCAAGTCACGCCGGTTGGGTCAGAGCAGGCTCGAGGCGGACGAGGACAGCAGCGTGTCTGATACTACAGTCAACCCGGCGATCCTTGCCAAACGAGGTTTCAGTGATGATGCCGTTTACTTGGGAGGCAATTCCGTCCCTGCCATGGTCACGGCTCTGGCCAACGAGCAGCACAGCGACCTGGAGGTGCAGAACCTGCTGAGCAAAAGTGTGTTGCCCATTTTCGGCTTGGACAATGATTCTGCAACGTACCCGTTCGTCGACCTATGGGGCATACCGCACGGCTCCTTTCAGCGCATCGAGCTGCTGTGTAAGCTCTTGCCCGCAACCGACGGCGAGTGCATCCGGATCTTCAAGCTGTACCGAGACACTCCACACGTCATATTTCCCGGCGTCGTGGACATTGCAGAGTTCGAGAGCGACCTGCTCGACTTCTTGAGGACGCGTGCGACTACCTCGCTTACCCTAGGCGTTGGACCACTGGCAACGCAGGTGGTGTTCGGCAAAAGCCTGCATTGGCTGGGACTGTTGTTTGCCATACTCGGCTCGGGGATTCAGAGCTCCGAGCTGCCTCGCAAAGAAAGACAGATGAAGTCACAGGTTTATGTCTGCTGTGCATACGAGTGCCTTCGAATAGTCAATTATTACACGCAAACGACATTAGAGGATCTACAAATATTACTCGTCCTTGGGAAAATAATATCTAATAATATGAATGCTGGAACATCTTGGTCGCTCTTGGGTGTGTTTGTCCAACTGTTCCTGCTACTTCACCGTCCGCTGACTCGTCACAAAGGCCTCACGATACGACTTGCTCAGACTCTGGGTCTGCACTACGACCCTCCATCCACAGATCCTAACTTGCCGCAAACAAAACGTAGCAGCGTTTGGTAGGCCGTTCAAAGCCACACAGCGATCCGCTGCACTTTGCTAACTGAGACTAGGTGGCAGATTGTATGGCAGGACAGTTTGTTGTCAATTACCTTTGATAGGACATCTCCGACTACGATTGTAGCTCATCAGAGTTACGCTGAGCCCACCCGAGAACTTTCTTATCTTGATTGTATGCGGCGTTTGTGCAAGATTGGTCTTGACATTGTGCAGGAGAGGTCCGTTCCAAGGCACGCAAGCCATCGTCTCCAGCGATTAGTTGAGTTAAGGGACCAGATACAGCGCGACTGGAAGCACGCAAAACAACATCTTCTCGACATTGCAAAATGTCGTTCTGAGCGTGACATGTTGGAGTACTGGAACCTTTATCTCCACCGCTCGTTCATCCTCTCTGAGCTGTGCAGACCCTCGATTCAGTCGAAGCGTCGGAGTCGCGAGAGCCCGGAACTGCTGATGAAGTTCCGAGAGATGTGCATCGAGAATCTTGCGAATACCGTCGACGCCTTTCTTGGGTTGCATAACATCACCAGATTTGCAATGCAGTCATGGGCCGCCGTGCATCGTGCCCTGAGTTCAGCTTTGCTGCTTGGAATACTTGGCGAAGCTTTGAAGAACGCTCGCGTCCAATCGCTGCTGACACGACTTTCCACTCTAATGTCAGATGTCGTTCTCAACATCGACCCTAGCGAGATGTCTGCCCCTTTGGCCAGATCGGTAGAAGCCCTATCGAAGCTGGCAGCGCCTCCGCAACCACCAAACACATCGCGTAGCATGTCGTCCGACTCCATGTCCGGATTCATGCCAAGTCTAGGAATGCATTCTGACGTGACCGGCCCTGGATCTTTACAGTCCTCCCCCGACACATCACTGTTGGACGAGGATTCGCCCTTCTCAATCCTAAACACTATCTTCTGGGGGGCCCCTCACTCTGCTACCGCTATGCCACCTTTGTAAGCTTCCGTGCGCTTACAACAGCACGCATATGGTGTTTGGCTTTTGCCGGTCTTGACAGGACACGTCTAGCCGCAGAAGTATTAGTCCATTAGTTGGCAACGTGTGATCCCGAACTTGAGACTCCGCCCGCTCGAAGCAGCCGTCATTCTCGCCAGTCGTTTTGCAGCATGATGTCTCGAAGAACGTTGTTTTCTTGCAACAACAAATCTCTTTCCTGCTCAAGTTGCTTGATGTAAGACGTTGCACTGGTAAGGATGCCGACCTTGGTCATCTGAGCGCTGGAGATCTCTGCGCCAATCTTTGCGGAGGAGACTTGAGGCACCACTCCCTTCAGACCGTTAAGAGCGTCGCTCACCGAGTCGCGATACTTTTTCTCGATTTCGTTGTGCGTCTTGCGGTTCGAGGTCGCTTTGCGACCGCTGCGGTTGCGGACACGTTTGGGCGCAGATTGCTTGCTTGTAGAGGGCGTATCGAGAGATGTGTCTTGTATGGTTAGAGGAGGGTAGTCATCCCACGCAGGCTGTGTAGCTGTATTGTATCTTGTCGTAAAGAGGATCTCATTTGTTGGCCAGCATGCGGTAACGAATTGCTCCGTTGTCAAAGCCATGATTGTCCGCTTCAACCAACGGACCACAGGACGAATTAGAGGCCAACAGAAAGTGCTGCGGCGTATCCGGGTCCACGCGTGCAGCTTCAGAAGTGCACAGAATTGATACGTGAGAGGTCTGCTTTAATACAGGGACTGTTGACCAGGAAACGCGCGCAACAGATGATGTCAAACAACAGCGGCCTCGAGGGGGATATTCACAAAGTCCACGGCCAGAACGGCGTGGCCAGCTGATATGCGTCAACTCAGATGGCTCGAATGGCGCCAGTCAAAACGCGGCGTGCGCAGACCCAACCGGCCAAAGCACTCAGTTCCCGGCTCCGAACGTGCCCAGTCTCTCGATCGCGATCAACAGCAGAGTCGCGTTGTGTGATCTCGCGGAGCTCGGTCGGAGAAGGCGAGGCTGGGAACGAAGGACCGCAGAACGACCGTGTCCTTTTTCTTCGCTGCACTCGCGCCTCGAAGGGCGTTTTCCGCCCCGATGTGGGCTGCCACATCGATTCCACACACGCATTGTCGGGGCTTTTTCTCGCCCTCGTCTTTCTCTGCGTTGCGGTAATCGCGCACATTGTCCTCCAATACGTTCCTTGCTTCTTCTACTTCAAGCCCCCCATTTTTGGGGGGGGGGGGGGGGGTTGGTCTCGCTGCACTGGCGTGACTGGTTCCGCTTACAGCAACTAGCTTAAGACAAACGAATATCCAATGATTCAAGTCAGCCATGCAGCCCTTCACAGTTTCTCAAGTATGCGTGTGATTCCGGACAATTCTCGGCGAATGCACGTCTGGTTTGCTCCCAAGATCGCAAAGGCTACAGTTGCAGGTGACGCTCAGCGTGGGGAGATAGTTAGCAGGCCGATCGAACGTGCAGCTTAGGAATCATTCAAGAATCACCTTACACATGCAAAGTATTACGAACTGAATACACGTTCACTCACGACACAGTCAGAAGCCTCAAGCATGCGGCCTTTGGAGCGGCCGCGGACCTATGTCACCTCATCCATAAGGCCCAGCTCTGAGCCTTGTTCGCTTGATTCGAATTTAGCCTTGAGTTGTCACCCATCTTCATTTTGCCACCCGGCTTCCGAACCAAGTCCACGGGCCAATGGTACTTCCGCAGCCTAGATCAAATACATTGTTGTATTTTCCGTCTACGAATGTTTCGACTACACGAAGGAGGGCCTTACAAGACGATTAAACATCTAAAGCGAATCCACACCCGAGATCGGAGAGTAGAATGACAGTCATTCCCTAATGGAATTGACTGTAGAAAATGGTCTGAAGTGGCTAAACGACTCTGCTTCGTTGCCATCACAAGCAATAATTCAGTAAACCGATCCGCGGTGGAAAAAAAAAGAAAAGAGAAGAAAAGAAAGAAGAGAAAAGAAAGAAAATGAAAAAAGACTTTAAACCCTTTGGCCTTTGGCCTTTGACCTTTACCTTTTTCTCGTTTCTGATCTTGGAATCACCCAGCCAGCACCCAAGCGTATCTTTCGTTACTTTTGCCGTGCGAAGGGAACATGTCAAAGCAGCCGAATGATTAAATGAAAATTGATATGATCCGCCAACGCCATGCTATGAAGTGCGTGCTTGCACATAGTTCTACTTGACAATAAGGAAACCCCGATTTGTAGACATGGTCATCCCCTCGTGAGAGTGTTGCATACAGTAGAATGCGGTCTAGGTTAACTGGAAAAGAATAGAATACTCTTTGGCATAGCTAAGGTTCTCATGGCACGTGCCTGCCTAAGCCGATGTCACCGCTTGTCTGCCTCCTTTTCCGAAGAGGATTAAGACCACTACCGATACGTGAAGTCGGCGTCCCTGCTTGGCTGTGCAATTTGCTCTCCGCGGAAGCTTGAGCGTGCGTCGGTGTCGAAGTCGTTGACGAGGACCCTTCGCTGCCACCTGTCTTAAGACGGCTCTTCGTACCGGCCAAACTTAGCCTCGTCATTCTAGTTCCAGCACTGGCCCTTGGTAGTCGGGCACCCTTTGAATTTTCTTCGTTGGTCGAAACGGACCCGGATGAAGGTGGAGTGCTGGCCCAAGGAACGTTGTTTGTTTCAAGACGAATCGACCGAGATGGAGGACGATCGCTCGAACCGCTTTGTGAGAGAGCGCTCAAGCTGACGTCCGAAATGGCGCTGAATCCTCTTTCGCGAGTTCGGTCTGCCGAACTACTATCTCGACTAGCCGGTCTAAACTGTCCGGGCGTCAGACTTCCACTGACCCCCAAACTCGCCAGGCTCGAGGAACTGCCCATGCGCTCTCGTCTCACGGCCGAGTCAAAAACATCCGTGCTTCTTCTTTCAAAGTAGGAGCTTCTCGCTTCGCGTAAATGACGTGGCGTTCCTTTACGTTCATCTATCGGTATGTTATGACTGGCAAGGAGACCTGACGTTGGCAAGGGCGGTGGCGTCATGGTGCTCGCACTCGAGCTCGCACGTCTCATCCCTGTTCTCACTCGTGCGCCTTCAAAGCTCCTGCGTGATCCGACCTCACAAGCATTGATAAGTTCGGACGCCATCTCTCGAACCAGGATAGCTGGATCAGATTCCTTCAGTCGCTCGATGGCTTCGTACAAGCCATAAACGCGAATCAGCGTAGCACCGCCATGCTCCTCGTTCGCGTCACATATGCTCTTGATGATACGGAGCAAGTTCAGCTTCACCACAGCTTTCTTGGTGTTCAGCTTCTGGCTTGTCCTTGCGAAAAGATCCGGATGTGCAAGCGTGGCCGCAATCGCTGGACTGATCCTGAGCATTTTTTGGAGCGGATCAAGGAAATTTTCAAAGGCATCCGGCGATGCTTCAGGGTTTGTAAAACATTCCACCACCGCCCGACTAAAGTCACCCGAAAGTAAGTGTTGCTCCACCCTTGCAGTCTCCTCTTGTAGCCAGACAAAGATGGCATCCAGAGCAGTAACCTGCCAATACTTGTCTGACAACAGCTTGACATAGAACTGGAGGCCTTTGTTGCTCCACAAGATCTTTCGGCACATCTTCCCTGAATGTGCCATGTCACACAAAATGGGTAAGGCAAACTCTTTCAACGGCCGTTCCGTCCAGACTATGTCCTGGAGGATAGGTATCAAGCCGCAGTGTGCAGCCTCTGCTTGTCGTTCGTGGCTGAGACGACACAAGTTGTAGATGGTGTTCAGAATCTGGTTGGAGATCTCGAGAAAGTTTGGCTTCGACTTCGAACTCGACAGCAATTCGGCCAAGATCTCAATCGCGTTGGCAGACTCGAGAGCTTCGTGTGTGCGGTCCAACATGGACAAATTCTTTATGAATTTGAGCATCGTGATCTGATGAGCCGGAGACATACGACGAAGATCTTTAAGGACCCCTTCGACTAGCGTTAGCATGTATAGCCAGCACATTTGAGGCGACTTACGCTTCAAAATTTGATTGTCGGCGATGACTTCCTTCACGTAATTTTCTGCTTGTGAAAATATGTGGAAAATGTGCACGATGCGTCCCTCGATCTGCTCGCTCAGCTCAGAACGCTCATATAGCACCTTATTAAGCACAAGCGACAGCGGGTAGAGGATATTGTTCCTCGATAGAATGCGACAGAAGTCATTTCTTGGTGTCGGGCCCTGGCGAGTAAGGTTAAGACGACATTTGAAGACGAGCTAGCGTGCAGAGACGGAGACATACCTGAAGTTCGAATACGTTGTACACTCCCATGACACCAATGAGAACTAGATCTCGTTCCGTTTCCAGATCTTCCTCCAAGAAGTCGCAGAGCACGTTCAATCCGCCGCAGCCGATAAACATTTGCAGCGTCAAGGTGGAGCCCTGACACATCTGGCGGACAAAAGCGGCAGCCTCAAGTCTTATCTGACTGCTGACTCGTTGATCGGCGAAGCGGCTGATGATGGGGATGCCACCCAAGAAACACAGTGTTTCCATAAGTTCTTCGTTCTCATAGATGATCATGTTTACGATTTTGAGTAAGCGAAGCACGACGTCTTGCATGGTGCAGTTTTCCAGGATTTCGAGGATAGGTAGCATGCCATGAGAGCTGATGATGACGCCTTTAAGCTCGGGCGATTCGACCAGGACCTGCATGAGTTGTTCAGAGTACTCCGCGAGCATGTCTGGTGCCTTGGAAATCTTGATTTCACCAACAAGATCTTCGACGAATTTGCAAAGCCTTGCGTGTCGGTCTCGTGCAATTGTGATCTTGGGATCCAGCTCGTCAAACTCCTCCTCGAGCTGCGCGAAAGGGTCGTCCTCTTCGTCTTCGTCGCCCAGCCATGAGTTCGTGGATAATTTAGAGTTCAACATCATAAGCGTGCTCGGCTCGGAACCGCTGTCTGACTCGTGGACGGGAAGGACGACGTCCTTGCCCAAGAAATCCTCGGGATCTTCGTTCTCGTCTTCCGCATACTTCTGGATCTCGACTGAGGATCGCGATCGTGGGATGTTCTGATTCTGTTCCTCGGGTGTCGGATAGCGCCTCAAGCTACCGCTCTTCCGCCCGTTTGCAACCGGACGAGGAGGGTTCTTCAGGTCGGAGGGGTGAAACAAGCGAGGCGAGAAAGACCTCTCTTCCTTTAGCCGCAGTTCCTGAAGCTTCCGTTGGAAGATCTCATCGTCAGTATCATCCAGCATGTCGGAAAAGTCCTCGTCCGACTCTTCCTGATATATGCTCGTCGGCCTCGATAGCGGCGCAGTCAATCGCAGTTTTCCTGCCGGCAAATTCACCTTCTTCGCAGGTTCGCTCAACGGCTGGAATTTTGGCTGAGGAGGCATCCTCTGAGATCTGCTGTTGGGTTGTGGATTTGGCTTCGCCTCCGACTTTTTCTTCTTCTGGGGGGTGATCGCTCGCACTGTTTCCAAGGGATCGAGTTGCGACAGCTCAACGGGACTCCTTATCGTCAAGTCCGTCTCCTCGTCTGCTGGATCCTCTGCTATGGAACCGAACGTCGCCAAAGACTTCATCCGTTCGTGGCTGAACAAACCACCAAAGTGGTCCTGCGGCTTCAGACGTTGTAGCTGCAACCCTCCCGAGCTTGTTGGAGGGTCGAAATCCGAGTCCCAATTGTCGTCCGTGTCAAGCTCGGGAGAGGCAAGGGCGTCTAGAGACGGCTTGGGTTTGGACTGGCTCACGCCGGTCTTAGTAAAGCCAGGCGTTTTGAGCTGCAATGGTTTTGGATCTCGTGAAGCTGGCGCCGGGCTCGACGAAGATTGGCGTGCTTGTCGTCGTATCGACTCTCCCTCGGGCGATTGCAGTGCCGCATTCCATTCCTTGATGGCGTGCGCTGCGCCTTCGTAGGCCGTAGGTTTTTCCGGGCCTCTTGGGACCGCATCCGCTCGCTTTGCATTGACAATCCACGGGTGTTTGAGCAGTTTCTTTGCCGACACACGGAGGTTGGGGTCTTTCTGAAAGCATTGCATGAGGAAGTCGCGGACAACCGGGGAAGCGCCTTCGGGCAGAGGAGGGTGATCGTCGTTGACGATGCGGAACAGCGCCGGCATGGGCTGCAGATTGCTGTACGGCGGCTTGCCGTCGAGGAGTTCAATGGCTGTGCAGCCCAGGCTCCAGATGTCCGATGCCGTCGTGGCACCCGACAGCTGGATGACTTCTGGGGCCATCCAGTACGGCGTGCCGACGACGCTTGACTCTCCCACGTTGCCCTTGGTCGCCACGCCAAAGTCCGCCAGCTTGACCAGCCCGTCCCTCATGGTTAGAATGTTAGCGCCCTTGATGTCTCGATGGATGACACCCTGTTCGTGCAGGAATAGCAGGCCTTGTAGCACCTGGGAGAGGTACAGAGCGACCAGAGTCTCTGGGAACTTGCCAAACGTCTTGCACATGCTCTGCAGGCTACCTCCTTCACAGTACTCGAGTATGATGTACAGATTCTCCGCGCTCGTGACGAAGCCGTGGTACTTGACGATGTTGGGATGGTGCAGGTTCTTCAGCAGGTCAATCTCTTGCATCATGTTCTTCAGCTCGGTCTTTGGCAGATGCGACAAGCCCACCTGCTTGATCGCCACAGTGCCGCCTGTGCCCCAGTTCAGCGCCTTGTACACGCTCCCGAAGGCTCCCTTGCCCAAGCAGTCGCCAAGCTGGTAGCCCTTGAGCCCCTCAACGTCGGCGGCTGCGCGTTGTGCTGCGCCATCCTTTCCAAAGCCTCTTTCAAGCTTCCAATTCTCTTTTGCCGGCGCAGGCTTCGGTGTAGAGGAGCTCTTCTTTGCCGAACCGTCCTTGCTCGACCCATTGGAGCCAGTCTTGGAGTGCGCGACCATTTCGCCTGCCAGCGGGTCCTCCTCGCGACGGCTCGAAGAAAGAGGCGATTGGAAGTCTCGTTCTATGACGATTCGATCGAAAGCGAGCCCGGTTTTGTAAAGGAAGACGAGCTGTCGTCTGCTGGCGCCTCAGTCGGACGGAGCGCAGCTACCATTCTCCGCATGCTCTTCGCTCACGCGCCTCTTTCTACCTGTCACAACCACGTCCAGGCCGTCCCGAGTCGCTTTATTCGGCCAGTTTCCAAATAGCCGTCGTTGTAATGGCGTGGCCGATCTCTCGCAGCGGTAGATGTTCGATCCCCTCGAGGACGTCGTCCTCGATTTGGCTGCCCAAAAGCGGTTCCCTAACTTATAAAACGGCCTAATTATAGCGCCCCGCCCGTCAGGGTATCAGCACGACACCCAAACAGCTCGAATCAGGCGGGATTCGCTTTCCGACACGCGAGCGTGGCGAAAGAAGCGAACACGTTCTTTAAGGCACGAGAGCGAGCTGTGCAGGGCCGATGGGCGCACCAAAGCGTTGCCGTCCCGTCCTCGTAAACAAGGACAGGTTGGTGGATGTGTGCGAGTGTTATGTACGTGCGTGCGCGCGAAGAGCGTGCGCATGTGCAAATCCTTGCTCAGGCTCTTTTTTTGTTGCCAACGACAGATCGGAGCGGAACGCGAGAAAACGTGAGTTTTTTAGTCCAACGCCGAGAACACAAAGAGAAGTTAAGGTTGGGCAATTCAACTTAAAATCATGCGCCTACGCGTACAACAGTTCAGGATGATTTTACTGTCCAGCGTTGGACAGGTCGCTCCCAGCGAAAGGAGTCTGCGCAAATCAATTGAAGATCGCGGGGCCACTCCCGTCCGACTGGTCAAGAACCGAGGATGCCGCAAATTACAGCAATCAGCTTTGACTATGAGATCAGGAGCAGCGGCCCGTTGCGTGTACGTGGTGGTGGCGACAAGCCAAACAATGTTGTTGTCGGAGACACGCCGCGGTGGAAGGGAAATCCCGAACTGGCCTGCTCAAAGATCTGATTGGCTCAGCCTTTTCAGCTCAAGGCTGACGGTAAATAACAAGGCCAACAAGCCTTCTCCCAACAGACAGGTTCCCACGAGGATTGCCTTGAATCCAACGGATGGCGTGACTGTTGCAGAGGTTGGGCGTCAGAATGATCGGTATCATATCAAGACCTTGGGGAAACACACGGCGGCGGGCACCGCGAACACAAGCATGCGAAGATTTGGCCTGCGGTGATGCAGGAGAAGGTAATTACTGAACGGCACTGACGCAGACGGTCAACTTCGTTTGTATCAAACAGCTAATCCTACATCGCCCTCAAACAAGTAGACACAGGTTTCGAACACTGTGCTTTAGCACCGCATTCATTGGATGCACCAGTTTCCTCTGGACCAGCTGACAATTGCGAGGAAAAGGAAGACGTGGTGGAAGCGGAATTCCTGAATTCCAGCGATTACGAACCGCCGTCATTTTTGGACGTTGCTCTATCCAATACAACAGGGGTTAATAAAAAAAAAAAAAAAAAGATGATGATGGTCCCGACCCAAAAGGATCACCTCGAAACCCTCGCCACGATTCGCACGAGCATCAGAACACGAACGCAGATGAAAGCAGCACGTCATCGGCCTGCGACCACGTTCAGCACGCCTCCGTCGATCGCCAAGATCTCCCCGTTCACGTAGGTGTTCCTCGTCAGGAACAGCTGTTGAGACGTCAGCGCGGACGCCCGTCTGGGGCGACTCCGGGAAACACTTACCACGGCCTGCGCCATCTCCTCGTCGCTCCCGGCCCGCTGGTGCGGGACGTGGCCCTTCTCCTGGACCTTCTCGTCCGGCAGATGGCTCTTCTGGTCGTCGCCGCTTTCTTTGGCCGTCATCTCGCTGGGAAAGTAGCCCGGCGCGATGCTGTTCACGCGTACGCCCACCTTTAGGAACTCGGCCGACATCAGCTTCGTCAGGTGCACCGTCCCCCCCTTGGCCGCATTGTATGCGAAATGGCCTTGCGAGTCCCGCATGATTCCGCTCATCGAGCTGATCACGATGACCGAGGCAGACAAGTGGCCGTGGGTCTCCGCGCCGGCTTGCAACAGTGGCAGGAAAGCCACGGTGGTAAAGTATACCGCAGCCACGTCCGTCCTCCACGTCTCATCCCATCCTTCAAACGTCTCTTTCTCCCACAGCTTGTTCCTCAGGTCCTTGGCATCGCGCTCTTCGGGCGGTGCTTTCGGTCCGGAAATTCCAGCAGCAGCTACGAGGAGATTCAGCCGCCTCTCCTTGCGCTCCAACTCCTCAGACAGAAGCTCTAGCTCTTCCTTTTTAGTCACATCACACGTCCGACAAGCTATGATTTCGCCTCCAAAGTCGTTCGGATGGTGCGACTCGACGGCCTTCTTCAATGCCTCCTCTCGTCGTCCCGTAATGTAGACTCGAGCTCCATTTGCTGCAAGTGCCTGGGCTGCCATCAAGCCGATGCCGGACCCTGCAGGAGGCCAAGGTCAGTCAGGACTGTTCTCCACGGTCGGAACAAGAGGAACCTCACCTCCACCAGTAACAAGACAAACAAACCCCTTCACATTGAACAGCTTCTCGGCCGTGAGATTCCGTGTAGAGGCCATGATTTTGTCTTCGGATGTACGTGTGCTCCCAGCTATGCGATTGCAATTACTTTGGGAATCGACCGACGCGATCTGGAGAGAAGAATCGCCTTACGCATATTCCCTTTTTTTTTATTTTCTACGTCCTGTTCCCTAGCATTACCATCGCGTGACGTCAAGAAGAGTTCTCACAACCTGTAGGTCATAGCATGTAGCTCTGCGCCATTGTCACTAGTCCGTCCGGAAATTTCGAGGCCCATTCTGTTCAACCAAGGAAGTGATACTGTGTTTGTAGGTTCCGCTTCACAGCATCCACCGAAGTGAGCGAGGCTGGACGACGAATGACAAAAAAGAAAAACCAAGAGTCAACAGCCATGGCTGGACCGCGGTGGCTTCTCCACGAGCCCAGAGCTTCACGCCTGCGCCGAAGTAGCACAGTCCAGAAATCTGAACGCTTATCAACCATTTCACATGTCGCTGAGCAAAGGTACGTCAGCCGTTACCAGCATCCGCACGTTTGTGTATATATACGCATATTAGCAGCCGGCCCCGGCCAACACACCTCGTCGATCCATCATTTCGGGATTCACGATTGCGCTCATGTTCGCTTGCAAAAGCCTAATAACAAATAAGCAAGATAACAAAGACTGCTGGTTGTTCCTCGCCAAAGCAACTATTCCTCCAAGAAGATCTCGCTTTGACGTTTCAGGCCCTCTCGTTAGCCCCTTCGCGACCATGCTGCAGATCGTTCGCTTGCGCAGATGGTTATGTGCCATTACCAACCCTCCCAACATCGTGACACTGGACAAGCTTCGAATCGCCGAGAAAATATGCGCGCGCAGCGTGTGTTATGTGTTCTAGGCCGATAGCCGATTGATAATCGGACGTATCCGTCTGCTTTTGCTAGATTCCACGCACGAAGCGGGTGAGCCAGTGCAACTGACCGCCGGGGCCGTTTTGTTTTTCCCCCTTACCACGGGCAGGATAAGTACTCGTTGAAAGAAGTACTTTTTTTTTTATTTTCAAAATGAAGTCGACTCGTCTACCCGGTGCTAGCGTCGTTACGTTGCTGGAGCCGATTGCTCCATTCAGGGTGCCACTCCTGCAACGATGAAAGGCCCCAAACCATTCGGCTTTCTGGCTCTCAGTGTGCCCGCTCTGTTTCGCCTCGACCTCGTGGGCGCTCAATACGGCAACTTTCCGGCTACCGGTGACAACGGTGACAACGGCGGCATCTTCGGCGTCGGCCCAGACATCTTTCTGAGCGGCTTCATCTCGCCGGACAAGATCTCTGGCACTCTCAGCTTAGGCTCTCAGTCCCCGCCGCTGAGCCAAGTCATCCCCAGCGTTGGCCAGGTGCTCTTCTCCGACGCCTCGCCCGGAGGCACGGGGCCTTATCCGGCGCGCTGGTTCACAGAGCCAGATCTGCCGGCGCACACCATCTACGCGCCGGCAGCGCCGCCGAAAGATGGCAAGGCAATGCCCGTCGTGGTTTGGGGCAACGGGTTCTGCATAAACGTGGGCAACTCGTACCACCCGTTCTTACAGGAGATAGCCAGCCACGGGTACCTCGTCATCGCGAACGGGCCTCCGCTCGCAGCCATCGAGATGAACTTCGAAGACTTCCTGTCCTCCGAGGGCATAGCCTCGCATCCCAGCCAGCAGACCCAAGCAATCGACTGGGTGACGGCAGGGAAGGCTGGCAGGTACGGCAACATCGACACCAAGCACATCGCCTCGGCGGGGCAGAGCTGCGGCGGACAGGAAGCGTACTCGTCCAGTTATCACGATACTCGTGTCGTCTTGACGATGCTTTTCAACTCCGGCGTCTTCATCCCCTCGCGGCGATACTTGCTCAAGGCGCTCACTGCGCCCGTCGGCTACTTCTGCGGCGGGCCCATCGACCTAGGCTATGCGGTTGTAAGTCAAGCTCCTGCGCCCTGCGCCCCCCTCCCCCCTTCTCTCTCTTCCGATCGCGTCTGCTGCCCCGAAAATTGACAAGCTTGCTTCGCGCAGTCGCTGGCCGATTACGCGCTGCTTCCGGAAGGTCTTCCCGCGGTTTGGGCCAGCCTGGACACGGGACACACGGGCACATACTGGGGAACGAACGGTGGAAAGGACGCTCAGGCTGCAGTCGCTTTCTTGGACTGGTGGTTTAGAGAAGATCAGATAGCGAAGCAAAAATTCGTTGATCCCGGATCGGCCGGAAGTCTAGTCAGCCAGGACTGGAATGTTACCATGAAGAATATAGATTGAGCAGCGAAGATAGCTTTCCTTATTCATGACGTCTTCATAATGTACTAGATATGACCAACATATATATTGAGTTGTCAAGTGGAATGAATATGGTAAGATCTTGGCAGAACTCGCAGCAGATAAGAGATCTAAAGGTTGGGTCCAAAAGAGCCAGGGCATACGCCCCAGTCGCAGAAGAAGAAGAAAAAAAAAATGTGTGTTGGAACGTTTCAGAACACCAACAAGCCGAATATACGAAGCCTGAGCCGCGAATTTGTTGTCTGAGGTACTTAGAAGTACAAGCCAACCTGATAAGAGGGGCCATTCTTGGCAAGCAATAGTCAATTCTACCTTCCCTCTTCCATCTCGCTCTTCATCTCGTACTCTTCTTTCACTTAGTGTGATGTAAATGGAGGTATGGGGAGGGGTTTGGGGATGTGCATGTTTCTTTGCAGATGCCTTCCCGGCGAACATGCTGGGAAAGCAATTGGTTTCTTCAGGCTCGGATCGAGCGAAGTGGAATGCAGAGGGGTATAGACCAGACATAAGTCAGGCCAGGCGCGAGCGTAGGGAGGGAGCGGGTACACATCCATATTAGACTTTGTCCGCTGCACCACGAGTACTCATCGTTCCCCATGTCTCGCGGCCCAAGCTCTTTTGCGGCCCGCTACGCTCTGTATAAAGGGCACTTGTGCGTAAGTGCACGTGCGATCGCAGAGCTTCTCTTTCCTTAGATTCCCTTTCCTTTATACTTGTGCAGAGCCTTGTAAAAGAAAGTCGTCCCAATCCTGGACCACACTCCGCCCGCTCAATCGACCTTCCAGTGTGGCACAATCACCTCGTCCCTGCTCATGTACAGCTCCACAGCGTAGATCAACTGCACAAACACGACGTTCAGCCACCTGTACAGATTGCCTCCCGCATCTCCACCTCCGACGCCCATGAACCACCACTCGCCCTGTGCACCCATGTTCCCGTTGCCATTCACCGTTGTGAAGTGCTGCATCAGGAGACTGGTGTAGACAGCAATCAGTATGCTGGGGCTAAACCAGGACAGAAATCCCAGGAAACGGCCCGCATCGTCATCGTCATCAAGGCTAGGCTCCTCGGAAAGAGCTCTTGCACCGGACTCTCGAATGGCAGGGATGATCCGGGCGGCGGCGTACATGACGAAGACGCGGTAGGCCAAAGAGATGATGACGGAAGGAGTGATGGTCATCACGACTGCAAAAACAAAGTTGAACGAGGCATGTATCGCGGTCGGCAGGCTCGAGAGGTAGTGCAGCAGGGTTGAGTACGTCGCCATGATGACGGGCGGCAGAGGCGGATACTCTGGCTGAACAGGCGGGGTGGCCTCAGTCTTCGGATTGGACGGTTGGTAGTCGGTGAAGATCTGGTAGATGCACAAGGTTATGTAGGCAAAAAGAAGAGAGCTCTCGACAGGATTGCCCCTGCCGTTGAAGATGCCCCAAGAACCGAGAATAACAACGCAGGTGATTGTCGCACCGATGAGGAGGGCGTCGGTAGTGTTGAGTTCCGGGAAGGTAGTGATACGCCAGAGGAAGTAGAGCGAGGACGATAGGATGGCAGAGGACAAGCCCAGCAGTCCAATCTGCAGCGTGTCAGTTAGCAGGTCGGAAAAGGTAGACGAGAGCACGGGATCGGAACGTACCATCCAACTGTCACCTCCCTCCCGGTTGACAAGCCAGCGTGTGATTTGTCCGCACGCCTGGATGACGAGGAGGCTGCAAAAGCCCTCGAGAAACTGGAAGAGCGGTGCGGACCACAACAGCAGCTTCTCCCAGCCGTGCAGGGCGACGCTCTCGACCACGCCGCCCCTGCCCAGCAGCCAGAGCTTCAAGGAGCTGTCCTGGCTCAGTTGGGGCTTGAAGGTGCGCTCGACCCAGCTCTTGGCGGCGTTGTTGGAGTCGACGGCAAACTTGTTCATGCTCCATATCATCAAGGCCAGGATGGCCAACCACTGCGTGTACCTCACGAGCTGGACGAGGGCGAGACGGAAGCGCGAGCCATGGTCCGGAGTGACGAGACGCAGGACCGAGAACAGGAAGTAGTAGCACGAGAGGGCTAGGGAGAACGCGAGGCCGCAGTCCTTTCCGCCGACGTCGAAGGTTAGAGGGATGGTGAAGACGATCAGAAAGAGGAAAGCAAGAGACGACGCGGCTCTCAAGAGCCACATGGCACGACAGATAGTAGCCTTTTGCTTTGGCTCTTTTGGTCTTTCTCTTCTTTTTTTCTTCCCCGGTTCGTTCGAATTCCCCTATGGCCTTGGGCTCGGTGACGCGGAGCGGAGCAGAGCGAGCAGGCACTCTGCGTCGAGGTGAGTCGGGGCAAGGCTTCGAGATAGTCGCGGGAGAAAAAGGGAAGGCAAGCACGTGAAGGACGCGGAAGAAATGACAAGGTGAAGAGGCTGGAGACGAGAAAGACGGAGAGGGCGCGTGAGCACGCGCTCGAGCGCGAAGAAGATGTCGATGTTGCACCGGCAGCGAAGAAAGATTGGGATCGCTGTCGCGCGGGCGGTGGGATGGAGTCGGTGAAGGTGCTTTCTCTGCTTCCCTGGTGTCGCTGGCTGGAACGGACGCTCTTGACTCTGCGCACGCTGCTGCGGCCTTCACGTGCAAAGCAGGCACCTTTGAGCAACAAATCAAAAACCTGACCCGCAGGCTCAGTCGTCCACAAGTAGCACGGCCCGGAGAGCGAGCGCTAACTGCACAGAGGAAGAGTCTTCAAGCTAGCGCGGGCGAGCAGGCCGCCAGCCAGCCGGCCGTCGCTCTGGCCAGCGGCAAACACCAGCTCCAGCTCCAGCTCCAGCTCCAGCTCCAGCTCCACCATCGGCATCAACATCACGACCCGTACAGGCACATGCTCGGCACGGGCACGGCACAAGCGCAGGCAGCACCGGCGGTGTGAAGCCGAGCGCGCAGGGAAACCGTCGCCGGCTCTGCAATAAAGGCCTTTGGCACGGATGGTCTGCGTCTGAAAAACGCTGCTCACGGCCGCTCACACCGGCCAGCCCGCCCTCGCTCTGAGCTCCAACAGTTGGTCTATCAGACTCGGCGCAGCCAACGGGTTCTGCCCAGCTGGTTGGACGCGGCCGTAAGAGGAGATGGTTGTGCCGTGAAGATGCTCCATTATTTCCACGGGCCTGCGCGCCGCGATCTCAGCAACCGCCTTTCAAGATCTCTTGGCCACATTGGCCCAGCTTCGTCGTCTTGCGCAGGCCAATCAATCTCTTCGCGGGCCAGCGGGCAATCATGCGCCGCCTGAACGACGACATGGCCTGCATGACATGCTTGACCAGCCCTGCCAACGCCCGTGTCCGGAGCGCGTCAAGACCTTCTTCTGACCAGCCACGGCTAAACCGGTGGCCCTTCTACAGTAAATCATCCGTTGCATGTTTTGATGTGAATGCTGCGCCCGCAAGCCCTTCGACAGCCCTTCCGGATCTCGTTATCGATAGCGGCTTGCCCACCATTCCTACTCACTGCATCGCAAGCCCGAGTCGCGTTCGCGCAACGCCAACACAGTCTTCTCAGCGTACGCAATTGCCACATGTAAGAGCTTTGTCCTTCGTTTCTCTAGTTTGAAAAATTTTCAATGCTACCAATACCTGTATCTCGTTTCCTTGAAGCAAGCTTCGCTAACGGTATATCGCCCGCGTGCAGGTCCACCATGCTCTCTTCGACAACCGGCGTCGAGCCTCTCCCCAAGCGGCCAAAGACAGACTCTGAATCCCCCCTCATAGGCACTCACAATGGCCACTTCCACGCCGACGAGGCGTTGGCCGTCTTCATGCTCCGCCTCCTACCCCAGTACGCTGCGTCACCTCTTGTGCGCACGCGCGACCCAGCCGTCCTGGCCCAGTGCCACACCGTGGTCGACGTCGGCGGCGAGTACGACCACGCCGCGCGCAGGTACGATCACCACCAGCGCGGCTTCGAGGAGGTCTTCTCCCCCGAGCACGCAACCAAGCTGAGCTCCGCGGGGCTGGTCTACAAGCACTTCGGCAAGGACATTATCGCACAGCACACGAAGCTCGACCCTTCGTCCGAGGACGCGTCGCTGCTGTACACCAAAATCTACGACGACCTGATCGAGGCGTTCGACGCAAACGACAACGGTATCTCCGCCTACGACACAGGGCTGCTGGCCAAGGCGGGCATCCCCAAGCGCTTCGAGGACCGCGGCTTCTCCCTCGCCGCCGTCGTCAACAGGTACAACCACGCGTTCGAGCAGCCCGCCGAAGGCGACTCCAAGGAGGAGATCCAGCGCAAGGAGGACGCGCGATTTCAGCAGGCGTCCGCTTTCGTGGGCCAGCAGTTCGTCATGGAGCTGGACGACAAGTTCCGCTCCTGGCTGCCCGCCCGCGCCGTCGTCAAGCAGGCCTTTGCGGAGCGCACCAAGTGGGACGAGCAAGGCCGCATCATGGTGCTGCCCCACAGAAAGGAGGGCCTGCCCTGGGCGGACCACCTGTACAATCTGGAGCGCGAGGAGGGCAAGGGCAAGGACGCGGCCGTGCTGTACGTGCTGTTCCCGGAGGGCGGGGAAGAAGACGCAAAGTGGCGGATTCGCGCCGTCAGCGTGGAGGGCGGCGGGTTCGACAACAGGAAAGACTTGCCCAACGCCTGGAAGGGCTTGCGTGACGACGAGCTGAGCAAGGTGTCTGGCATCGACGGCTGCGTGTTTGTCCACGCAAGCGGCTTCATCGGCGGGAACAAAACGTTCGACGGTGCCCTGGCCATGGCAAGGCAAGCAGTGCTAACGTGATCTCCTCCTCCTCCTCCTCCTCCTCCTCCTCCTCCTCCTCCTCCCTCTTTCTCTCTTTCTCTCTCCCTCTCTCCTTCTCCTTCCTCTCTTTCTTCCTCTCACTTCTCCTTGTTAGTCGGGGGCTGGAAAAAGGCCCGCGGAAAAGTAATGAACCACTCTCGAAAAAGAAAGGGCCTAAAAAGTTAGCATTGCTCACTGCGCCCGGGGGCGTCCAAAAAGAATCTGTAACAAAAGAGGAATCAGAAACTCTCGGTCTCCCTTTTTTTTTCTTTTTTTTTTTCAAACAAAAAATCAATCGGGTTCGGACGTGCCTTTTTTTTTGTCCCTCCTCAAAACGGACAAAGTCAGCCGTGTCAGAACGGACAGACTTCGGAACAGAGCATACAGGCCAAAATTTATCTCAACCATCGGAGAATCATCACTATCGTAATCATCATCACCATCAGACCTAGACCTAGACAGGTGGTCCTTGTTGGGGTTTTCAGACTGTCAATGAACGGGTGCAGATGCCAATGTCCTGATCTTTCGGCTATCCGCGAATGTAACGTGTTATCGAAAAGATCACCAAGCCACTCCCTCAAGCTCTAAAGGACACGATTGGTAGGGGCCAGCGAACATGCCCGTCGAGAGGCGGGGAGAAAAGTACAGATAACGAGCGCAGCAGAGTATGAAACGATCGCATGATTCTATTAAAGACCACCTACAAAAACGCCCCTTCCCATGGCCGTTCACAAAGTTGTGAACTTACCGACTGAGCAGAAGATTGAGAGAGCGAAATCATACTTTGACCGCCCACGCACATACATACGCACACCCAATCGCTATGCTTTTTCCGATTAATACTCATATAATCCAGTCAATGATGTTAGTTGATGCTCGCTGTGCTCTATGTGCTGAGATTCAAATAGAACAAATTTTTTTTTGACTTCTTCCCCTCCTGTTCCTCTTCTCTCCTTCGATAAAACGACGCAAGAGTGCCCAGCAATTCCATGCCTTCTACAGCAGATTTCAATATCCACCACTGACTCACACATCCAAGCACTCCTGTGAAGTTTTTTTCTCGCTGAGACCCATTTATATCAGCTGGGCCCCGCGCCGTTTTGCTGTGGTGCAGACCCGGGATTAGGGCCGGCGACGAACGCTCTCGGAAGACCAGGCACCATGCTCCTCGCTATGTTCTTGTTCAAATCCATAAACTTGGTCGGATGCGGGTTCGTTGGCGTTGGTGGTTTCGCAGGTAAATGCGCTGGCGTGCCCCATTTGGCGATGGATGACTCTGGGTTGGGGGGCTGGGGTAATGGGTGTGCTAGGTTGCGATGAACACCGTCGCCTGGGCCTGTCGGAGGAGCACTCGAACGCTGACCGCCTCCGTATGGCTGATGAGGAGCTGACGTAGGTAGATCTGGATGGTTTTGCTGACTGTTATGCGCCAGGGGCTGGAATGACATCGTTGGGGTGTTCGCGATATACGCTTGCGCGTGCTGGGTTCCATTTTGTTGTGGGAAGGCGCCGGTGTTGCCTTTGGCAGGAGAGCGGTGTTGCAGGGCTTGTGGTGGGCCACTGTTTGGCCGATGCGTCTGCATGCCTGCCGGGTTCATAGGGAAGGGCGTAAAGTAAGGATTACCATTTTGATTCATCATAGGCATGGGGCCACCTCGTGCAACACCCGGAACAAACGCTTGTGTCTGTGGATTGAACTGCTGTCTGTTGAAGCTTCCTGGTAATGGGTGCTGAACCTTGCCGTTCTGGAGGGCGGGATTGGGCAGCTGGCCGTAAGGATACGGAATTGTCGCAGGTGTCTGCGCAGGAGATGACATGGACTGGTTGGGATGTTGAGGGTACGCCTGCGGGCCATACACGTAATGTGGACTATCGTATTGTGCAGCCCATCCTTGCTGAGGCGGTTGAACACCACCCATGTTTGCAAAATTCTGCGAGCCGCCCGGTTTTTGAGGCACGCCTGGATGGCTGTTATTTCCAAACGACATTGCCTGGAACTGTGCTGGCAGATCGTACGGCGCAGTCTGAGGCTGATGATAGCTCTGGTTATTCATGTTGTTGTGTGACTGACCATTGTATTGCTGAGGACCCATATACTGCATTTGGTTAGAAGGATCGACCTGTTGGTAGCCATTCGAATACGGCGCAGGCGCTGGAGAGGCTGTTTGAGCCTGTGGATATTGCTGCGGTCCACTCATAACAGGACCATACTGGGGAAAGTAGAACGTTCCGTCACCATAACCATTGCTCCCGTAAGTGGGCGTGTAGTAACCAGGGAACTGTGACCGAGGCTCAAAGTCATCGTCATCCTTTCGCTTCTTGGTTTTCTTCTTGCCTGAGGCAGAGCTGGACCGCGACATGTCATTGTCATTGCTTGTCTTCTTGGGATCTTCGGGTTCCGGCTCTGCGGCGCCCAAGATGCGCAGTCGTGCTTCCGCGTACAAACGTTCGCGTTCCTCCCTCGTCATGTTGCTCTTGTCCTTGACGCGACCCAGCTCACTCGCTCCATCTCCGGTCTCGCTCGCGGCTTTGGACGGACCTTCAGAATTCGCAGTTGTGCTAGGACCAGATGTGCCTTTGCTGTCTTCACCTCGCCTCATGATCTTACGTGTTGCAATTGGTGGTGGTGGAGAATTGCACTGGGTACCTGGCACCGGCAATCCTGCGAGAGGTGGAGGACTACCCATCGATCAGTAAAATTTCTAGAACCTGGATCTTAGACGGCTGACTTACACTCTCGAATGCGGCGTCTTTGAAATCAAAACGGCTGTGCCCGAATCACGCGGGTGATGGGTGTGATCAAGTCCGTAATAGTCGGCGAGGCGGTGTGAGAGCATGCGGTAGAAGGAATTACAATCGGGAAGGGTAAGATGCAACTCCCTACGTAGCATGTTAGCGCGGATCCTGCAAAGTGAAACAATTCCAGAAAGTAGAAAGGCGGGAAACAAACTTTTCGTTCTTCATAAAATCCAAGATGTCCTGCTCAATCTTGAGGATGAACACACGGTCTCTCGGCGAGCTCAACGCCTCGAGAAGCTTCTCATCCACGGGTGGCATGTCCGACGCCACCGAAACGGGGTTTGCCTGCTCGGTGATCTCCGCATTTGGAGTCTCTGGTAGTGGATTGAGCGGGATCTGGCCAAACTGAATGTTGGGCCTCTGGCCAGGTTGAGCCCGCGGATGGCCAGTACCAATCTGTTGAATGCGATGAAGCTGATCACTGAAGGCACGCGCATCCGTGTCGGAGCCGACTCTTGAGCCAGAGGGCCCAGTGCTCGGGCCGTCTTCTTCTTCAATGGCACGTATGCTTGCGCTGTCATCTGGTCTAAGAGACTCCTTTTCGTCCATTGCGAAAGTAGTGCCCGAGGCTATGCTCTGCTTGTCGAAGCTGGGCATCTTTACAGAACTTTCGGACGAGGAAACGTGAGTACTCGCATCGTCGGTCGGCGTTTTGACCTCGACCGGACTCTGCTCGCCAGTCGCTGGCTTGGCGACGATCTGGATTTGGGGCGTGATGGATTTGGAACCTGGCGCGATAGCCTTTGCGGCTATCTACGATTGCCGTTAGCATAGCGATTCAGTCGCACAATACGGCGCCCTTTTCTACGCACCTTGGCAAAGGTCGGCTTCGTTGCCATAATTGTGTGATGTGTTTAGTATGGAGAGGGTAACGAGCGACGACACCCACCACACGCCTGTGGAATCTGGTTGAAAAAAATATTGGTGAAGCCGTACGCCGTCCAGAAGCCGAGAGAGTGTACGTGTGCGTGCGGAGTGACTTGAAGCCGCGCAACAGAGCACAGAGAGAGAGAGAGAGGAGGAAAGAACCAAGAACGTCTCAGGTAAGCTCAAGGGTCAAAGCTGGAGCGTACATCCATGAGTTCACCATATTGCGGCATTTGCGGACGACCTTTGGGTGTGGGGTGAGACAGGAAGCGTGAGGATGGGGGGAGAAAAAGCGCCCTCTCCGGCAAAATACGTGGCTACGAATCTGACGACGAAGGATTGGGGGAAAGTTGGTCGGGGAGAATATGCGACGCCCAGGCCGATGGGCTGGATGACGCGATAAGCCGCAACCCGGAGGAGTCAAGACCGCGTCCAAACGGCGACGACGAGGACGACGGGTGGCTTTTGAGGTGGTGGTCGGAAAATGAGGTTCAAAGCTTTTGAAAGTTGTGAGGCCGCAATTCTGGGGCGGACACGCTGCTAGAACAAATACGGTATAGCGCGAGCTTCAACGACTCCCAAGAAATGCTTTTCCTCAGCCCAAGACGGTGACGAGATTTCATTCTCGCACGGAGCGTCCGCAGACGAACGTGCATCGATGCGTCCTCATACACGGTGGAGGCCCAACTGGAGCCTTTGGCGGTTGTGTTCATGTTCCCTGTGCAGGAGAAAGGATTTCCTGGGGATTATTCAAGCTTAAGTTACAAAAGGTTACAAGACTACATATTAAGTATGGTATGTCATCTTTGACAACCTTGTACGCTCTACTACGATTGTCAAAATCGCCATTCAATCGTCAAGAAGTTACATCGGCGTCGGTCGAGGTACAGAATACCCTTGGTACTATTTGGTCATTGAAGTTCGACGGGCGATTTAACTGAGTATATATATACACGCTAGAACCTGGCGCGGCTGTTGATGAATTCGCCAAACAGACGGCCAACTATGTCTCGTTCGTATCTGCGCCTGAAAATAAAAAAAATTAGAATTAGAAAAAAAAAGTGCAACTGCCACATGCAAAGCCACGAGAGCAAAAGCGGGAATCGACAAAGGGAGCGGAGCCTTGAAACAGACAGTCGTTTCGTTCAAACCAAAACGGTACGCCTCATGATGCTAGTACACAGACCATCAAAACCAAGAAACAGCGCTTTAATTATGATTTACATTGCCCCCGGCCTTCCCAATGTCGGCGTCGTCATCGCTGTCGCCTCCAAGGCTGTAGCGGTCCTCCAGATCATGCTTTCCGTTCAACTTCGAACTCCCCTCGGGCACAAGGTCATCCAACTCTGCCTCGTCGAAATCTGCCGCCTCCAAATCTCTGCTCGCCGCCGGGCGATCTGTAAACCGTCCCGCCGGGCTCTTGAAAGTTGAGGCGCGTCCATTCAACCGGCCTCTCGCGTCGTTGTCTTCTGGATCGCCCCCGAAGACGCCCTGGTAGCCTGCCCTTCGCCTTCGTCCTCTCCACACGAAGAAGCCCCACGCGATGGCGGCGACGAGAACCACCACGAAAGCGACTTCGCCAGACTTGTAGTACGCCTTGTACGTAGCCTCCTTGAGCCTTTGCGCTTGGTCCTCTTCCGCGATCGTGCTGTTGGGATGGCCACCCACGCTCGTCTGAGGGCTCTTCTCGCCGCCGATGATTGAATCGACGGGCTTGCCGCCCACGGTCCCAATATCCACGTTCATGAAACGGTCGAGCATGTCTCGTGTGCGACGTGGGTAGTCGAAAGGAACCATGTGTGAAGAGTTGTAAAATTTGATGTACGTCAAGTTTCGTGCCGACTGGTAAATGCCCGCGGGTTCACCCTCGAAGACCCAATCCAGGCGTGGTGCCGTGACTCCGTTCGACTCGAATCCTTTGCCGCCGTTGAACTCGAGCTTGTTGATCAGCTCTTCGGTGCCCATGTGATTGCAGATGAGGTCCTGATCTCCGGAAAACAAGATGATAGGCAGTTCCGCAAGGAGGTCTGGTAAGAATTTGATGGACGGTACCGATTTGGACACAGTAAAGGCTCCACCCACGGCGCCGTTGCACTCCACCCAACCCGTCTTCTTATCGGGATTGACGTGAAGGGCCTGAATGACGTCGCTCCGTCTCAAGTAAGGAGTCACTTCCGCCAGATCTGGCGGCCAAGACATTCCACAGCTTGGCGCCGTGTCCTTCAGCCGGATATCGTACATGTTAACACATTTACGTGTCCCGCTCTCGACCGTCTCTGTCTCTTGCAGTATTATTTGAAGAATGCTTTCGCACGAAGGCGTGTCGACCTTGTCTTTACCGCCGTTGGAGAGGTCTTGCAAGCATATGGCTTGCTGGTGTTCCACAGCCACGGATTGCTTGGTGCCGGGCTTGATCAAGCCGTGCTCGTAGGCGTACTGTAGATACGACGGATACTGATCGGGTCCTGATATCCAGCCATTGCCAATCAACAATCCTTTCAAGTTCCACATGTCCGCGCCGCTCTTTTTCTTCTTATTCCGTTCCAAGATTGCCTTCGCCACGTATGGGATGTGCTGTCCGGCATAGGATTCGCCCGCAATGTAGATCTGTATAGCGAAGAATTAGTGCTCCCGGTCGGACGCGCCAAACAAAAAAAACCCCACAAGGGGAGATAAAAAGAAAGGAGTGGTACCGACATCATCGTGCTGGAAATGTGGAAACATCTCGAACCACTTCTCCAGAAAAACCACGAACTGATCCGCCATTTCCTGCAGCTCGTGCAGGTACGAGTCCGTGTCGACGTAACTGAAGCCCGTCCCCACGGGGTTGTCCACAAACAACAGGTTCGCGAACTCATTCCACGCTCCGTCGATCCTCTCCAGCTTGCCTCCCTTGCGCACCCTGTACGGCCCGACCTCCATCAGCGCCCCATCCTCAGACGAGCAACCGGGCCCGCCATTCAGCCAGATCACGGTACGTGGGCGGTCGGCAAGATGCATGTTCTCAAAGTGCCAGAAGAAGAGGTTTCCGTGGTGCTCGGGTGTGACCTCGACGTGGCCGGCGTGCATCTTGATGAGTGGCTCGTCGTCCGGCGCACCTGGGAGGGAGTGTACAAAGTAGTCGGCGGCGGACTTTGCGCATCCTCCCGGCAGGAAGAGCAGCAGCGCTGCGAGCGCCAGGACGCTATGAAAGCTGGAGGATTTCCTCCGCCAGCGTGAGGAGAGAAGTGTGAGGCGTCCCATAGCGAGTAAACGGAGACGCAGTTTCGCTAGGAGGATCGTAAGCCAGCAGATGCTACCGCATGGATGCCGTGATGACAAGCGTGTGACGAGGTAGTGATAGATTGAGCAGCGATCGTAGATTTGTAAGGCTTTGTACGTGTGTCGGGAATTGCGTGTTGTACACGAAAGGCCGTGCTAGAGTAAAGGTGATGAAACCAGCCGCGTGTCGCGAGGGAGCTAAGCCGGAGGTGGTCGCAGAGGATAGACGTGCGCTGCGGAGAATGGATATCTTAAAACGGATCTGCTTTCCCCAACAGGACTGCAGACCTGCTGGATTATGGAGGAAAATACAAAAATTAAAGAATAGACAACGAATTTAGCAAAATTGAGCAGTGGAACGAGCGAGCATCGTCTTTTCCCCTCCCTTCCCCCCCCCCCCCCCAAAGAGTAGACCAAACACTCCGGAATTCCCACGGAGCCTTGGGAACGCCGCTCCGAACAAGGAGCCAAGGCATGCATCCAGCCTGAATTTTCTTCGGAAGCTAGAGATGGCGACCGTCAAAACAAGGTCTCACTGTGAGCAAATCTTCAAAACAAGTCGGGGCCTTTAAATGGTTTTCACAGCATCAATAGCCTTGGACGATGTGGAATGGACATTTGCATACCGACATTGCACAGGGAAATTTGTCTTGGCGCACGTTGAAGACAGCAGAGACCCAGCAAGGTCACCCATATTGTATGTCGGACATGCTTGAATATATACATAGGAACTAGTATCTGCTCTTCCACTGCAAATGCTAGGCTTCTTGAGACAGCCACGCCCCGTACTCAATGATGCATTCTACTTTCTGTACCACATCCGCGTAATCTGACAAGGTGATGCGTTAGTTTGTCGTGCTCGTCGCGCAAACAGGCCAAAAAGCGGTCTTACCTTGGTGTGTCTCATCTTCTTCTGCAGCTGAAAAATGCCATACATAAGTGCCTCGCTCGTTGGCGGGCAGCCGGGCACGTAGATATCCACCGGCACGATCCTGTCACACCCCCTCGTCACCGAGTAGCTGTAATGGTAGTAGCCGCCTCCGTTGGCGCAGCTGCCCATGGAAATGACCCATCTCGGCTCTGGCATTTGGTCGTACACCTGTCGCAGGGCAGGCGCCATCTTGTTGGTGAGCGTGCCCGCAACAATCATGACGTCCGATTGACGAGGAGAAGCACGGAAAATGATTCCCAATCTGTCCTGATCGTAGCGCGGCGTCGACAAATGCATCATTTCTACGGCGCAGCAGGCAAGACCGAACGTCATGGGCCAAAGCGAGCCTTGTCGGGCCCAGTTAGCGATCTGGTCGAGGGTCGTTCTACGTGACGGTAATCGTCAGCACGTTGTTCCCAGCACATTCAACACATCGGCCAGATTCAAATGCATACAGTGCGTATTGGGCAAAACCCTTCTTGCCCTCTTGACTCGGTAATGGCACCTCGCCTCTGACCTTCTTCGCTGGGACAGGAGTTCCGGGATTGCCTGAGACATCAGCTGGAGGCTTCGACACCTGTGCGGTGGCATGGTTCGGCGCAGAGGTGGACAGAAACGCAGACGGGCCTGCTCGTAGGGGTATGAGAGCATTGGCCGAATTGGCTATGAAAAATGAATCAGCGTTTGAAGGCGAACGAATTTGATGCTGGAGAGGATGGCAAATTGGGTGAGGGTGAAGGAACACACCTCGCAGGGCTAGAGCAGCCCTCGACCTCGCTGCTGACAGCATCTCTGCGTGTCCAAGCGATTGAACAAGAAGAGAAATCAAAGAAGCCGAAGCAGAGAGCGGAGAGATCGTGTTCAGGTGGTGGCTGATCGATGTTCACCCATGATGTCTGGTTGTTAGAGCGCGCACAGACCTCCCATTACGAGCTAGATCCACGCGACTTCTGATTGGCCCGTGGAATTTACTTGTCTACTAAGTCACGGTCCAAGTCATGCCCACGGTGCCTAAGAAGACGACATCTTTAGTCTCTGTCACGCGAACCATCGAACCATCAATATCTGCTCAGTCTACGTTCTTAAGAATATACAGCGGGGATGGCGAATCGAGCGCCAGGAATAGCATGTATCGGCTTCATAGGCAAAGCAGTACGTGCTCCTTTGTCCTCCACATACACGTAGCGTCTGCTCATGACCCCGACTCCGCAGAACAACCCGCTCCACATCTCACTCTTTCCGCCCAAGGAACGTGACTATTTGCAGTACTCGTTCATGTTGTCGTCATGTCTGGATCTCTTCGAGCTTCGAATGCCACACAAGACGGCAGATCAGGACTTCGGTCTTCTCCAAGCAATCGATGAGCGGCTCGCCATGTACGGATGGCTTACCAACACGGGCGTTAAAATCGTCATCGTCGTCGACATGGAGGGTAAACCCGCGCCTGCGGACTTGAAGAATCAGAACATACTAGGGCTTAGGGATAGCGACCTGAAACCTGTACGTTGTTTTCGTTGACTCCTTCGACTAGTTGCGAAAGTTTGTCGGCCGTTCACTTACCTTCGATGCCAGGCTTTCAAGGCTCTGCAAAGCGCCTACATCAATCTGCTGAGGAATCCATTTTACAATCCAGATGACCATGCGCCAGCGCCAGGAGTGAAACGCAGTGGGCCGACACATATCACAAGCCCGCGCTTCATCAAGGAAGTCCAACGTATCGGCGAGGCCTGGGCGCCAGGTGTGACAAGCCTATGAGCAACGTGCAAGAGAGCAATCGCCTAAATTCTGTCTTGTAGCCCTCATCCGTCCGCGAATCCAAGGAAGAGACGCCGCGAGGGTACTCTATGTTCCTTTCTTTCATGGTCTTCGCGAGACGCCAATGACTCTCAGCGTGTCCAGAACAACCCTTCATCAATACGATTTGATGCGCGGTCAACCACGTCTAGACTTCAACCCCAGAGGCGCACTCTGCCTAACGCTTATGGTATCCTTCCATAATGGCCGAGGCTCTGTGTCGTGTCATTTGGAAGTTCCTTTTCAAAAGTCATGGACCGCGTGTTGGTTCCACGCGTCGTGTGTCACTTGTGCCGAAGCTGAAAAGCCAGATTCGACGATATCATTGACCATATCCTAGGTTAAGTAGCGTTTTGAAGCGCTGCTATATAAAGACTCGGGAAGGAAAGAACGCTAATCAATGCAACTTCTCTCGATTCTTATGCTTTATCATCAGCACCGCCGTCCGTGTTGTAGACATCAGGGGATGTATAGCTGCACAAGCTCCCCCGCCGACTCTTAATTGGTCTTGCTGGTAGTAGGGCTAAGCTTCTTCAGCCAATCTCTCGCTTCATAACAAAAAGGACTTGAAAGGTTGTTGCTAAACGCGCCGTCCTGCACGCTGGTCCGGCATGGTACGGAATGAAGCTCGGCAAAAGGTGGACTGCATTTACAGCTCTTTCACATGGTTATTCATATCAACAGCCCGCTCCAGCCGTTCAAGCATGATGCATGTTCGCAGACATATTATAATGCGAGCTGTATGTAGTTAGAATGGAAAGAAGGTTTCCACTAGTGCGTAGCCCCATTGCAAACACATTTTCGTTGGTGAAGAACAGGAAGCAGAGCCTCGTCCTTGCATCATCTTTGGTTGCCGCGCTCTTGATCACGATACACGGAATTGACGGCGTTCAGAAAACCACGGATGACGGTGATTCGTTCTTTTGATGATTGTACTACGAACGTGGCCACTTTGGCAGGCAAAGTCTAGCATGTTCCTTGCTCTCTCAACAGCCGCCACGGGCGTCATCATCTCCTACCTCTGGAAAGAGCACATGATTTTCACATTCTCGCCAAATGCCATGGGACAGCGACGGCCATGTGTTGTCACGCAGACTGATATCCTCTTGGAAGCAGTCAAGACAGTAGGCCAGCGCCGCTCGTTACGAGAGGACGGGATTGCGTCATGCACATACAGTTCTATTCGTTTCTAGTCAACTTTCCGGCCACCATACCGATTTCTCGTGACAGAAATGAACAAAGAGGCGGTGCCTCCAAACATGTATTCTCAACGCCGAGTGTGCGCAACGGTAGGGCGACATTCGTCACGCGCAATCTTGACTACGTATTAAGCTCACTGGCCCACTTTTGGCAGCGGGACCTGACAAAACACAAATGCAAGTTCTCTTGCTGGAAGACAGGCTTGACGTTGCACGCTCTCAACGGCAGCTGCTCAGGCTCGTCATGGCCGGTGACCGGCCAAGTGCCCGCACTGGACCGACAAAGTGGCTACGCAGACCCAAGATCTCGCGTATGGTGCGTATGGATTCACGTTTCTTTTAGGCAGGCCAGTTGGGAAAACGATGGTCTCTCGAATGACGTAGGCTAGAGACAACATGTTGCTCGATTACCGGATCCTTTCTCATTGGTGCTCAGATATGAAGTCCACTGTTGTGTACGGAACGGGGGCCGACACAATGGACAGGCGCTCTTTTGATCCCGCAAACAGGGTCTAGGTGAAACATCCGAAGAGCAGCTGCAAATGCTGAGGAGGAAGGCCAGGGAACAACGTGTCCGCTGGATGCTGTGGACAGGCAGTTGCCCGGCGGGTATATCGGTGGTATGCTGGCCAAACCTCATTCGAAGTCGGTGCGATGACCGATGGTTTCCTCCAGCAGCACAGCAGCAGCATGCCTGTCGGCCATAAATGTGGGGGTGAGGGTTCCGTATGTAGCAGAAAGCCAGAAGGACGATCGAAGCCCGTTCCGACCAAAGCCATGATCAGCCCTATTCGCTCCTGCGGATGTGCCGCGACGCCGGGTACCTCGTGATGCCTGCCTTTGACAACAGCACCGACTGGTCCGTCGCGCATCGCTCACAAACGGCCGGAAGATGTGGACGATTTTTCTGAGCCAGGAAAACGACGGGACTCGAATGGCGGGCCTGGTCACCTGCAGCAGCGAGGTACCGTGGTTTGCGATGAGCAAATGGGATGACATGCCAGCGTCTCGGATTCGCCAAAGGCTGCGTTGGTTCTCTTTGGACGCCCACGCGCTTTTTTGTGGCTCCCGCCTCGTACTCCGGTGCCGATGGTCAGAAAGGACGTTCGCAGGTCGGCGAAGGTCCAATGCCCCGCAGCGTTGAGGGGGAGATGGGCAGTCTTGACGCCAGGTGAAGATGGTAGCTTTATCGTGGTGCACAACGTGACCGGACTGCGGACCAGAGCCGACTTCTTGATTGCATTGCTTCGCTGCCACAAACCCGCTCGCGTACGGCCAAAGACCAGTTGCGTGACTTCAGTTAGGTCGTTGTCTGATCGCCCGTAACACCGTTCTGTTGGACGTTGGTTCATTGTCCCGCCGGCCCACTGGGCATTCGTGGTGTCCAACCCCCACTTTCGACTGTGCGTTGCTCTGCTGCCGGCTGCTGTCTGCTGCTGATGCTGATGCCGATGCCGATGCTGATGCTGCGCGAACAGAGTGAGGACGCTGAACTTGCGTGCTGAACTCACCGCCGTTGCTTCACGGCTCGACCGCACCGCGCCGTCTCCCCGGATCACGCAGATCGTCCTTGCAGACGCCGAGCCGTCGCCCAAGAACAGACAATCTGAGAACCGAGACCCGATCGTCTTGACGATCAGTGACGGGCTCCCGCCCAAGCACGCCCCAGTATCTCGCGCACTCTCATCCATCGCCAGGGCCAGGTAACGTCAATCCGGCCTGCTCTATCAAGCATTGTCTGTTTGAATCACGCTTGAATCACACATCGCCTTGTCTCGCTGGCCTCTCCGCCGAGGGCTTTGACACGAGAGACAGAGACCAGGGAAAGGAAAGGAGAAAGGAAGGATTCGTCCCGCTACGAGCGGCCACGTCTAAATCTATCGGACCTGTCCATCGGGGCTTTTTTCGAGAAGACGCGGCGCGGAGCTTTGTGTTGCTCTGTGTTTCATGCCTTGGGCTGACACACGCACCCAGACACACGCACACACACGCACACAGTCACCCTGCCAAAGCCACATCGGCGACGACCCAGCCCTGTGACGCAACAAGGCTTGCCCTTCGTTCTCACAGGCACTTTTTTCGACCGTTGCAGAGAACCGTACTACAGCTAAGAACAACAGACAAGAGCAGAAGCTGAAAGCACACCGACAAGCAGCTGCAACAGCAGACCTTTGTGTTCGAGCCGTCTTCGCTGGAAGCACAGGACGACCCGCAAGTGCGCCCGCACCCCGGCAGTCCGCATCGTCTCCCAAGCACACGCCCTCTCGCCATCGCTTGCTTACCTCGTCCTCGCACTCAGGCCAGAGCTGAACACCGTTTAGGCTGCAGCAATGAACCCTCTTCAGCAGAAGCAGAAGGTTGACATCAGCGTACGTTCCCTCCTCGTCTCAACGTCACGCGCCTTCCGCACAAGACGTCAAGCTAACGGTTGAGTGTTCAGTCGCTGTCACCAGACGAGCAGCGCTTGTTCCGCATGTATGGCAAGCTGCCAAACAAGAAGGACTTGTTGCAGAACAAGTTAAAGGTGCGTCTCTTTTCCAAGTCCCAGTTCAGCAGCGTTGAGTTCAGCTGTACATCGCAAACTTCCACCCCCCACCCCGGCTCTGCCTGTGTTTTTGTCTGTACTGTCTTGGGACGGCTGACAATATTCGTTTCCAGGAACGCAAATATTTCGACTCCGGCGACTACGCCCTCTCCAAAGCAGGCAAAGCGTCGGACGTCGGCGTTACCCAGATCGGCCGCGAGCATCCCGTGCCCGAAAACATCCCACACTCGTCGGCCACGTCGCACGCCAGTCACAACGGCAGCATCTCTGCGTCTCCGGGCACGATCCCAGGCCAGAACTTGGCCGGCGGTCTTGCCAGAGGAGCCAGCCCTGTCAAGGAAGGAAGCCATCTGCAAAGGGAGAGAAGCGCCAGCGACATCGACGACGAGGACGCCGAAGACGAACAGCAAGGCAGCGGCCATGCTAAGCCTCGGCCGATCGCGATTGAGAAGTAGCCGTGGTGGAGAGATTGTGGTGAACGTGAGAAGAAGGTACTGGTTGCAACGTTTCGGAGTATATCAGGAAGCTCATCGAGGCAGTAAGTATTTTGAAAAAGAACAGGGGGTTTGACAAAGAAAAAAAAAAAAGCAAAAGTGATTTTGGCTGGCAATCCTATCATTCCGTACGCATACTCTCTCAGATCGAACAGCCAGCCGCCAGTTGGTAAACGGGGCACACCTGCATAGCCAAGCCAGAATGGAGAGAAGGAGAGTGAGGGTGAGGGTGAGAGGGTGAGAGGGCGAGACTGTGTGAGTGAGTGACAGATGGGGAAGGTATGTGTGTTGGAAAGGACGTTCATTCACGCAGATGTTTTTGCCGTTGAAATTAACTGCCGGTATATTCTCTCTGTCCATGTGCTGCATAGACAGAGTCTCATATGTTCCTTACACACTTGGTGGGTTCACTCGAGATGGCAAACTACAAATTCGGAGGCGAGTTTCTTGACGCGACGCGTCTCGCACTGAAAGTCTACTACGTTATTCTTTTTATCCAGCCGGGGTAAAGGTGGTTGTCTGATTCTTTGACCGTGTATCTTTTTACTACAAACAGATTTATATAGGGCGCATGAAAGCAAATCCACTGCCGCGGCTGAACTCTCTGTGCAAAAAATGCCTTTTTCTTTTTTCCTCTTTTTTAACATCACGCCCAGACCAATGATGCTAATGCGACCGGCTTGCAAAAGGAACGGAACAAACGAGTGGGTGTCGTATGTAGGACCTTTTTTGCATCACATGAATAACATCACATCGACGCCAACACTCGCCAGATAAAACAAGATCCAATGCGAACCCGCCGGCGACGTTTGTCGACATCTATTCTCTCAAAGGCCGAAAACGGAAATTTTGAGAAAAATAAAATAAATAAAAAGGTTGAAGTGACGCACGACGCGGCGCAGGACCCCCAAGGCCATGGAGAGACGAACCGAATCTTTTTTTTCACTCCCCACGGCGCCTTCCAGGCTGATCTGCCGGGTCGCCTTTTCGCAAAGAGACAAGAAATCAATCCCAAGGGCCAGACGACGTACAGGCTGGCCGTATGGCAAGCGGTACTGCATGGCCCAGCGCACAACCCCGATTCTGCAAGTGGCCTTTCACGCACGCTGACTTGCCTCTTCGCTGCGGCATGATTCCCAGGGGCAGACTCGGTCCTTGCTTGCGACCCAGACTCGAGTTTGGCCCCGTACGGGATCCCCCATGCGGGTATCTGACCTGGGGACGGGTTGCGGGCAAGCGTTCTCGTCCTTTCCTTCGAGGCCTGCGTACGGTCTTGAAGCAAACGGGCGGACCGCAGCTGACGAGTCCAGAACGTGATGCAAAGACCTGGGCGGGCTTCGAGGTGACGAATGCATGCACGAATTTGAGCAGGTCACGTCGAAAAGCGATGAGATGGTGGGTAGGGTGCAAGGAGGAGGAGGAGGAGGAGGAGAAGGAGGAAGAAGAGCATCCGACCATCCGGTAATCGCACGTCGGGATACAGTAAGGGCAAACGGACGCCGGGTCGGCCGGGGGCTCGTACGACGAGAGATCACAGTGTCATGCCAGACGCGAGAAGATGAAAGAGGACGGAGCGAACATGGCCGTGGTGGCCTTTGGATTCTGGTTGTAACGTGCGGGCAGACGAAGGACTGGACGTGGACCGGGCAGACATGTAGGTCCGGTATGGTGAGCGGGCGAAACGCCAGGACAGCACAGCTCGTACGCGACATGGCGGTCTCGAGAAGCATTCTGCCGGACCCGAGGCGTCAGGGCGCGTCCGCGCGCATGCAGTCTGCGTCGCGCGGCGGGCAGAACTGGCCTGATATCCATGTTTGGAGAAGGGCCGTTTGCTCGAACGAAACGGGGCCAAGAAGGCCGGCCTTTTGCACTTCTTATTCAACCGCTGAAAAGACGAGGTGCCGAAGCGGGTGTGATCTGAGTAGCGAAACAAAGCGTGCTGCCATAAGAGAAGACCGGCTTCGGAAGACGCTGGCAAACGCAAGCACATGTTCTTACGATCACCGTTTCATTCCAGAAGCAGAAGAGAGTTCAAACGCTCTTGAGCTGTTAAGAGCAGGCTCTCTCGTCTTTTGCATAACAAATACATCTCAATCAGGAGACGACCTCGCTCATCTCCTCCACCATCATCATCATCATCATCATTGAGCGTTTGAACATCCCCTTTCAAACGTCCGAATTCAACGCCCGGGTCATGGCCATGCGCTTGCTGTATGGACTCAAACTTCTCTCTCTTGGGGCCGTATCTCGTGGCTGCCGTCGATAAGGACTTGGAGACCGTGAGTACGTGCGTCCACTCTGTCTCGTCCTGTTCCTGGATCTCGACGCTTTTCTTCCGTTCTGTCTGCTTCCGCTGCGTGTGCCCGTTCGCGACCGTCTCTCCATGTCGTCTTCCATCCTGCTTGTTCTTCGGCCTCTTTCGCCGGGTGATCTTTCGCTTCGCCTTCTTCTCGTGTTTCTGTATCCGTGACCTTCATGCGATGCTGCGCTTGGCCGGCGCCTCCGCTTCCGTTCAAAGCTTGACTCTGCGCGATCGTCGCCATCATGCTGAGAAGCTACCATCCGCTCAGCGGATGATGGCCTGCGATTGCGGGAAGCTGACCGCGATCTCGATGTCGATATAGTGGAAACGGATGAAGAAGAACACGACGATGCAGACCGCGAGCGCTTCCTTGGTCGGTCCCCTTCAATGGACATGGAACGCTTGCGGCCGCGTTCAGCGGCTGACTTGGCAAGCTGCGCATCGGCTACACCCTTCCTACATTCCTGTTAGCCGGTGCGTCACGACGAGACGACGCGGCAGCGCACGTACTTCTGCATAAGGTCGTCCGGGGCCTCGTTGGTAAGTTTAGGCGCCAACTTTGGATTGAGCAGCTGCTGCGTCCGCGACGGTCGCGCAATGTAGGGTCGTTCTTGCGGAGCCGCTTTGCATTCATAGCTGTAGTGTCCTGTTTGGATCCGTCAGCTCGTGGCCTCGAAGAAGGTCAGGTTGCAGCCGACCTCGTTTTAGACATTTCTGGCACAGCGTCGACGCCGATGCTCGGGAAGTCGGCGGTGGGCGGTAAGCACCGCGATTCATTGTGACTCTGGCGAAGTGTGAAGAAAGAAATGAAAACAAATTTACTCGTTACTGCGCCTGCGGCTACAATCAAGAATGGTGGTAAAGGGAGCGTGTAGGACACGGGAGAAGAGGGCGGGAAAGTGGACGTCTGACATATGAAAACAAAAAAGTAAATCCGCGCTTGACACGAGTCGAAGCAGCAGACCCTGGGCCTCGAGGCGCGGTGACGCAGACGTGGACCTCGTGATATCAGCCCTACTCGTTGAACCCCTAATTGGTGTCCTTCATCACCGTACCGTGGCTCCAAACATGTATATATATCATATTTTTGGTTTCCCACCCTCCTTACAGCTCTCCGCACGCTGACCTGGAGCCTGTTCTTCTTCGTTCCCCTTACGGCACACAAACACCTTTAGGAGAATCAAATGCTCCGACACGAAAGCAAGTATCCTACTGTTTCAAAGTGCTATTGAGGGGCGACTGCGCGCCGAAACAACGTGACCAGGAGGCCTGGAAATAGACTCTTTGCCAATACCATTCTCATGTTCATTCATCGTATAAAGTCAGTCTGCTACTCTTGGGAACCTGACGAGACAGAACGTCAAATCCCAGATTGATATAATGTGTTCATTTACCATGCTCGCTAAATATCTAGTACAAGTGTGCATGTTTTTTTTGGGGGGTTTATTCTCAAAACGACGACATGTTTGCAATCAGCGACAGCTCGTTCTCTACCAGTCTTTACATCAAGATTGGATGCGGAAGGATACTTGTTGCCGGAGAATTGATTGAGCGTGTATACCTGTCGTCGATCTCCTGTGAAAACACACCAATGACTAACTAGTGCCAGACACGGCAAGCCTAAGTGCATGTTAGAATCGTATAATTACGCCACTGTACGAGTATGCTGTAGAACTCACTTCATCAAATGGTCCATAAACGTCTGCAGACTAACATCATCCGTGAAGATGGTTTGAGCGCTCTGGCTCCCTCCATAACCAGTCGTATGCGTTGTGCTCGGGTTCAGCTTGCTGAGTAAGAAACGAGCCTGCGAACCTCCCGCGTCCGTGACGATGAAACGCGGTAGCGGGAACCGATCCTGGATGAGGAGCTTGGCGTCTTCCTTTGGCTTGCTGAGCAGCTCTGCAAAGTTGGCGTAATCTGGCTGATCCTGGTAGCCCTCCTTGCGCCATGCGGCGATGGTCTCACCGTGAAATATAAGGATGTGGAAGTATGTGTCAAGCAGGAGGATAGTGTCGGGCTGGATGGACGTGCTGTCGAGAAGAACCGCCTCCGCTTCCTCCTGGTCGATCTTGTATGCGTCGAGCGTGGGCTGGATCATGATCAAGCTGTTGCTGCAGTCCTCGTGGTTGAGCACATGTCTGTAGAAGGCTGTCTCGTCAGGACTGTTGTTGAACACTTGCAAGAACTGTGAGCGACGGAGATGGAACATGAACTGGGGATACAAAGTGAAGTTACGCTCAAGCCTGAAGCTGGATGGATCGTCCTTTCTATACTCGGCAAAGCGGCTGCAGAGCCGGATCAACATTCTGTCAACCCAACGCAGGACGTCTGGGCCGTCATCAATCTCACTCTTGAACACGGCGATGCGGCTCATTAGTACAGCTGCAGCTTCCTGGTCAAAGGACTGTGCAATAGCAGGATCACCAGACGGTCCAGAGAGAGGCCGCGCAACTGTCGTCACACGAAGGTGGTATTGCCCGCCAGCGTTTTGATAGTAGGTGAGAATCTGGAACACGGCGCGCTGTTGGCCTCCAGCCATCGGGGGCGCTCCGGTCTGTCCGCCTATCTCGAAGAAGATGGCGTATGTGGCGCCTGGGTCTATCGAGGCCATCTTCCAGCTGCATGTATTGCCGATTCCACACTCGGTTTCACTGACGGAGGCACTCTTCTTGTTCAGTGAGATCGCGTGACCGATCAGGCCCGTGATCTTGAGTTCCTTAGTTGTGAGGACCTCAACACTAGCGTTGAAGCCTGCAACAGTTAGCAAAGTCATACTGGTGATGAAGGATGGAGACTCCTCACCCATCAACAAGTTGTCGTTTTCGTCCTTGTCGAAGACTCGGATGAAGGACTGACGGTACATGGACGATGTAAAGCTGTCGGTGAGAACTATATGACCGCCGGTGGCATTCGCTAGTGACCTCATCTCTAGCAGGCCAACCTGATCGAGACACCCAGCGAAAATATCGACCGTGTGGCCATTATGTGCAGCTCTTTTCGCCAGGGCGTCGTAGAACTTAAGTGCCTTCTTGTAGTATTTCGCCTGATCGCGTTCCATATCATGATGGCTTCGCAGAGGCTCACGTAGCTCAGGCCCGACGACCATGCCAGGACCTTCAGTGCACGGTCCGCCAGTGAAAAGCATGATGCGCGCTCCTGCATTCTGGAAGCTCGTCTCCAGAAGCCCGATGGCGACAGAGAGGGCAACGCCAGTGCTACGGAGGGCTCGCTTATCGCTGGCGACAGGCCAAGGATCCTTTGGCAGCTGCTCCAGAGTCGAGGTCAATGCGTACTCTGCAGTTTGGACAGGCAACAGGAAGCGAGCCGCGGCACCCATTGGAGGACGTCCAGGCTGTATTTGTGGCATACCAGGCCTCAGGCCAGGCGAACTGAGTCCTAGCATCTCGGAAATTTGCTTTGGTTGGTAGTCCTTGGAGCCACCTGTGAGATCGTTAAACGTTCGTCGATCCGAATGACAAAAGCAGCGGCATGCTTACGAAAGATGTAGCTCTTCGAGCATTCCGTGTACCCAATCTCGTGCACAGCGACGTTTGTGCCATAACTGATCAGTCCGACGAGGGCGTGGGCCGGAAGAATGGCCAAGGCCGTGATGATCGAGTCTTTGAGGGCTTGCAAACTTTCCTGCTCCTGGCATGTATCGACTGCGGCAGGTCAGTCCATCACCCAAATCCATCAGCCGCAGCATGTGAGCGCCGCAGGAAGAATACTCTAGCAAAGCAAGTCAGCGCGAGTGTTGAAGAAGACCGGGAACGGTTTGCATACTGCCTACAAAGAGAAAGATTGGTGGTGCGGGAGCGGGTCGAGCGAGTCTGTACTCGATTGTAGTCTGAGCTGTGGTCAGTAACGTCGCACTTTGTCCCATGGCGTTGCGGCGCAGACTCACGTTGGATGGATGCAACTCCGGTGGCACACTTTCAGCGCTGATATCTTTGTAATGCTATGTAGATTGTTAGCAATCGCCCAATTGCCGGGCGCAACGCAGTCACACATACCGGTGGCAGACCATTTCTTTGCAGACAGAACGGACAGACTGTGGCACAATGTCAGAACGGCAAACGGTTCGAGTGGGCATGATAAAGGGATTGGCTTTCATACTCCAAAGACGAGCGCGCATGTCAACCTGCAATGACAAGGTTAGATCTCAACTGTTGCACACCCTGCTAGCATCGGGATCCGACTTACCTGAGCATACGGGTTCATGACACCCCTGCAGGTCTTACAGCTGTGTTTTCCACGTTAGCCCAGTGTGTGTGCTGCACAAGCGCACGCAGCAAACGCTATCCACACAGAGACCAGGCGATTGGATGCAACACTCGAGAGATCTGTACCTCAACTTCTCACGTGGAGTTGACGGCTCACCCAAGCCATATGAAGGCTGCCCAGATCTGCCCGGTGATGCAACCGCCGCAATGGCGTGCCCTTGCTTTCCAACGACTTACGCAACAGGTTCGTATTGAAGGATGGGCTTCTCGCCCAGGTCCTTGAGCGGCGTGTACAGACATCCAATGGGGACGACAAGGCGGCTGGCCTCCATCCTCGAGCTTGGAAAGGTGTTCCACGAGAGACGGTAGCCATCGGTATCTGCGACTCGCGTTGGACAACATCAGCCCTCGTTCCTTCTCTCATTCAACGCGTACAAAGTGCGATGTGCATCTTCTTGCAGGTAGGGTCGTGTGCTTGGGTAGTAGCCATACCCTCGATATTGGACCACTGTTCCTTCAACTGCGCAAACGGGTCAGCACGATATCGCTTCCAAAGGGGCCCGGCAGGACGAGGGGGCTGTTCACGCACGCTGTCAAGATCCATGTTTGGCCCTTTGTTCTCTGCAGCCTTTTTGCCTCTGCTCGTTTCGAAGCTCTACCGAGCCGTTACGCTACGTTGGAATCGGGGAGGGGTGTCGAGCTGCGGATCTAGGCGCAGAAAAAGGCGGGATGACGCTTGGGAATTTTCGAGCGTCGCAGAGTGCTCGAGAATGGGGGATCACGCAGGGGACGAGACGCAAGACTTGCTCAGGAAGAGAGGGATGCGTGCGAACAGAAAGAGAAGCGAGAGCCGGCCTCTGTCAAAGCAGAAGCTTCGTGCGTGTCGACGAGCAATTGCCTGGAGTGTTCGGGAGTGTCGAGGCCAGATAATCAATGCGCGGCCACACACAAGCTCTCTCGCTCTCCCTTCTTGACCTTGGATGTGGCTTCGTCGCCTCTCGGTGTGGAAAGATGGCGCCAATTCCAGATCAGGCAACGCGCCTTGGACTCCGTGCCACTGACTGATTTCGCTTCTCCCAGGCTTTCCCATCTTCCTTTCCTTTCCTCAACAGTCATCACCCCAGGCGAGAACCGGCGTCCGCGCCGTTGAGAAGTGTCTTTGATCTCCGAATGTGCGAAGATTCCTTCTGTTCGATGGTCGCTGGTGTGTAGAGCGAATGGTTCTTCTCATTGCCCTTTGCTGGGCGCCTGGCATTGAAAAGCCGTTCCGGCTATCATGAGATGCTGGGAATCAGCTGTGGTAACATTTCAACCGACTTCAAGGAAGCCGTCCCTGCGCATCGCTCAATCGTCTTTGTGTCCTCTCGTTGCGCTTGGCGGGGGGGGACACGGGACGGACCTTTGGGCCTGAGATGACGCGCGACTGGTCGCATCACAATTGGAATTCAGTTCATCGACCAAGGCTTTCCTTGTCGTCAATACGTATCGTTATCCCTTTCTGGTCAAATCAAGATGGCAACATGCTGAAAGAAGAGCGAGTAAAAGTTACTTCAAAGCCCTCCCCCTTAAGACTGATCAAACGTGGAGCTACAGGCACGTTTGCTCAGAACCACTACACAAATACTGTCAAAAAAGTACAAAGGGCACACGGGTCATGAACTCGGACGTGGTTCAAACTCGGCTACATTAATCCACACATAATCCGCAATACTCTCGCTAATTGACATACTTCTTAATCAAAGAACGTACTTTTTGTCACCAGCAATACCTCCGTGAAACGTCCATCCTTGTCGAGACATACAAAACACCCACATTGACAGATGTGAAGAACCCAGTCTCCCAAGACGCTGCAGAAGATTGCGAAGAGAGCTCTCTCAAGCCCCATCAAGTATCGTCCGCCCTCGGCTCTCCACCGAAGGTCTTGAGGTACTCGGCGCTCCACCTCATGTCAGAGAAAGTGTTGGTGGAAGTAGCAGCGGTCTGTTGTAGCAATGAAGTAATTTTTGTTGCAGTATGCTCGTCGGTGATCCGATTTTAATTAGTAGGGTTTTCTCTGGGACGATGCACCACACCTTCTCACCAATCCATGGTGACGGAAGATGGGCAAGTAGAATTATTACAGTCTATACCAATTTCGAGTTGCCCGTTGCCCATTTAACGCAGGAAGAAGTATATCAGCAAATAGAATCAAAAGGAAGGAACTTTGATTGCGCAACCGGGTAAGAGAATCGAAACGCCCTAAGATTTTGCTAGTTGAAAAAAAGCGGACCCAGACACCCTGCTCTTCTTCGTGTACGTTCCTGTGCAAAGAAAACAAAGTACGCGGAAGGTGAGCGCAGCAGGATACTCTCCCCAGCCATTTACAAAGCGAACATGGCAGCAACAAGACCGGAAAGACCCATAGCCGCAGCGTTGATCCGGACGTCACCAGCCTCCGACTTCTTGGTAGAAGAGGAGCCAGAGCCTGTGGCGGTGGTGGAGCTGTTGCCCGGGTTGGTGAGGGAGCCTGCGCACTGGTACTTGCCCTTGATGACGGAGGACTGGCCATGCTCATTGTTAAAAACGTCGCAAGACGCGGTGATGTTGCCAGTGGACTGAAGGTTGAAACCACCACGGTTGTCCTTGAGAGCAGGCAGAGAGACTCTATAGTTTGGACACTGTTAGCAACTTTGGTGCTTCGCTGTTGCCATTGCCACGCATGTTCAGCTTGGGCGGGGGAGCACTTACGAGGTAAAGTTTCCGTACATGTCGGTGGCACCGCTAATGGTAGTCAGAGCTGGGAAGGTGACCTCCTCGAGAATGGTGTTGTTTTGCACTTGAAGACCACCAGTAATTGTCTGGAGAACGGGCATGGAGATGTTGGTCAACTTGGGGTTCGTGTTGATGGCAAGGGTGCCGCCAACCGTTGTCAAGTTGGGAGCGTTGATGGTGGTGATGGTGTTCTCGTAAAATCCGAGAGAGCCAGTGGTGTTCGTCAAGGACGGGATCGAGATGCTTGGGACGTCACGGAAGGTGATGTTCGCAGCAGTGATGAGGTTGGGGAAAGCACACTTCAGCTGATCACCGTTGGACTCAACGTTGATGGTGCCAGTCAGGTTGGAGACCTGGAAGCTGATGTCCTGCAGCAAGTTGTTGTTGGCAATGTAGATGGACTCGACTGATTGCAGATTGATGCCGTTCAGAGAGCTCAAGAACGTGTTCTGAATGTTGAGAGACTGGGCGGACTGGATGTTCTGAGGGAAGTTCAGCGTGTTCAAGTTGGGTAGACCCGAGAAGTCGAGCTTGCCGACGGAGGTGATCTCCTGGAAGTTGAGGGTGTTGAGACGTTGCAAGTTGTCCAGACCGAAGGTGCCGCCGATGGACTCGATGCTGTCGGCCGAGATGGACGTGACATTGGTGGCGCCAGTGGCCGTCAAGTCACCAGTGATCTCGCGCACGCTCGGGAAGCTGAAATCACCAGCGGCCTCGGTGGCAATGGCGACGCTGCCGGAGAAGGTGGTGCAGGACGAGAGAGCGCTGGCATCGGCCGGGCTAACGACTGTCAAAGTGGCCGAGGTGCTGCACGAGTTGCTCTGGGCTGTTGGCATCAGGCATGTCAGCATTTTCCAATGACCTTGTTATGATTCATGTTGCTGGTTGTAACACCGCCGCTGTTGCTGTAGCTTCACACGGGGTACGGGCTTTGCCAGATGGCCAGAGCTACGCAAAGCACACGACCAACAACCAGCAGACGTAGGTGTATGTGTCACGTACCGAAGGCCGAGCCAGCTGCTGCCAGAGCCGGCAGAGCGTATCTCAAGAAAGCCATTGCTGCTGAGATGCGGTTGTGCGTGGAAGGTTAAGCTGTTGGACGACACGAGGAGCAGTCAGCGAACGCGCCAAGACAAAGACTCGAAAGATGGGATTGGGGAGAAGATAAAAGAATCGAAAAGGAGAGGATGACGGGAGGCCAACAGGGTGGACGTACCGTTTTGCTAAGGCTACTGCTCCGAGACGATCGCCAATTGGGAAATTAAACGGGCTGACGACAGTCAATTGGCTGCTGGGGGGGGGGGGGTGGTTGTTATTGTTTGGCGGTTGAGGCGTGGTAAAGATGAATGTGAGCGAGAGTCAAGAAGAAAGCGGCCGAGTCAAGATTCTACTCCTGAAGTCGACGTGGTTGAAGTCTCTTCAGACGTCGGGATGCTGAGGTTTGTTTCGAAGGGGAAAGGAGGAAACGAGAGCGAACACCAGAGTTGGTCGGCAAGCGCAACGGCCAAGATGACGGTGGCTTGATGATGATTCGGAAGGAGGAGGGCGAAGCAAGAAGAGAAGAGAAGGAAGGTCTTGGAAACAACGGAAGCCGCGATGGAAAAGCCAGAGAAGAGGACCGTGAGTGGACCAAGCGGCCTTTGTTTGATGGGAGTGGGAAAAGGAGACGGCCGGGCAAGACGGGTTGGGCGACGAATCGAGAGTGATGGGTGACGCGCGCAGCTGGTGGGCCGGGTCGCAGCTGGCTGGGGACGGACGGATGCAGGCAAGACAGCAACGCGACAGTGCCTGAGCCTGAGGCCTGTACCTGCGGCTGGGCGTCTGCTGAGCTAGCCGGGCTTGTTCAGGATGGGAAATGTATTGGAACCGTCGCTGCACCGAACAAACAGTCCAGCATTGGTACGGGGACGTGGGAAAGCAAGAAAACCTGGCCGTGACCCACCGCGCCAAAGGGATCCACTGGCCGCCGCAGACACTGTCCTGCGATCAGTGCAGCCATTCACCAGCCGGGTGCCAACATCAGCATCGTCGTCGTCGTCTGCCCCAGCACCCATGCCCTCGCCTGTGAACACAGAGCGACGGGCTGGGCCGAGTGGCTCTGGTGGCACTGGTGGCAATCATCTCGGTGACATCCACCATCACCACCATCACCACCACCAGCAAAGCCCGCACACGGTGCGGAGATGCTCTGTTGGCTTCCATCCTCGTCTTCACACCCCCGTCCTGGGAGCAGCCGTGCGAACCTTGGCTCAACCACGCTTGCACAATTCTTGTGTCCTCCGCGCCCAGCCCCAGTGATCAGGCATAGCAGGAATCACTATTGATGCATTATCGCTAGTCCGATCACCCCAACCTCCACATGCCAAACGCAGTCCTCTTAACGCACACGCAAAACAGGTTTCCAGCATAACGTGCACGCTCCCACCCCCGGCCCAGAACGAAGCATCGATCATGCCCTAACAAGACGCGCTACTGAGACTTGTACAATACTGCGCGCTACAGTGCATGTTAGCGCAGCTGAAACCGATGAGAGACGATCGGCCGTAGTGTTCGTTCAGAATGTGTCCGGCGGCGCCGGCCTTGTTGTCGTTAACGCCACCGTCTGGCAATTCGCCGCAGCAGTATCCGTCATGAGCCTCGTCGAATGCGCGATAAGAATGATGTGATTCATTGATGGAAGCCATTTTCGCTGGCGCCAAGCTTCATCTTGCGTGTGGACAGGGGAGACACGCTAAAAGCGGGACGGGCTTGTTTCGCCGCGATGTGAGTTCGCATCCAGCCAGCTGCTGCCAGGAAAGCAAATAAAGATGCCTGTCCATGAGTACGACTGCGGCTACGAGGACGACTTAACGTGCTGTGTGCGGGGACGAGATCTGTCCAGATGGCGGAGACAGACCGTAGCTGCTGCCACGACCAGAGAAAGAGAACTACGACGGTCCTGTTTGTGGATGCCCTCAACATTTGCCAGCACTCGACCGCGCGTTTCAATGCCCACGACGTACCCGGTCGCGAGCTCGTCTCATGTGCACAATCTGATGCCACTGACGTAGCTGCTTTGTTTACTGCCTAGAAGGAGGAACAATCCGCAAAAGAAATTGGTACAAAAATTGGGAAAAAAAAAAAAGGAAAAAAAAAATATACACTGAGACTTTTCGTCCCCCGACGATAGCAAACAATTAATGTCATCCTCGGATGCGCACTCGTCTGAGTCTCCGTCGCTTTCGCTCTCGCTCTCCCCGATTTTCTTATCAATGCTTTGACGCTTTCGTCTCCACTGCGGCGGCACCACCATCCTTGGAGAGATCACGGCCACCAGCTGAGCTGTCGCGAATTTCCGAAACTGCCATCCCGCCCTGTTGTGGCTTCGGTTCATCGTCATCTCATCTCATCTAAACTGCCCTTATCTTCTTGCTTCTCGAACAAAAAAGCTTCGCTTAAAAACGCTGGTGGTGACACGACGATCGTTCGGACGGAGCCACATTCGTGCCAAGCGAAATGATGTGCTGCTCGCGCTTGTCGATTCTGAGATTGCGAGCCTTTGGCCCTTGCCAACACCTTTCTTCGCAAGCTTTTGTGCTTTCCGTAACTTTGCCGCCACTGTGGAATGAAGTCCCGCGCATCTCCATAATGACCATTGGATGTTCCCATCTTTTCCTCCCGCCGGTTCGATGATGCCAGACGGGGTTCTTGCCTGCTCGATACAGACCTTGCTAGCGGCATCAAACGACTCGCACCTACCTACCCTGGCAGATCCCGGACTGAACGCGCGGCAGGTACTACCATCCGCACACACGCACACGTACACGCACGCATACATAGTCTCTCACAACCACATCCCCAAGCCAGTGGATCGATGAGTATTTTTTTTCTAATTTTTTTTTAAAAGAAAAAAAACCTTAAAAAAAAGAAAGCTTAGAAATTCAAGGAGAGCTGCTGGACGTACCGCGAATCGATGCTTCAAGTGCTGCTCTCCAGCTGAATTCGGCGTACTTATTCCCAGCCAATATCTGAGCCACCCTCGTGAGGGGCAGTCATGCAAAATGCAAATAGTCCTGCGTCAAAGACCACACACACACATACACAGCTTCGTGTACACACACATATGTTCGGCGGGTCCCTCCCCGCCTCTTGCATTGTCTCTCGATAGTTCCAGCTTCCCAAGACGGAATTGATCCTAAAAGGACATTACGACAGTGATTAGCAGCCCGACCTATCTTCGCCTTCCACACCTCCTCCGCTCAAGGACGGAATCCCATCGCCCCTAGGAAACTACAGCACTGCGTAATCGGAAGTCGGATCCAAAGAATCGATCTGGACGCTGATGACGAAGTGTGTGTATGTATGCGATTTTGTCTCCACGCAGCTCGGACATTCCGATTGTTTGTGCTTTCCGAGTAGGAGTACTAGTTGTGGCAGAAAAAAAAAATAGACACAATGTCGTCAGCCAGCCCACCATGCGCTCCAGATCGCTGCCATCTTCGCTCATTTCCTTGCTAATCTTCCCTTTGTCGACTGTACGTAGCGGCATCGGTCCTCTGATGTGCTCTCATGTGTTTCTCTTCGTCCAAGGCAGAAGCAACCACCGAGACAGTGTACTAACATGCACGTGACATACAGTGACTACCCTATGCCTTCGCGCATCAGGATATCTGGTACATACCCGCCCGACCGAGCACAAGTCCCGCAAATACATGATGTGACATGTATAAAGAACGCCTGCGAAGCTTTCTCAGGCGTTCTTCGACAGTAAGCAAGACCAAGTGCAAATGGCCTAGCATTCCTTTCCGTCAGCATCAATTGTATCCAGCACCCTAATGGTAAATGCCGCTCAGGCCTCTTCGAACATGTACCTTAGCTGGTGCTCCTCGTCGCCAGTCCACAGCAGCTCATTCACACCCTCCCAAGGACCCTCGTACCAGTCCAGGTCCGGCTCGATGTCCCGCAAGTATTCCTTCACAGACCGACGATGCTCGGCCAACGCCTCGAAGCGGCTCTGGAACTGAATTGCCGGTCCGTAGCAGCAGAACCAGTGGCTGATGTGCGTATCTACCCCTCCGACGACGTGCAGGACGTTGCCACGCAAGAAGGCGTCTTCGGCGGGCGGCGTTGGGCTGGAAGAGTCATCAGATGTGCCAAAGATGATCACGTCTTGCGTAGTTCCGCGACCCGTGTCGGCGAGACTTGGTGTCATCAGGGTCGCCGGGGATGCGGGGGCCCGGACTGCGATGGCCGCGTTCGTATCAGCGGTGTTTGTGGCCTGTTCCCAAGCAGCGACGTGAGAACTAGCCAGAACGGCACGACGAGAAGCAGAGGGGACGGTAGGCGCTCGGTTCCCAAGGGCCTCGACGCCTTTTATAAACTTGCCACCAGTAGCCTCCTGTGCGGATCTGACTCGTTTAAAAGTTGAGACGCCAGGACAGTCGTTGTCGACGCCGGTGTTGATGTTGTTGTCCTCATTGTCGTCGAGGACCGTGGCGCGTTTGCGCTTCATAGCTGTGATTCGAGGCCGAATAAGAGCTAAGTTTCCGTCCTCCTCCTCGTGGCCGCCATCGACAAGCTGAACGGGGTTCCTGAGTTTACCAGGCGGCCATGTTGCTTTACTCGGTTTACGCTTGCGGATGTCAACTTCAGTCGTCGTCTCCGAGCTGTGTAAGCCCTCGCCTATCGCCCGGAAGCCGATCTTGGTTGGCATCACCGTGCCTGAAATCTGGCACCGAAGCAGTGTCTTTCGTTCCTGTTCCTGGCGCTCGCTGTACTGGACTGCGGTGCGCTCGTCGAACCCCCAGATGGCGCTAGAGTTTCTCACCCAGTCGAACTTGACGCTCGTCGCCGTCCGCCGGATGTTGAAATCGGAGAGGAGCCGATCCGACACCTTTTCCCAGAAGCCCTTGCCCAGGGGAGCGAGCTTTTTGACGGTCAGGTAAAGGGCGCGCGATTCCAGCTCGTTGAACTTGGAGCCGTTGCGGTCCAGTGGCGGCGTCGAAGCATTCACCTCGAAGTGGCAGTACCACGGGCCAGTAGGCATGTTGTCTTCTGCCAGGTGAGCACATTCGTAATGATACCAGCGCTCACAGGTCGAACACTGCACCATTCTGGAATTTTTTGCCTCCTGGCAGACGCAAGGGGTGCTATTCTTCTTCCCATCTTCGGGGTGAAGCTCAGTCCCGGGAGCGCGACCAATACAAGGAGATGTCACGACGTCCGTTCCCTCAGTCCTGGGAGCTACTGTCGGCGCCTTGGTTTTGGTCTGGACGTCTCCGGTCTTAGTTGCTCTTCTGATTAATCTCGAAATGGAAAGACTCACCGTCGCGAGCGGGCTGTGAGGACTATCAGCGACCTCCCAGCTCTCGTTAGAGCCTCCAGCCGGAAGGTGCAGTACGTGCACAGGATCACAGGCTGTTGTTCTGCACAAATCGTCGCTGTTGTCCCTGTCACTACAGTACTCGAACTCGCTCGTAACAACCGTCGTCTCCTGAGACGAGGTCCTTGAGAGAGCAAGAGGATTTTGAGAGAGACCAGCCCTCTCGCTTCTAGTGCTACGGCGACGATCGGTCTTCCGGAAAACAAGATCAGCCGCGATATGGACGTTGCCGTTCGCTCTCCGGATTGCGTCCAGCGCAACGTTGAACGGCACGCCCAAATAGTCTGTTAGGATGTTGATATCCTGATATGTTGCCATTTTGACCTGAGAAAGAGGCCTGCTCTTGAACTATGATGAGAGTAAGAAACAATAGTCTTAGAATGGCCTACAAGGCTCTTTATCAAAGGCGACTGCACAGCAGTCGAGCAGCGGTTCAAGAGAAAAAAAAAAAAAAAGAAGAAGTACACAGAGAAGCAAATAGAAGAGAGGCTACATTTCGTTATGATTTCGAGAAAAGCCATGGTAAGTGGTTCTATTGTCATCTGCTACAAGAAACCATTGTGGCTGGTATGTGAATGCTTTTCCATTGTTGCAAAGCCATCGTTATTGTGTGTCCTGCGAGAAGGGTAAAGTGAGGACGAAGGTGAGGTAGATGTGAGAAGAGGGTTCAGCATCGCAGTCTAACGGCGCCGTTACGGCGCTGGTTTTTCTGGTCTGAAAACCTTGGAGACAATGAGAAACGTCAATGATACGTTTGTGAGAAGGTTCGTGTAGACTTCGCGATTCAGTGTGTTGTCATGAGCGGTTTGCTGATCTAATGACCTTTCATCGATGCCCAAACGTCGAAGTGGGAGTGACAACTGACAAGAGACGTCGCCTCGTTCGCCGCTCACTTTACGAGGTGTTCGGACAGGAACTAGAGATCAGTTTTTTAGGAAAAAATTGACATGCTAAATTCAACGCTGATAGACCGCTGTGGTCTTTCCTCTCCTAGAATGAGCAAGCACCTCACGTATCGAACGGCGTAAACCTGGTGGGAATGTGCTTGGATAGAAGTAGCGCTGGATAAGCTCTGCGGCGAGCTCGGTTACGAATATGTCGCTTAACCTCCCTTTCAGACAGACAGACAATCGTGAATTGATCGACGACGGCCAGCGTATATGCTGCTTCATCATCATTACCATCATCAACGTCAACCTCGCGTCGCGAATGTATTCCGACCGAAAATTGAGCCAAGACTCTATCCACGCTCATGTCCAGTCTCCCTTTTGAGCTCTTTAATATTTTACATCATGGCACACCCTCGTCGCCGGCGCTGAACGCAATAACACCACCCAGCACTTCCATTTAGGCTGACCCGACCGGCCCGGACATCAGGCGCAACGGTGACGGGCTAATTATCGGCCCGAAATACGCCAGCGAAGAAATCCACGACGCGTCCCGGCTCGTCCAGGCTCGAGATCATGGAGACGTACTGGTCGGGCCGGACGGTGACTACGGCGCCTTTGCTTGGGTCAACGCCAAGGAAGTCGTAGGCGTGGCCGTGGCCGTAGTTGTAGCTCTCGTCGTCGACGACGATTTTGTGGTGATCTGTCTTCGCGTTAGCGGATCTTGGAGGGAAAAGGGTTGCGTCGCGTGTCTTGAGGAGAGGGGGGAAAAACGTCGGCGTTGGACACCAACGCTTTCACACTTACAGGCCAGCGAATACTCGCCTTCCCTTGGCTTGAATACGGCGGGAACTTGAATTCTCTTCTCGACCACGGCGTCGTCGATGGCGGTTCGCGACCCGCTGAGCACGAGAATGGGCTCAACTAGCTCGTGGCTGTGGCCGGCGGAGGCGAGCTCGGAAGCGAACTGGGCGAACGGTCAGCAGGGCGCGGTCAAAACCTTTCTCCCCCCTCCCCCCTCTTTTGCAGAGAAAAAAAAGGTGCTCTTACTCTCTCGAGCCTTGAAAGCATGTCGGCGACCAAGGGATTGCCGGCAAATACCACGACACGCCACCGTCCGTTCGATTGCAGCAGCTTGGCCAGCGGCACCGCCTTTGCATCGCTCAAGCGCACGACCTGCGCGCTCGGCAGTCGCATCCCCACCGTCACGTTCTTCGCGAGCGTGGGCGCGCTGCCAGCCGCGTTTGTGATGCTCGAATCCTCGTACGTGGTCGTCAAGCCGGCCGTGTAGCGCAGCGACTTCTTGAAGTGCTCGCTGAACTGCAGCGCCGCGTCCTTGATGCCCTTGTCGTGAGCGGACTTGAACAGGCCCGTCAGCTCGCGGTCAAAGTCGATCAGGTCCCTGGCCGTCTTCTCGCGCTCGAGATTGTACGTCCTCAGGAGGTCGGCGGAGCAGACGCCCCGAAGCACGTGAGCCAGCTTCCAGCCCATGTTGTAGCCGTCCTGAAGGCTGAGGTTCATGCCCTGGCCGGCCTTGGGCGAGTGCGTGTGGCAAGCGTCGCCCATGAGGAAGATGCGGTTGTCCTTTGAGAAATACTCGGCCAGGCGCTGGCCGATCGAGTACGCCGACCACCAGAACGTGTGTCTGATCTCGAGCCTGTACTGGCTCAGGATCTTCTTCGCCGTCACCTGCAGGTCCTCGAGCTTGACCTGCTTCGCTTGCGTGCCCGGCTGGAGCTCCAGGTAGAAGCGCACCATGTAGTCGCCCTCGCGCGGGATGATGAGGAGATTCCCAGCCTTGGACCGGATCACGCACTTCTTCCGTATGTCGGGGAAGTCTGTGTCGGCAAAGATGTCCATGACGCCCCAGACGGCGTCCGTCGTGTCGCCGATCATCCTGTAGCCAAGTGACTTTCGCACCGCGCTGTGCGCCCCGTCGCAGCCGAGCACGTACTTGGCCCTGTATTCGACTTCCTTCCCGTCACGCTCCGCCACCACGCGGACGGGGTACTCCGGCTCGGACCCGTCCATCTCGACGCTTTTCACGGCGAGGTTGTAGTCCACGTTGCGACCACCGTGCTTCTCCATGTCGCCGAGCATCAGCTTGTTCAGGTGGGCCTGATTCATGATGACGTGCGGCTTGTGACTAAGTCCCGGCGGCACGTCGGCGGTGCGTCCTGTCCGCATTATGCGGTCTCCTGAGCCATGCCCGCTCGTCTGACTGTCATCGGCGCTCCAGAAGCACACTTCGGTGACCCAGTACGCGGTCTTGACCAACTCGCCGTCCAAGTCGAAGCTTTCGAAGACCTGCCCAAAGACGAAGCACAAAGAGTGAGTACGCAGCAGTTGAACGAGTGGGGAGATGCGCTTGCGGGCAGTACGAAATCTTGGCACCAACCTCTACTGTTCGGCACTGAACTCCATCCGCCTGTCCAATCTTCAAAGGGCCGTCTCTCTTCTCGAGAACGACGTACGGAATCTTGAGTCGCGCCAGCCACAGCGCCGCGCAGAGGCCAGCGCTGCCGCTGCCGGAAATCAAGACGTCGGTTCTTACGGGCCCCGTCGATTCCATCGGTATGTCTTCAGCCTCTGCTGGGCTTCCTGAACGAGGTCCTTTTTTTTTTTCTTTCTCTCTTCGCTACTTCAACGTCTCTCAGGACGAGGGTGAATATAAAACGCGGGGAAAGGGTCCTAGTAGGACTGTGATCGCGCTGGTTGACCTTTTACGTCCAAAAGCTCTCCTTGTGGTCTTTCAACTGTATCTCCGGCTTGTTTAAAAAGAATACGACGCTCTCTGAAAGGCACCGCTCATTGTGAGTCCTTCGAGGCCTGCCCGAAAACGTCAAAGGATTATATGCTGGATGGCACTCGCGGAAGATTTCCGACCTCATTTTGTTTTTATTGCTGACGTTCCCTGGAGACTGTTCGATTTTCACCCATCGCGATGCCCGCACGCATGGGGGCCATGGCACGGCAACGCTCACGGCTGAAAGTCTCTTCTCCAGGCCGCCTCCCAAAAAAATAAAAATAAAACAAGAGTCTGGGACAAGCGCTCCGTCGTGCGCTCGTGCAAACACGGGTCCAGAGCGGCGGAACGTAGTCCGGATCTGGAGTCCGCCAGAGGTTCCCCTTCTAAAAACGGCCGCCCCCGCACGGAAATCGTGGCAAGGTTTTTTTTGAAACAAAAAGTACGTTCGCGGACGGAACGCAGACTCCACCCTGCCTTTGCTTTATCTCCCCGATCCAAACGAAAAGCTGCACCTCCACACGACGAAGGGAGAAAGAAAACGAAAAAAAAAAACCCCTCCCCCCTCCAATAAAAAGGGGAAATGTCGGATCGGCTCCGCGAATGTGTTCAATCGGCTTCATATTTCGATTTATCAGTCAACCCTATAAAAGGAAAAACACCAGCAAGGCAGCCGGCGGAATATACACGAGCCATAGTCTATACCTGATTGCCCACGCCGGGCTCAAAATGCGACTCTCCCTTCCCCCCCTCCAGCAGCAGAGGTATCCCGTAAAATCATGAACGGCCTTCAAAATGCCTGGTTGCGAGTAAAGTGCACAGCCCAAAGGTGGGTAAAGAAGAATCGGTGGGAAAGCAGAGCACGAAAAGCACTACACACACGCACCAAATGAGGATGGGGTCTTTCAACACCAAAAAAAACAAGGTGTTGTAAACAAATGGACAGATCATACGGGCGTATTTTAGAAATGTATGTGAGCGCCACAACGAAGAAGCCTCCATGCATTACAATCCCTAAGAAAGCAATCTGTAGAGGAAGAAAAAAAATTACACATCAAGAGCAATCCGTTTCCCGCCTTGCTAAAAGCGCGCGCGCCCATATAGTTGTAATTTTTTGTGGTTCCAGATCATCTGTGGTAGTGGCGAAGTTGATCTACATGGATGATGCATTTAGTACAAGAAGAAGTGAAGACGCCTCTTTTTTTTTTCCCACAAGCCCGTTCCGCCTAAGATTTTGATCTGAATGAGCTTGATCCTGCGCGCGCGCGAAAATTTCGGAGACATATACAGGTAGATAGGTGGTGATGCTTTGTGATGGAATGATAGCGTTCGGTAGGTAGAGCGTAGATACTTCGTGTGGGGTATATTGCATTTCGTCAGATCCTCATCGAACATGAAACCATGTCGTGCGAACATGGTAGTCTAATGCACGGCACTCATTGGCCTCTGTCGTTCAGCTTCGTCTTCGGTGTCGTTTCGCGAGCGAACCTTCTTCATCGTGTTGCTGCTCCCAGACCGTGCGCTCTTGATACTTTGATTCTCGCCGGTGGCCCTGCGTGCTCGATGGAGCGCTAGTTCACCATTACTGATGCTTTCGCTCCTCGTTAACCCCTGCGTTCTGCTCCTGTGTCTGGTCATCTCGACGAAGGAGTCGTCCGAGTCGTCATCAGACCCGCTCTCGATAGCGGCGTCGCCGTCACCATCGTACGCAAAGTCTTCGTGATGGATCTGACGGGAGTAGATTGCACGCTGGTCATCAGACATGAAAAGCTCCTCGGATCGGTCAGACGCCTTGCGGTCACCGGGTGTGTGGCTTGGGAAATAAGTGCCTTCGTCCGTGCGTACAGAAGAATCCGCAGAGGCAACCGACGGTATCGACGGATTCGACGTTGACTGTGACATGCCCGTGAAGTGGTCCTCCGAGGAGCTCGAAGCCAGCTGAGGATGAGCAGCCTCAGGGAGCGGCTCGACCGTCCCAAAGTAGGAGTCCTGCTGCTTGTGCGCTTGCTGTTCCTCCTTTTTCCATGCAGCCATGTCATCGGGAGACGGAGGACAGTCCGCACTAGCTGTAGACGCTTTGGTCGCATGACCCAGCGATGAGGCTGGTCTTTGCTGTGATTCTTGTAGCCGGCGACGAATCTGCTGCTCCTTTGCTCTAACAAACAGAGGATCGGCGGCGTCTGAGGGTGCGGTGGATGCGGGGTGATGATCTCTGTAGTCGGAGGCAGAGTCGCCAAGCAAAGGAAGATAGGTAGAGTGAGGACGCGCAGACGAAGTGTCCGTCCGTGCGCGACCTCGTCGACGAGATGATATCGACGACAACGACGAATTTCGCGACAGGTCACCCTCCGAGGCTGCACTCGGGGCCAGGTGCATGTTCGACGAGACCGAGGCCGCGCGGGAGGAGACGGCACTCGTGACAGAGCTCGCGGTCGTAGAATCCTCGAGCAGCTGGGACGAGGCGGTGACGTGGCCGGCAGCTACCGCGTCGCTGATAGCAAGGCTCGCTTGAGCGTGGGGGTCAGCACCAACGCTGCCGGTGCGTTCGACAGGCGAAGCGCGTCCGTGTCTGCCAACGCTTCGATCCCTCGCATTTCTCACGGTGGACAGCAGCTTCTGCTTGGCCCCGCCGAAGATGCCCCCAAGACTCGACGAGGAGTGAGGCTCCATCGGCGTGCTGGGCAACGCAGGAAGCGTCGTCGCTCCTGTGCCGAGACCCAGGTCGCCCGGACGAATCGTGCGAATCGAGCCTGTCGCCGATATGCTTGACTGTGCTCGGTCGGGCGCATTAGGTCTGGCGGCGACGGCGGCAGCGGTCGCCGCTGGCTGCTTTGGCTTTGCCTGAAGCGGGTGCGAGATGGTCGACATTGGCGAGTCCGGACCGGAGTCGGGACCGGGAAAAAATTCGACCCGTTCACGCGGTTCCGGACTTGCAGTCACGCTCTGGGACAACGGATGCTCGCCAAACGGCGTGGCGGGCTTGTTGAACGCCGACATAAGCACTTCGTCCGAAGGCTTGAGGCTGGACCGACGCAGTTCTCGCTGGCGACGCGCGTCTTGCGAGATGGTGCTGCTGCTGCTCGCGGCAGAGGCCGGGTTACTGCGATCGGAGGCGTTGGTGGCAGCGCTCTCGGCTCGCCGACGTGACGAGGACGACTTCTTCGACGCGATGCCAAACACCTCGCCAACCTTCCGCGCGACCGACTTGGCCCGCTCGACGATGGTAAGGGGAACGACTGCGACGTCGACATCCTCCTTCGAGATCTCGATGCGCCTGCCCGCGGTAAAGTTGTTGGGATCGGTCTCGTCGAGCCAGCGAACCTTGTCCTGAATGTCTCGCACCAGCCAGCCGTGGTGCTTGATCTCGTTCAACGTGATACGCTTGCGCGGATCCTTGGTCAGCATGCGTTTCAAAAGATCCAACAACTCATCGTCAACATCTTCGTAGACCAACTCGTTTGGCAGACGCTTGTGGGAGGCTGCCTGTTGAGACCACGTTCGACCGTGCGAAGACGGCCGTGAGTTGGCCTGCGTGTCGACAGCTTTTAGGCGTTGGCGGGGAATGTACGGTTCCTCTTCCGCGATCATCCGCATGAGATAGAACGTGTTTTCGTCGTAGAAAGGGACGCGGCCATAGATGAGGCAGTACAGCGTCACGCCGAGGGCCCAAATGTCAATCTGCTGCGTCACGGGCGGGGCGTCCGCGCCCGGGTCGCAGTCGGTCTGGCAGAGTTCCGGTGCGTAGAAAGCTGGCGTCCCCACCGTCTTGGCCAGCTCAACGGCTGCATCGTTGTCCTGACCTTCGTACTCGGACGCCTCGTCGCCGTTGGGAAAAGGCTCTGACTTCTCCTTACCCAGGTACGAGACACCAAAGTCTGAAATTTTGATGTGCCCGCTCGCGGCCTGCAGAAGGTTGGCGGGCTTGATGTCCCGGTGGACGACGCCTTGGTAGTGTAGGTACTCGAGGCCGAGCACGGTGTCTCGAAAGGCTCGCCGTGCCTCGCCGAGCGTCATCAAGGGCACGTACCTGAAGTTCTCCGGGATCTGCTCGATGAGATCCCTCTCGTAGCCGGCGGACGAGAGGCTACCCGCCACAGACGGCGTGCGGCCACGCAGCGACTCGTCATACGCGCCGTACATGGTGCCCTCGAGGCTGGATGCGTTGACTCGGTCGGAGTTGCCGTGGTCACTCAGGTGATAATCGGAATCCTTGCGGTTGTGATGGCTCAGCGAGGCATCCTCGTAATGAATGACGGTCTGGTCGGGGCGCGGATAATTGTGGTCGTTGTACGCGTGCTTCGCAGCGTTGCTCAAAGACGTGGTGGCCGACGGGGTGCGCGACATGTTGCCGTTCGAGTACTCGTCGTCCTCGTCGTCGGCATACTCGAGACTCCAGGTCGGGGCTTCGCCGCCGCTGAGGCGGGCCTGCTTTATCTTCTTCCATTTGCGACGGTCGCGTTTGTCTATGTGCCTCTTCGCCTCCTCTAGCAGGTGCTCGTCCTCTAGTCGCGCGGCTTCGCGGTCGTAATCGCCGGCGCGCTCGCGCTGATTCCGTCTGTATTCTATGAAGCAGATCTCCGGGGCGCCCTCTGTGCGCCAGGCAACCTCGCCCATCTCGACGTGCTCGAGAACGATGTAGACCTTCTTGCTCATGGGGTCATCGATGACCTCGAGCAGGCCGACGATGTTGGGGTGGCGTGCCTTTTTGAGTATGGCAATCTCCTTTTTGATCTTGGCCTCGTGATTGTTGTTCTTGCCCAGCCGCTTGCGTTTCGAGTATCGCTCGACGATCTTGATGGCCACGAAGGTGCCGTCGTTTAGGTTGCGGCCGAGCTTGACCTTGCCATGCACGCCACGGCCGAGCTCGTCAATGACCTCATACTGGTTGATGACCTTGCGTCCTGAAATGGGATCGAAGTCGATCTCGGCGAGATGCGTCTCCTTTGGCATCTGCCTGTGCGTGTGGTGAAGGTAGGGGCTGGCGTACGTGCCATCGACGGTCTCGGTGTGGGCAATGGGCGGGCGCTGCGCGTGTCCCTTCGGGGTGAACAGACCGGGGCTGCTGGCGGTGGACGGCGGCTGAGATGCGGAATGCGCAGTGCTTCGAACGTCGTTCGGGGCGGGCGATCCCGTTTCCGACTGCGAAATGTACGCAGCGTACGATAAGGGATGACCGCTGCGTGATTGAAGAAAGTGAGGGGAGGAGGGATGCGGGTGGTACTGGTTCTGAAGGGCCGAATAGGCCTGATTTGGGTATGAAATAGGCTCTCTGCTCCTCGACTGGGTGAGCGGAGGGTGTGAGGCAGCGTCGTGGCCACGAATGGTGCTGGCGTTACTGATGCTCGATGCGGTAGAGTATTCACGCTGAATGCCCGGTCGTTCCTGCAAATGCTCTGACGCTACAACGACGTTCTCGGGGGTCAAGGCGGTGCTGGCCCGGACCGACTTGAGGGCGGAGGGCGACTGAGCCAGCAGCGACGGCTGATGCAGATTTGGCGACACGTACAGCTCCTCCTCTTCTGGAATAACCAGCTGGGTCGAGACGCTGCGCATTGGCCGCGGGGCAAAATAGCTGTCGTCGCCGGCCGAGACGGTCTTCTGCGGTTGCTGCACCAGCGGGGAGGACGACTCCGGTGACAACGTCGATGAATGGTGCAGCGAAGTCGGCGTGGTGACAGGGGCGTGTCCAGCATCGCCAACGCCGATGGCGGCCACGCCCTCATCTTCAGCGCGCGGGGTCTCGACGCCCGTAGCAGCATGCAAGCATGGGTCTGGTGTCTGTTGACGAGCCGCACCGGCAACGGCCTCGTCGGAGACCAGATCTGGCCCCGATGGTCCGCCGTTCATGGCCAGGGTGGAGCTTTGAGCTGGCAGTCGAGTTCGCAAGGAGAGGAGAGAAGGAGGAGGAGGAAGATGAAGAGGAAGAGGAGTAGGGAGAATGGCGAGAAGGATGCTTCAGCGACGGTCGCGAGAGACTCCAGGGCAGCTGTCCTAAGCAGATGCTATGCTGGTGCCGCCATCGAGGGCGGACCGTGGTTGAACGTTCACGGAACCGGACGTTGAGGGTCGAGTATCATTTCTTCGCGGCGAGAGAGAATTGCGCTCAGAGGTCGCGGCCGCAGTCAACCATGGGACAGACCCAGGTCCGTTGAGGTTCGTGCGGCGGGCAAGGACGAGGAGAGCGGGATGAACGGCGCGGCAACCAGCCAGTGATTGCAGTGTCCCGATGTTCTTGATGCCAGTCAGAGAAGCAGCGCGCAGCAGGGCGGGTGGCAAACGTGAAGGTAGCGGGGGGATGAGGTGGTTGCCGGATGGGTGGGCGAAACGATGACGAGAGTGTTGGTGGTGGCGGTGGAGAGGAGAGTGACACAGCGGGCGGTTGAAGTACGGTAGAGGAGGATCAAAGGGGCAGCAGAGTGGGTTGTGCAAGACAGAAGCAGCGGGATGGAGAGAATGGGGCAAGCCAGTATGGGTCGTCGGTGGTAGTAGTAGTAGTAGTAGCAGCAGCAGGCGAGGTCGCGGTAAGTTCGTTGGTTGAATTATTGGGCTTTGGACGGTTGGCCGATCAGCGATTCAACGGCAGCGGGATGGGCGAAGGTGGGTCAGGCCAGCAAACGATAAGATTGGCTTGCCACATGAACGGGAGCGAACACGGGCCAGGGGAGGGGTCGAAGACTCACATTCGCTGACTTTCGCTCTGCTGGGGGGGAACTTATGCAGGCCCCGTCAAATATACATGTGCTGTGCTGTCGTCACAATGATGGCTGTTTTCAGGACGGGCGAGACGGGAGATGCGAATGACGGGTCACGCTTGGCGATGGCTGCGTGCTTTGGCTGCGTGCTTTGCCCGGCCGAGGCGCCTCTCGCTGGCCGTCGCGAGGACGAGGAGCAGGCGCAGGTGGATATGAAGAAGAAGCAGAGGAGGAGGAGGAGGAGGAGGAGGAGGAGGAGGAGGAGGAGGAGGACAAGGATGTGAACGAGGGTGATGAGGCTGCTACGCTCCCGCGGTGCCAGCCGTGTGCAAGGAGTCCAGCGGTTGAGCCGGACTCGAGAATGAGCAAACGCTGGGCAGCAACGTAGAGGCGGACAGGCAGGGCTGAAACAGAGGTTGCCCAGAGAGAGGATGGATGGGGGCAGCCGGGAGGAAGATGGAAAGCCAGAGGTTGGGAAAACAACGAGGAGGATGCTGTCGGCACCGCAGACGAGACTGTAAGCAGCAGCAAAGGAAGGAAAGCAAACCGACGGGGATGGAAAACAGTGGAAGACGAAGAACAGAAGCAGTGGCTGTTGGCCGATCTGGCGACGAGACGATATGAGATGATGGGGTGGACGCACACCAGCAACGGGCCTAACAAGACTGCGACGACGATCCAGACGGCTTATACAAGTACACTCGCATCCGCACCCGCACACGCACGCGCACGCTGAGGAAAGAGAACCAGCACAGCAGCGCAGCAGGCCCAGCTCCGTCCGTCAACGGACAGAACAACCACAGCGCCGGCCAACGAACTGGCGGCCTGGCTGGACTCAGAGCCAGCGCCAGCGCCAGCATAAGCGTGCGCACGACAGCGCCCGTCTCTTGGCTCGCCTGCGCGATGATTTGACGACGGATGCGTCTGGCTGCATGCAAACCCGCAGGAACGGATCCAGCCATGTTCGCTTCTCCATCTCTGCTGCTGCTGGCGTTGCTGCTAGCGCAACCTCTCCATGCCCGCCCCGCCAGCGCTGTCTGTCCTGGGCTCTTCTGTACGGACTGTGCTACCGCTGCATCCTGCTACTGTACCTCCCGTACGGTCCTGCGGTACTTGCACATGTTCCGCTGCCGCAGCTTCAGGCGTCTCCTGGACGTGCTGTTCCCCACCAATACCACCGCCACCAGCGCCGTTTGTTACCGGCGGCAATCATTACGATGACTACGCACAGCCCCGTCGAGACATACACATGTACGTGTTTCAGGCTTTGATACCGTACAAGCAACCTCGTCCGCGGCCCGGTACCACCTCCCAGCACACCACCGAGCAGATCCCGTACGCACTCGCTTGCTATACCACTGTACTTGTGCTGTGCCCCACGCCCAACCAGCCCCCATCTGGCCGTCTCCACCGATGTCCTTTTCCCTCACCTTTTGGTCCATGATGACCGCTGCGCTTTCTGTGTCGTTCCATGCCCTCCCTGCCGCTGTCTCACGCTGTCTCACGCTGTCTCACGCTCTCTCACGCTCTCTCACGCTCTCTCACGCTCTCTCGCGCTCTCTCGCGCTCCCTCACGCTCTCTTGCCTCGCTCCCTCCCCGGTCCTGCAGAGGCACGCGCGCTTCTGGAATGTCTCGACGCCCGTTTTTGGGCTGAGCTGAACGCCCAAAAAAGGTGGTGTCGCAGCCCGGCAAGCTCCAGTTCGGGCCAACGCGAGCAGCGGCCTGGCAATGAACAGGCCTGATCTTCACGGCCCCTTTGCTTTGATTCCTCTCACATGGCGCCCAGCTCTCACACCTGAACCGGGTGGGGATCGCGAAGGCGGGGCGTTCCCTTTTCATCGCTGATTGCATCGTGTTTGTTTCGTGTGGCTCCCGCCTTTGCAGTCCGAAGTGGTTCGAAAAGTGCAAGTCACCCCGGCACCACACACGCACACACACACACATACACAAGCATCCACACCCACACCCACACCCACACATACACTCACACTCAATACCTCCTTCACTCCCAACTCGCTCATTTGCCCGCTACGCATGGCCTTTGCCTCAAAAAGAAATGACGGGCATATGCCCTACGATCGCAGGGAACCCCAGGACGCTTGGGGGATGGGGCGGACGCCGTGATAGAGCCACGAGCGAAAGAGCCAGAAAATCTGAGAATCAAGTGAAAAATCCCCACCACAAATCATCTCAGGCGCCGGTCCCAGCAGGCTGGACGGGCATGACTGGGCTCCACCCTCCGGCCTTCGTCGAGGAGAACAAGCGTGCGCACGGTAGTCGTTTTCGTAGTAGCAGCGAGCGTTCATTGTCGTCGTCATAGTCGTGGCCGAAGCCGTACGCAGCTACAAACTGTACGGCTTCCTTGCAGCCGAGCGCTGGGCCAGGCTTGGAGGGAAGAGCCGCTGCAAGCGCTGCACCACCCGCCCGCTTGGCACAAATGATTGACTTCGAGGATGACGGCAAGGAGCACGCCGACCTGTTGTCGTGTCTTTTATCTATTCAATTTTTTTTTAAAAAAAAAATAAAAAAGAGAAAGGCAGCGAAAATCCATCTTTCCCTTCTCACCTCCTCGCCTCCCCATCCAAGAAAGGGTGCTTGCCCGATTGACGAGAGCGTCCTTTGGGACGTGCCCACACCTCGCGCTCCCTCCCGGGCATTCATCAGGCGCAGGCTCGGGCTCAGGCTCAGGCCCAAGGGCAGATCAGAAGCATGCTTCGCTCTCTTTTTTCGGACGCGGTCGCTTGTGGCTCAGCCAGGACCAGACGTGCTGAGAGAGCGAGAGAGCGGGGTCTGTTTTGTGCAATCGTCGAACGACCCCAGATTTTGCACTTTGCTTCTGCCGCATTACCCACCACCATCACTACTGCTACTTGTACTGCCACCACTGCTTATTTTGTTTTTCTTTTCGTTTCGTGTATTGTTCATGTACGCCATCTATGCGAAAAATAAAAAACGGCCGCTAGCGCTCACAAGACGGCGTTGTCGTTCATCCCCCCCCCCTCCTCTTCTCTAGTGGCAGCTTGGCAGTCCGTCCTTGTTTTCCCGCCATGCCTGCCTGCATCTGGGCCGTACGATGCAGCCTGCATTGTTATTCCAGATCTCCCGTTTCGTGTTTCTTCAGCGATGCGAGCATGCAAGCAAGGGCTCGGGAAGCCGTCACGCTCCCACAATTCGCTAGTGCTCTTTGGGAAACGCTGGCAGTCTTCCCCCGTGCTGCTCTCCGCCGCAGCTGGCTTGTTTCCGTCTCTGCGGTCGAGCGACGGCAAACAAATAACGACAGCGATGGCAAAAAGGACGATGATAATGATGTTGAGGGCGCTGATGGTGCTGATGGAGATCGGCTCAAGGCTGCTTCTGGGGCTGAGACATGTCGGCCCGAGACAATGCCAACAGACAGGGGACAGGTCGCAAACCACTTTCTCCTCGTACGCATGAACACGCCGACGTAGACACATTCCAACGCGCACTTTTCGACGCTCGACGCGGGCAACAGACACGTCTGCTGGCTTTTGATTTTTTTTTTTCCCTTTGCTGGCACATGTACACGCACGAGCACACATGCACGGGTCTAGGATGTTTCATGCAGGAGCGCTCGCTTCGCTGCCATCTTTCTCCTCAACACCATGGTCTGGACGCGCCTAAAAGACGCCATGCCACAACAGGCAGTCCACGATGATTTGTGCAGGCCAATCACGTCGTCGTCTGTCCACGCACGAGGTCATTTGTTTGCGGTCTGCCCGTCGCACAGGGTCCGAGGGATCCGGCTAGCTCTTCCGAGGCCCACGATGGAGTCTAAATCGCTTGCCACGAACGAAATTGCAAATCTTACCGCCGTCTGGCACGAGAGGTAGAGAGTGAGAGAGAGACGAAGAGGAGCTACAGCCGACAGCCAGATGGGAAAGGATTCGAAAGCCCTTCTTTCTGTTTCTTTGGCGAGCCCTGGCTGCCGCTCCGTGCTGAAGCGCACTTGAATCTTCCTCGGGACGCGTTTCGCGTTAACCGTCGCCGAGATTCTCGCCGCTTACTACTCTCTCCTACTTGGCTCTATTTTGGCCTCAGAGTTTTCCCCATAGCCTGGCCCGAGACAAGGCCCCAGACCTTGCGCCTATCTCGGACATTAGAACGAACAAACGAACAAAGCCGGCCCTGAAGCTAAGCGAAGTTTTTTTTTCTTCTCACATTTTACCCTGCTGGCTCCGCATTCTCAGAAGCCAACATTGGCTTGATCCAAGCCCGCAGATTCACGATGCTAGCTTGCACCGTCTCTGTCGTCTAGCTCGCGACTCAGTAGTGAGCGTTCTTTGACCAGCTGTCCTGCACAATGCTAGCATCTGACGATCATGGTTCATCCTTAGCTGCTTCACGAGCGCACCTCTGCTTGAGAAGATGGGCCGGATACGTTTTGCGGTGGGGCCAGACAGTATGACGGCCGCCCCTTCGTGCACCGGGCTTGAAGTTCGCCAGAAGAACCGACTGTTCATTTCTCACGATCCTTTACGTCACCAGGGCCCCGTCCAGCCACCGCTGGCCTTGCTCTCGCCAGCCACGATTCCCTCGCCTTCCCCCATCCAATTCGTTCTGCTCCGCCCAGTCAGGATCCGTCTCCGTTGCGTGCTCTCAATGGTCGCTCCAATCGTCCTCTGCGCGAGCGTCGCATCCAGGACCGCAACCGAACGTGTCGATCGGAAGGATGTCTGTTTTGGCACACAGACGCCTCGTGGAACCTCAACCAGCCCGGCCTTTGTCTTCTAGCCAAAATCCCTTTCTCGCATGTGTGTGATCTCCGATGGAAGTGCATCTGTCTCCACACGGATGCCAACGCGAGCTTCCACGACACAACCGTTCGCACTCTGCCACCGCACAGCAGACAAAAGCCGCTTCTTTCGTGCCAGCGTGTGACCCGCCGGCGGTGAGAGAGACCCGACGTAATGCTCCATCAAGGGGACTTTCATGCCAGCATTGGAAAGCACGACGTGCTGGCGGAGGATACCAGCCAGAGAGGCCTTTCTTTTCTGCCCGTACGGTGAAGAGCAGAGACGTTGGGAACGGTCGTGGCCAGAACGACAGCTAGGACGTCTTCGAAACAGACCTGAGTCCCCTCTCGCCTTGCCTTCGGAGACGTACCCCGTGCAGAATCAGGGCTGCTCCCTAAAGTCCCTCCATCACGTGTCGTTTTCTTCATACTCGTGCATCCGTTCCTATGCGCTAGCCCCCTACCATCGTGTGCGTGAATGTGTGCTTCGCCAGTCCACAGCCGCGACGCTTTGACGACCTCCAGAACCAGCGTTACGAAGCTGCGTTGTAGACACGACTGGCGTCGCATCCGGCTACACAAGGCCTGTTTGTGAATGCAGTTACAGCATCCCGAGCGCGGTCCTTTCTCGCACTAGATTTTCAGACCGTTGGCACCCGCTCGGGCTTCCTCCCAGCCTGTCAGCTGAAGGTGTGATTTCGTTCAAACATGCGAATCGCGAAAAGAGCCCGGGCTACTAAAGGCCTGCGTTTGCACCAGTAGAAACCTTCATCTTCGCTGCTTCAGGTAGCTTGTCTTCGTGTAGACCAGGATAGAACGGTGGTCGGACAGTCGTTTCTTAAGACACTCAACACGCTCCGTCTCGACCACATGTTGATCATGCCACGATTGTTTTCGACACGAGCAACACACATAGCCAGACGTCAAGGCCTGGTTCTGCGAACACCTACCTTTGGTTTTCCTGTGACGTTTCGAAGCGCTGATTGGCACTGAGAATCATATCCCGATCGATCTAGTTGCGTTCCTTGTCGGGCGCGATCTCACTCGGCCCAATGGTTCTTCTGCCTACCCATGATCTTTTGCTCGTTCAAGCAAAAGTAAATGCTGCCTGCCCGTGGATCAAACCGCGACAGCCAAAGAAGGTCGCTCGATCGGGTTCACAAACGTCCACTCTATTGCGTGCAAACTTGGTGGGCTCACTCCACCAGCCGCATCGCGTGTTATGTAATCCGTGCAAGCAAAGCCTTGTTGGACGCGCGAAGTGTTCGCAAATGCAAAATACACGGAGTTCTGGGAGGAGCGTTGTATTGATACGACTTGCATTGAGTGGATTTTTTTAATTTCTGTTCTTTATTTTTCCTCTTTTCTCGAGCATCCCTACAGCAGACCGGTCTAGCCACGCCGTCACGGGTTGCGCATGCAACCTCGTTTCAAGGCACAAACCTGTTCAAGCCTCGAAGAATCCAAGGTTTCCGTCCTACTCTCGCTCTTTGGCTCGCTTCGGCCCGCTGCAAACAATCTTGACCCCGGGCCAAAAAAAGAAAGGAAAAAAAGGCATCTCTCTTTTGTTCATTCGTCCCAATGTTTGTGGCCTGCTTGCCTCTTTGTTCCAGTCTAGCCGACATCGCGTTTGTTTCGTCGGCCCCCATCTCTCTCTCTCTCTCGCTCTCGCGCTCCCCGTTGCAGGTTCACGCGGTTTTGCTTCTGCCGATCAGTCGCACCTGAGCTTCTGTCCACCGGTCCATGGCATCTGGCAGCGCCTCCTCGTCATCGTCACGATCGTCACCGTCTGCGTCCGGGCCGAAACGACGGCTTGGTCGTCAAGCTCATGACCAACGCGCGCGTCGACGCACCTCGTCCGTGTCGACGCTGCACGTGCTCCTCGTCCTACTGGCGCTGCGGGTCGTGAACGCGCTGACGCTGCGGACCTTCTTCGTTCCCGACGAGTACTACCAGTCGTTGGAGCCAGCATGGCAACTCGCTTTCGGCCCGCATAGTGGCGCTTGGATCACCTGGGTGAGTGCAACCTCGAGCCCGCATCGAAGAGGGTAGAGAAAGGAGCGAGAGACACGGCATTCTGATACAGCATACCTGGACTTTGAGAACCGGGCTCGCTGTCATTGGATACCGAAGACGCACCCGAGCAGAGAGAGCACAAGGGGGCTAACCAGCGCGCACCTGGGTGCGCCTTTTGCAGGAATGGCGGCACCAGTTGAGATCCTCGCTTCATCCCGTCCTGTTCGCGGCCGTGTACCGAGCCGCTGCTCTGCTCTCCGCCTTCCTCGACCTCACGCCCGCCTCAGAAGCGGCCGTCTTGCTCGTCGCGCCTAGGGTTGTGCAGGCCGTCTCCGCCGCCAGCCTGGACTTCTTCACGTGGCGACTTGGACGAAGAATCTTTGGGTCAACCAGTCGAGCAGCTTGGACCATTGTATGACCATCCTATATTTTGTTTTTTTTTCCTCAATCTGCGCAACGCGGGTTAAACACCCCCCCCCCCCCCCCTCTTCCTCTCAATGCCCTTAATCTACGCATCCACGTCGCAGGCTAACATTGGCTCTTCCTAATCCGGCAGCTTGCAGTCAGTACTCTGAGTCCGTGGCAGTGGTTCTGCTCGACCAGGACGCTGTCGAACTCGCTCGAAGCCTCTCTTACCGCGGCAGCGTTATATTGCTGGCCCTGGGATTGGATGCTTCCGGCTCGCAACGACGAGCTGAAAAGTCCAAATCCGTCCCGGACGTCGAGACCGTCCGTCGCATCATCCCGCGTCGACGAAGATCGTTCAAGGTCAGCATCTGAGCGTCCTGCACTTCTCCTTCCTCACGGACCAGCCGCTGACGACAGCCTCTTTCGCGTTAGGCCGGGCCTGTCGCTGCTTCTCGCGGCCGTGGCATCCATTCTTCGACCGACAAATGTGCTCGTGTGGATACCAATTGCCCTACAGACCCTGTCGAAGGTTTCGAGTCGACGTCGCTACGAGCTGATCGTGAAGGCTGTTGTCAATGGGTACGTCTTTTGTCCCTTTTCGATGCCCCATTCTTGGTTCGAGCAGACGCCGTGTCACCACGCTTCTCTTGTCGTGTGACGTCCGCTTGCCGCTGGCATGTACTTGTCGCCAGCAAAAGGACGAGGACACTGACCTCTGGTACCTAGGACGGCAGTGGCTCTTTTCAGCGCCATTGCCGATCGGTCCTTCTACGGGTTCTTCACTTTTCCGCCCTTGCGCTTCTTGACGTTCAACATCTATCAAGATCTAGCTGTTTTCTACGGTAGGCATCGCCCTGATTACTACCTGACCGAGGGACTGCCGCTCTTGTTGATGGGCCTGATCCCATTTGTGCTCTTTGGCCTTTACAGAAGTGCTTCCATCACCCTCAGCAACCGAGGGTCCGCGTCGTATTCTCTGGAGACGATCGTGTTGCCTATCCTCACGTGGACCATCTTTGCGGTCGTCTTCTTGATGAGTTTGATTGCGCACAAAGAGGCTCGCTTCGTGTACCCCCTTTTGCCGTGCCTGCATATCATAGGTGGCACTTCGGTCTCGACGTTCACGCGCAGAGCGTCCATATGGAAAGGTTTCATCCTTGGGGTCATTCTTTCACTCCATTTCTTTGTGATACAGTACGTTTCTCGGACCCACCAACGCGGCGTCATCGAGGTCATGCACTTCTTGCGAGAACAGCACCAATCCCGGTCAGACAATGCACTCACCACAGCTGCGTTGCTTATGCCATGCCACAGCACTCCGTGGCGGAGTCACCTAGTCTACCGTAACATTGACGCATGGGCGTTGACGTGCGAGCCCCCCGTGAACATGCCGCCTCAGGAGAGAGCAAATTACACCGACGAAGCCGATGTCTTTTACGAGGACGTCACCGGGTGGCTGGAGACAAACATGGAGGATCTGAAGCAGCTGAACAACGGCTTCAGCTTGCTCGAACAAGCCAGAAAGATAGCAAACCATAGTGAGCGGACAGTGAACGGTCACGTTACGGGCCGCAACCGACCTTGGCCGCAGTTTCTCGTGTTCTTTGAGCAATTGGTGCCACAAATGCATGATTGGCTTGCCACAAGCCCATATCAGGAATGCAAGAGGTTCTTCAACACGCATTGGCACGACGATTGGAGGAGGCAGGGTGATGTAGTCGTATACTGTCTTGCCCCAGCTGGTTACGACGCTGCAGATCGATTTCGGCCCGTTGACGCCACCTAAAATTGTATATTATTTTTTTTTACTCATCCGCTCTTGGTCGCAAAAAAACGGTATAAAGAAAAGAGAAACAAAAATAGACAACCAGTCCACACGCACATACACACACACGCGATGTCAGGGCGGCGTTGTCCCTCAAGGCTGTAGCCTTGCCTCATTCGTCCTGGTGCTCCAGATTTGTGGTCATACGCGAGACAGTCATCGTTCGCATGTTACACCAAAGCTGCTCATCCAATAGGAAGTCGTGGCGCGCTCAATAAATCTTGAATACTCCAATTGATGGTGTGGCGGTGAGCCGCCAGACATCATCTTTTAATATTTTTTTGAACATGCTCGCCATCGTGGCTGCAGGAAGAGGCGGATCGATCCGGCGTTTTTGCTGATGCGCTTCATATGACAAGGGTCCACAACCCGACGGTTGGAAATCTGCAGGCAGATCACACGTTCAACAACACAAACCGTTGGCGGCTCAACGAACTTCAGAAAACCCACACATATACACGTGGCGAGGTCGAAACGTGACACCTTGTGGTGCGTGTCCAGTGCTGTGCGCCGGAGGGCGGTGAACAAAAAAAAAAAAAAAAAAAAAAAAAAAAAAAAACAACATCAAACCCACCCCCCCCCTCCCCACCAAAGGCCCGACATGCCGCCACGGTTTCCGATTCGTTTCCGCTGCTCACCTTGCGGCGCGGCTTCCGATACGGTATTGTCGACTGCCTGGAGCCGGCATGTCGCAAGGAGGACCGCGAAATGGGGTTCCGTGGCGAGGCAGTTCTCGGTGTCGAGCAGCAGGAGCACGGATGGAGTATTTCGCGAATTGACGAATGAGCGCGTGGCCGAACCGTGGATTGAGGCGCTGCAAAGACAACGGGCAGCCAGCGAGGGAAAAGGCGTGGGTGGGACGACGAATGCGACGGCGGAGAGGAAGTTGACGCCGAAGCGGATGACGGACAGTTATCACAGTGTCGTACGTGTTGTCGCTCACTAGCCGCCTCCCCCCGTCGACTTTTTGCAAAATCTTGTTGCGTAAAGTGCTCATTCTTTTGCCGTCCAGGTTCTACCGCTGGCCCAAGACAAGTGGCTCGGAGACACGTACCTGAACTCGTCTGGGCAAATCAGGCTGGGAACTCTGTTCATGGACCTCGACGCTCTGTCGGGCGTCGTGGCGTACAAGCACACGGGACCAGACGTAACGACCGTCACCGCGGCCTTTGACCGCATCACCATCATCAACCCGCTCAAGGAGATATGCGATCTCGAGCTCAGCGGGCAGGTGAATTGGACCGGTCGCAGTAGCATGGAGATCTCCCTCCAAGTAGCCAAAGCTCCCAAGCCTGGTGAGAAGCCCAAGAAAGAGGACGTGATGATCAGTTGCACGTGCAGCATGGTCTCGCTAGACCCCGTGACGAAGAAACCCGTGCCAATCAATCCGCTCATCGTCGAGACGGACGAGGAGAAGAGGCTGTTCGCTGCGGGAGAGGCGAACTCGAGGCGTAAGAAGGAGCTGGGAAAGATGTCCTTGCTGAAGCATACGCCCAACGACGAGGAAAGCGACCTTATTCATTCGCTGTGGCAGAAGCAGATTCAGTGGCACGATCCAAGCGACCCTCAAAGGAAACCAGACAACGTGATTCCGATGGAGCAGACGGTGCTGAAGACAGCCGCCATCATGCAGCCGCGTGAGTGCTCCGCCTCTCCCCACAAAGGTGTCAAAGTCTCTACTCGCAAAAGCTAACATGTGACCGTCCGCCGTGTCAACAGAGTATCGCAACCGCCACCAGTTCATGATCTTTGGAGGCTTCTTGCTCAAGCAGACCTTCGAGCTGGCCTTCTGCTGTGCCGCCTCCTTCTCTCACACACGTCCCACGTTCATCTCCCTCGACCCGTCCACCTTCCAGAACCCCGTACCTGTAGGCTCCGTTCTTTACCTGACCGCAACAGTAGCGTACACAGATCCGCCAGCCGTAGACGGCCCCAACGACATCACTCCTGACGGGCCCGCAGACGGTTCAGGCCGAACCCGCGTCATGGTCAGAGTAGATAGCAAAGTGCGAAACGTGGAGCATGGAGAGGCGAAGCCAACGGGGCAGTTCAACTTCAGTTTCTTCGTAGACAGGGACATACGAGTAATGCCGAAGACGTACACAGAATTCATGGTGTACATCGACGCGAGGAGACGAGCTGTGAGGGTAGGGGAGCTGTGCAAGCAGGAAGGCCTGGTGTTCAACGGCCCGACGAGCTTTACAGAGTGAGCTTGAGAAGCAGTTCCATGGAGGAGCGAAAGGGAAAAAAAATCCTCGCTAAATCTTGACACAAGCGTCACAAGGCCAGGAATCGAACTTGCAGGCCTGCCAAGACTCTTGTGGCCCTTCTGTAGAGACACGAGAAACCAGCGGCAGTTCAATACATCAAGCCGTTATTACAGTAGTATTAGTAGTAGTAGTAGCAGTAGTGTTGCAAGCGTGATACCTATATTTCGAATACGATCCGGTGGCTTCATGTTTCCAAATTTGGAATGGTAATGCCAACTGACGATGCGGGAGCGGCGTCGTGAGGCTTGGCGCGGCTGCAAGGTGGCATGAAACCAAGGAGCTGACGACGCATTCCCAATAATCCACGAAAAGAATTGACCTGTGCCTCCCGATCTGTCTTCATGCCGCGGCGATCAAGTTGCACAGGTAGCCATTAATCATGTCCGCGCAGGCTGTCGCAGATCCGCTAGGTGAGTATTACACGCCCTTCACTCGCCCGTCTCCCTAGTTCTCTCCCGAATTTTGGTGTGCGAGGTTTTGCGGATTCGCTGACGGATGAGTCGCAGCTTCGTCGGCAGCGACCAAGTCCAAAAAGAAGAAGAACAAGAAGAAGAACAATTCTGGCGCGAAGGGCGAAGCAAACGGTGATGCAGTGGCGAGCAATGGCGCAAAAGAGGCTGCGGACAACGAGGACGATGGAGACGAGGACCCGGAGCCAGAAACGCCCGGCGAGCCGGAAGTAAGCGCGAAGGAGGATAGCAAGAGCCACGCAGGAGGCGTGGAGTCGTCAGCCCAAGTCAATGGGGTCGGCAAGGACACTTCGGAGAGGCTGGCGGCGCTGGCAAAAGAGAGAGACGCTCTACGCGAGGAGGTGTCGGAACTGCGAAAGTCTTTGGAGGCGTTGACGGCCAAGCACGAAGAGGAGGTACGGGAAATCAAGGAGCAGCTGGAAGAGACCCAGTCTGGCAGGGAGGAGGCCGAGTCCAAGTACGAGGACCTGAGGGAGAGGGTTACTACGATTCGCACCACCTTGGGCGAGCGACTGAAGGAGTATTCGGTACGGCAGACAGAAGCCGAGCAGCCCTTTGCGAACGCGATGCTGACACATTTTCTGAAATAGGCGGAAATCACGCAACAGCGCACCGAGATTGAATCCCTCCAAGAGCTCAACGCCACTCTCAAGGCTAACAATGAGTCCCTTCAGTCCGAGATCAGCCGGCTTACCGCGGAGCACTCAAATCAGGCGCGGGAAATCAACGATCTCCGTGGACGCGTCAACCTCTCGCAGCAGAACTGGGTCAAGGAACGCGACGAGCTCATCCAGAGGGAGGCCATAGCGCGTGAAGAATTCGAGACGGCTGCGCAGGCCATGAAGGAGTGGGAGGATCTTGCCAACGAGGAGCGCATCATGCGCAAGAACCTCGAAGACCGTGTGAGCGATTTGGAGGAGGAGATTGCCGTTCAGAGAGAAGCGTACGAGAGGGCCGCCGCGGAGAGGGACACGCAGAGTCAAGCTGTGGAAGGCTTGCAAAGGGCTCTGAAAGAGATCCAGGACGCGCGGAAAAAGGAGCTTCGTGAGCTGGTCGAAAGTTCGCAGACGCAGCTGGACGCGTTGAGAAAGCAGCTGGACGCAGCCGTCGACGAGGCGTCGTCGGCCAAGGCCGCGCTGGAGCAGACGGAGGGCGAGCTCGAGAAGCTGCGCCCATTGCAGCAGGAGATCAGGGAGAAGAACCTCCTCATTGGAAAATTGAAGCACGAGGCCGTCACGCTCAACGAGCACCTTACCAAGGCCTTGCGGTTCTTGAAGAAAAGCAAGCCGGGCGACACCGTCGACAGGCAGCTCGTCACGAACCACCTGCTTCAGTTTTTGGCCATGGACCGAAGCGACCCGAAGAAGTTCCAGGTGCTTCAGTTGATAGCCCATCTGCTGGCTTGGTCGGATGGTACGTGCCGACACTTCATTTTTTCTTTCCGCCCTTCTTTCCCGCCCTGGCCCGGTAGGTTTCTCATGCTGATGTGTGCGCAGAACAAAAGGAACAGGCCGGACTCGCTCGCCCCGGCGGTGGCGCATCATCATCATCATCTACTTCCTCGTCGACGTTGAGGATTCCGTCGAGCCCGTTCAGACGCACGCCCAGCACCCCCAGCCTAAGCACGCAGCTCGACAACGCAACGCCGGCGAGCAAGGAAAGCCTGGCCGAACTGTGGAGCGAATTCTTGGAGAGAGAGGCGCAGGAGGGCCAAGCCTCTGGGACAGCGGAGAACCTGCGAAGACCGAGCACGGCGACGGAGCTAAGCAGGAGAGAGAGCGAGAAGTCCTAGCGGGCGAATAGGAAAAGACAAAAAAAAGAGGACATTTTTGAACGGAGACAAACGCCGACTGTGGAAATTCGGTGCATGCATCATCATCGGGAGCAAAAGGCGAGGAGAGAAATCGCATACTTCAACGTCCTAATTACATCTTTGTCACAGCTTTGTACGAGTACGGATCTCTCATAAATTCACCACATGCAAGACGTCTCTCTAATTTATTTTTCTTCTTATTCTTCTTCTTCTTAGAATCTATGATCCGAGGCACTAATGCTGCGTCCGCAAGAGCGCGCCTTCAAGCAAGGTTACCCGTGCCCCAAACTTGTTCTTGTTTTTTTTTTTTTGTTTTGGCTTCTTTCTTCGGTTCCTCTCCTTATTCTTCTTTCGTCCATCTGTCGGCCGCCTTGTTCGTGCTCGGCATTATAATAGTACAGGGAGACAGAGACGGAGATGGGGAGAGAGAGGGAAGAAGGAAAAAAAATAAATTTAAAAATCTCACGACGCCTTTGCGGCCTCCTTTCCGGAACTTTCGTTCTTCTCGACCAAATCACCGACCCCCAAGCCCCTCCCTATCTTGAAGGCCTGCTTCTTCTCTCCCTTCTTCTCCTTCTCGCCGCCCTCCTTCTTTCCCTCGCTCCCGACGGCCTCGCCCTCGTCCTCGTCGCCGTCCCCCTCCGGCAACCGCAGATCCGACAGGTCCATGCGCATGCTGTACGCGTCTTCGCCGTCCGCATAGTACTTTGCCTCCGTCTTGTCGACGGTGAAGCCCAGCGTGTCGCGGTACAGGTGCAGAGCGGCCACGTTGCTCACACGCACGTGCAGGGACACGTAGTGGGCGCCGTACACTTCGGCCATGGCGCGCTGAGACTGGCGCATCAGCTTCTCGGCGAGACCCAGGCGTCTGTGTGTGCGCATCACGGACAGAGAGGTGATGTGGCCGTGGGGAATCCCGTCCGAAGGCTCCTCCTCCATCTTGGCCAGCACGTACCCTACGATCTTGGGCGGATCGTACGGGGTCTTCTGTGGTCTTGAGACCTTTTCGAGGCGGAAAAAAGATTCAGTCGTCAGCACGTGGCTCCAAAAATCGGCATGGCACCGGTGTTGGAAAAATTCGCATTTTCCAGATGGTTGGCCACGATGGGAAAGACGGACAGGTGACAGCGGATGATGTATTGAAGGGGGGGGAGGGAAAAGAGATCTGAAGGGAAATAAACCCAGGGAGTACGAAGTGGGTGGAATAAAAGGGAAAATATAAGATGCTCGTCAAACGATGAACTCTACTCACATCCACTGCAACATAGCTTAGCTGTGGCCAGGTCAAGGCATGATACATGTAATATTTGCAGAAGTAGTTCTCAGGCAGATTTGTGATGTTGGCTTGCTGAACGTGCGGAATGTCGGACACTTTCATCACCCGAATGTCCATCTTTGCAAAGATGCTCTCGTCGGAGCGCTAATGGCCCTGGCGAATTCTATAGCTGGCTTGGCGGACTTTGGTATCAAGCCCGGAAGGTTTATGGTGTTGAGAGTTCTCGGACTGCACCGAGAGGCCGCCGATGTGTGGAGACGGGCCTGGGCCATGCACATGTTTGTTCCTGAGGCAGCTTCGGATCTACGTTGGTCCTTCTTCAAGATCCGTGACGCGTGACGCTTTTCTTTCCTTCACTTCCACAACGCACGCAAGAAAGACCAGGCGGCAGAGACCACGATGGCGTCGTCGCGCGATGTCAAGGACATTATGGGCCTGGCTGCCCAGAATGGCGCTGCTCCAGCAGCGGCGCCGGCGCCCAAGAAGCCGAAGCCCGTTGCAACCAAGAGACTGAGTGCGTATACATCACCACGATCGATGACACACACGCACACGTACATACACAACGTGCTGACACACAATTCAAAGCTGGAATCAATAGAGAAGTCCTGGCCCTCCATGGCGACCGCGCCCCCCCTGTCTCCATCCTCGACTCAACCAAAACTTTCCGCGCAAAGCTTAAGCGTGACTTCAAGCCTGCTCACTGGGAATTCGCGCCATTCACCAACGAGGCTCGCACAGACGGTCTCCGGCTGCGTCACTGGAAGAGACATAAGCCCAACAAGGCTCCTGCTGCCGCTGCAGCTCCAGATGCCGGTCCAGACGCAATGGACATCGAGAACAAGGACCCCGATGCGTCTGAGCCGTACAGATTTGCCAAATATAACGTCGATATATCGGTTCCACAGTACGATGATGAGAAGTACGAGGCACACCTCAAGAGCGACGACTGGAGCAGAGAAGAGACGGATTACTTGATCGGGCTAGTGAAGGAATATGCTCAGAAATGGCCCATCATCATAGACCGGTACGAGTGGCCACCCGGTGCTTCCTCGGACGACGCCACGGCTCTGGCCAGACCACAGGACGCAAGGACGCTGGAGTCGCTCAAGGCTCGTTACTATCAAGTATGGGTATGTTGAAATTAGCAGCTTTGCATTCGAGCCACCTTGGACGCAGTTCACTTACGAAACGCACAGGCAAAATGTTTAGCATTGGAACATGGAGGAGAGTCCGGGATGAACGAGACCGAATTCGCCCTGTACGAAACCCTTACCAAGTACAGGCCGGACTTGGAGCTCCAGCGCAAGGAGCTTGGCTGGCGACTGTTCGAGCGTCCGTTGGAAGAGATTCGAGAGGAGGAATATCTACTGGCGGAGCTACAGCGCATCATGATCTCAGCACAGAAGTTCGAGGCCGAGCGCGCAGAAGTTCGACAACGACTGGACCATCCAACGTCGAGGCCGGGCAACGTGCCTTCTACATTTGCAGAACTCAACCAGTTGTACAACCAGCTCTTTGCTCAGGATAGGAACAGGCGAGCGCGCGGCCGCCTTTCCATGAACACGAATGAACTGGCTACCCCTGGTGGACTCACGAACGGCACGAATGCTTCAACAACACACCATCGCGAGCCCGCTCAAAACACTACACAGGTCAAAAAGGGCGGCACGTCCGCGTCCCAGCCGGTGCGCCAGCTGGACGCTCGTGCCGAGAAAAAATACGGCATCACGACGCACGACCGCCTCACTTCAGGTGTTACCTTCCGCTCAGACAAACTGCTCAAGATGCGACAGGCCAAGTCGCAGATTCAGACGCAAAAGATCACCGCTGCTCTGGTCGAGCTCGGTGTTCCGGACGTTCTTCAACTACCAACTCAGCGCGTCATGGATGCGTTCGAGACCTTGATTCAGAAGATACAGAAGCTCGTCGACGCAAGAAAAGTGCTCGAAAAAGAGGAGGCGGAGGCACGTGTGCAAGGAGGACTACGCAAGGAGCTGCAGAAGGAGAAGACTGAAGGGGAAGCTGGTACGGAAGTGAAACGAGAAGAAGAGCCTCCGCGCGCTGAAGAAGAGGATGATGAAGAGGACGAGGAAGAGGCGAAAGGCGCCGGAGAAGAGGAGGGAGATGATGAGGACGAAGACGAGAAAGACGCCGAAGGGGAGGACGAAGAAGGCGAGGGTAGTCAATTTGACGGCAACGAGCCGGAGGAAGAGGAGGACGGCGATGCCGATGCTGATGCCGATGGCGACGAAATGGAAGTTGATTGATTGGCAAGATCCGAGCTACGACATTTTCAGCAGAAACGTCTTGGTATAGAGCATTTGAGGACGATGGCAATCTGTCAAAACTGGCCAATTCCAGTCGGAACTCAACCGATGTGCCAAGACAAAGTTCATTTGTTCAAAGCTTTGCTCGCTCGCTCGGACAGACTTTAGCCGATTTAGACGGAGAATCTTGCCACAGACGACACAGACCCTCGTTCGAGTCTCCAAGAACAGGATCCTGCGGCGGCTTCGGGACGGACCAGACCTGCTCATACTGCCCCTTGGCTTCGCCGCCAACTGCAAAGTCCCAAACGCCACCTTTCGGATATGCCCCGATCATGGTAAATCCGGACAGCTCGATTTCGGACAATGCTTTGCCCACGTCATCGGCCTGGATGCCGTGACCGTCGCCGGGCGTGAGCAGCTTTATGGTTCCGCCGTCGGTAGCGTCAAACGTCTTGTGCGAAACGCCAGCTGGAATGATAAATACATCTCCTGGCCTCGCCTGCAATTCTATGCCCCCGGACTCATATCCCTTCCCGTACGTGCTCTCGTCAAGATCGTCACTCGTGTCCGCAACGCCAAAGCGTATCGTTGCATGCCCTGTCAAGACGGCCATGCATTCGTGCGTCTTGGAGTGATAATGCGAGACCTGGGACTTTCCGTATCGAAAGATCCACTGCGTCTCCCATCCGTTGCGCGCAAAGAGCTGGTGCACCTTTTCTGGCGATGCATTCATACCAGATAGCACGCCAGGATAATGGATGAGCGGAAAGTTGGAGTTCGGAACGAGATCCGTCGGCGGTAGATTGTACGTTCTGGCGACCACCATGGTTTTCGATTTTCTCTTGTCGCTGTTGTCTGAAAATCAAGGGGTTCAGGTCGGAACCGTCTCGCTTGAAATTTTCGAAGTCTCCGCGTCATATCATCTTTTTATCTCAAGTAAAACGAAGATCGAAGTGACGTTAGCATACCGTAGCTGGATTCGGATATGCTTTCCGTTTCCCCACCTAACAGGCATATCTCGAGTTACTCCATGAGTTTCCCGTTCTGGTCTGCTGCGCTTATTGGTCGCACCATGTCTTCGCGCTTCTGGGCGTAACGACGACATTGACAATCGAGAACAGCTTTCTCAACTTCTTGCCCACGGCTTCGTCTTCAAATGTATTTGTCCACAACAAGACTTGAAAAGCCTTCTTCCGCTATCGGAGAGCGGTTTCTCGAAGTCCATTGTCCATTGAGCGAAGAGCGGCAGCGTCGTCTCTCCGCTACGCCGCACAGCTTCCATGTACCATAGACCGAAACCTCGCTCCACTTTGGCAGCTACTCATCTTTCCTGCATTTCTCTTGTCTCGTTGATCCGCTAGTCGATCTATGCACAAACGGCTTGGTGTTTGGAAGTTCTGGCTCAAGATCTTGTCCCATCTGGGCAAATGGAAGACTAAACTCCGTTCTCTAAGAGTATCGTCCTCCCCGAGTTTCTTAGCTTACTCTCGCAGATGTTCCAAGGCTTTTTTTATTCTCAAGCTTGGTCCTTTGGTGACGCCGTACGTATGCACATCATCCAGTGAATGATGAATTTGCAGCTTCTACCGTGGTCTTCAGCCGCATGAGAATTCAAGATGATCAGAGCGACCGGCCGAAATTGCCGCACCCGGAGCTATTGCGAGGGCGAGGCAGCAGCAACTGTTCTACGGGATCTGTTCTATGTTTCCTTTTCTCATGCTGTGCGGCGAGTCAAATTGTGTGGCCAGACAACCATTCAACATTATTAAAGGTCCAGAAAGAGCGATTCTGAGTACATCCCCGATCGGGAAAGATCTTGAAGCAAGGTTGTAGGAATAGGATTTGCATACTGGCCATAGAGCAAACCCCAGCTTGCGGCAAATTACATCAATGCGTGGTTCATCGAGTGGACGGAATGGACGACCTGTATCAGGCGGCGTCGATTAAACCTACCGACGATGCATAGTTCGCGGAATAAAGGTGCATATAAATCAGGGGCCATACGGCATGGCGTGCCTCCATTGAGCGTCTAATGTAATCCTCCTTCCATGGGCTCATTGAACTTAGCTTAGAGCAGGTCCGTGACACAATCACCAGCACATTCTTTGGTTCAGATGAAATTCTGCGGATTTCCGAGTCACAGTCATTGTATCTTTCCTTTCGCAATGACCCACTATTAGCACTTGTCCACTGGCCGTTTATATTGAGCGCCCTGTACTGCAAAACACAGGTGTCCTCCTCGTTATTCATTAGAAGGCAGCATCATAATCCAACATACGACCAACTGCAACATTTGCAGCTTCTAGAATACCTTGGCTTCTTTAGGAGCTTCTGCCATTGGAGCATCCTCAAACGCACCGCAATCTACATTAACATACGTTATCGCCAAAGGCAGCGGCATGGCTGTCGACTACCTCGATGCACTCAATCCTACAGCCTCTACTCCTTCCCAGTGTCCTGCAGGGTTCCAAACTTCGGCAATGATTCAATTGACCAACGACGAGAGTTTGAACGCATTCGACTCATCTGGGGAAGAAACGGGTGGTGGCAGCGAAACCAGCTCCCTAACCAGCTCAAAGACTAGCGTAGGTTTTGGTCTTACCGAAGTAGATAGCCGGTCAGAGACTGACCGTGACTTAAAGCTTTCAGATCACTATGTGGCAGAGGCGATGGACGGCGATGGTGGCCGACCACCGTGCTTGGCGGGTATCAAAATCTATGCGAAGGCACAACAGGAGTTCGAACGAATTCGGCAGGCACATCGTACATTGGCTCCGACAGGATGTACTCCGCAGTTTTGCCAGTCCGGTCGTATGACGCGCACGAATGAGACGCGAGTTGGCAGAGACAGACCGCTGGCAGAGATTCAGCAGGAGGCCACCGACTTTTTAAGAGAATGCCGGGACCACGGAGTCATAGAGTCGGATGAGCATCTACAAAAGCGCATAGATGAAGCTCTGGCACAGATCTTAGACTCTTCGATCGTCACCACCGTCACAGACGTGAACGGAAACCAGCGTATTGACCTGGCAGGGGGCACGTGGCATCAGACGACTGAGGAATTGGAGTACGGGCTGCGTGCAGCATGGAGGAACTCTCGCCGATGCATCATGCGGTCAGAGCACCAGAGCTTAACGTTGTACGACTTTCGAAATGTACATTCGAGCCATGACATGGCTCGTGCAATTCTGGACAGCATGGTGGAGGCTTTCAATCGTGGGCACATTCTACCCTCCGCCTTCATCTTCCCCGCACGATTACCTGGAAAACGAGGTCCTATGGTCTGGAATCATCAGATACTGGCGTTTGCCGGATATCGCATGCCGGATGGTTCAGTCCTCGGCGACCCTGCAAACGAAGAAATCACCAACGCCATCATCAAGTTCGGCTGGAAACCGCCGGTGAATAAATCTCGCTGGGATTTGCTGCCCCTCGTGGTCATGGCCGAAAACGACAAACCATGCATGATGGAGATTCCGCTCGAACTGCAACGCACTGTTCGCATCACACATCCTCGTTATCAACGAGAGTTCAAAGAGCTAGATCTTCGCTGGGTCCTTGCTCCCGCACTTAGCCGATTGGGATTCGACATCGGTGGCAATCAGTACACCGCAAGTCCGTTCATAGGCTGGTTCATGGACGCTGAGATTGGTATTCGCAATTTGGCGGACACATTCAGGTACAACAGTCTGCCAGCCATCGTCCAAGCACTTAGTTTAAGCGATGATCCTTCGACACCGCTTGACGAATTGCCGGAATATAAGCGACTGGTTGCTTTAGTAAGTCCATTAGAACCAATGCAGATCATGTGAAGCGTCCGCGACTAACGGCTACAACAGTCTCGAGCCCAGGCGGAACTCAACTTCGCCGTGTATTATTCGTACATGAACGAGCAAGTTACCATGACAGACTCCTTGACGAGTTCAATGGAGTATCAGAACTACGACGAGGAGTACAAGGAACGGACAGGCTTCAGTTTGCCAGCCGATCCGTACTGGATTGCACCTCCTCAAGGCTCAATCATCTCACTTTGGCACCGAGGTGGCCTTCCCAATTATCAGCCGAAGCCTTTGATATGCAAGCATGTTCAGGACCCAGTCAAAGCCTGGACTCGGGAATCGCCTGACTTTGAACGATCATGCGATAAAACATCATCGAGCATCTCCAGCAGCCCCTCCGTCAGCCGGCCCACCATCCAAATCTTCTTCTGCAGCGCTGGCGTCAGCGCCAGGAAGATGGCAACGAAGCTGCACGCAACGATGCGGAAACGCGTGTGCGGAATCACAGGCAGCTTTGATGTCAGGTCTGAGCAACCTCTTAACAAGCTTGATCTTGCAGCCACGGGCGAAGAAGACATAATCTTCATTATATCAAGTACAACGGGACGCGGTGCCATCCCTCCTAATGCACAGAGGTTCATTGAACGTTACCAATCCGCGGAGCGTATGACGTCCCCTCCCCGGTTTTCTTGTTTTGGCAATGGCGACAGCACGTACGGGGACACGTATAATGCCTCCGCGAAGGTCGTTCAAGAGCTCATGGTTAAGCTTGGCTGCAGATCTCTGTTTGACGACTATTTCTCCGGTGACACAGCTGTGCGCAATCCCGACTGGGAATCTTTCAATCGGTGGACCGATGCGATTGATCATCTTGTCTTCGGAGCTCCAAAACCTACCAAAGCCTCCTCGTCGCCGATCGAGTCCAAACGCAAGAACATGCTCATGGCTGACATGCCTACAGCAATGCTCGTGCGCAAGGAAAAACGTCATCCAAGAGGCTTAACCCACATCAGCTTAAATATTGGCGATTTGAAGTGCCATGAAATAGATCACATCAAGATCTTGCCCCCGAATCCGGAAGGAAAGGTGGCAGAAGTGTTGGACGCTCTGCATCTCAAGGCAACTGACACTTTGCCGTGGCATCGAGAGACAGCTCGCGACTTCTTCAGCAAGTACGTAGACTTGGACGAGCCTTTCAAGACGCTGAGCTGGTGCCCTGGTTTCGACCGGATGAGTTCTGAGCAGCAAGAACTTCTGAGACGCGCGAAGGCACGGGACGTGCTGACCGATGGCCAGATGAGAAGACTCATCATGGATGCCATTGTTGAGAGCATCTGTAAGGACATGAGCTCGATCACGCCTCGACTGTACTCAGTCGCCTCGTGCCCGGAGCACTTCCGAACGGACAAGGTGTTGGAAGGAGGCAAAGGCAATGTTGTTGATATCATGGTTAAGGTAAATCCAGGTGGTCGCTTCAGCGACACATTCCTTCAGCAGGCACGACTCGGCGACACCATGCGTTTCAGTCTCGCAAGTCCCGACGTTGGGAAGCTGATCCGGGCACACGAGCCAAGCGCTCCGCTTATTGCCGTCAGCACAGGCTCGGGCATCGGTCCTGTGCGTGCCATACTACAGCGTCGCTTCGTCGACAGCTCCCGAGCCTCTGGCGAGTTTGGTCGACTAGGGACATCAGGCGCCTTGTCGAGAGAGCCGAAGCGGATCGAACATGCACCCGTTTCTGAACACCGTTCAGGACGCTCGTCCGCACACCGGCGACGCAACTCCTTAGGCGGCGAATCGCGTCTACCAGGCACCGGTCGCCGAGCACGTTTGGACGCCAGAAGTGCGAGGGGATCAATCAGCCTCTTCGCGGGTTTCAAGGACGTCGATTCAGAGCTCATCGAACATCTTGTCCAACCAGCGGCAAGAGCAGGGCTGCTTGACATCGTCGAACTCACGCCCAGCAACCCCGAAAAGAAGCGGGTGCAAGATCGCATGTTGCTACCCGAGACCAGGTCTCGGTTGGCCGAGAAACTCAAGGACCCATCGTGCGTCGTGTTCGTCTGCGCGAACGAGGTCGCTGCCGAGGGCGTCTTTGCGAATCTATCTCTAATTGCCGGCGAAGACGTGAAGCGGCTTCTGGGTGACAGATACGTCGAAGAGGTCTTTCGGGACTAGAAATGATGTGACCAGTGACCTTCATGTGCGCATATCTGCGGCGGACTTTTTTTTTTCTTCGTAGGTTTCTCGGCTTTCACGATTTTCTCTTTAAAAAAAAATAAAAATGAATATATACAAATATAGATTGAGAAGGGGGGGGGGGGGGGGGTGTAAGAGAGAAAGAGAGATAAAAGAAATAGAGCTAGGGTTTTGCTAAGATAGCTAGTTTCGGCAGATGCAGAAGTGTTTATTATCGTCGAAGCTGTCGACATAAGTTTGAAGGCTATATATTCAAGAAAATCAATTAGAGGAAAAAAGAAAACCGGAATTCCGTCGCCGAAATGCATATTTATTGATTTATAGCATACATATCAGGGGGCGAGATCAATTCAGCAAACATGGCTCAGTGTTCCATGAGCCATGATGAAAGTGAGATAGATGACCACTATTACACGGTTCTTCCGGACGCCCTAAGTTTCCCGGGGGAAAGCGTTTAGTCGAATGGGTTGGTGCGTGTGCCCCAGTAGGTGAGGAACAGTGACAGGCCAACAGTCTCGAAGATGCGAGCAAGAACACCGACGGCGACAGTGTCCAGCGGACGCTTCTCGGTGAGGACCTGCGATACAACCTGTTGCAGATTCGTTAGACAAGCTCGTCGACACATGGCCTAACGTGGCATTGGGCAACGTACGGATGGGGCAGCAGAGGCGAAGAAGATCAGCGAGCCGAGGTAGGCAGCACCCTTGTAGCTCAAGGTACCGGTGGCGTTGATGAGGGCGCCGACGCCGTACGACTGAAGGGCGGAGCCGAGCAGAGACGAGCCCCAAGTAGCGGCGGCGGTAGCGGCTTCCTTTGACTTGAAGAACTCCTCCTTCGTGTTGGCAGCCTGAGCACGGTTGTATGTCTCGCCAAACAGGGGCGCCATCACGGCGAGAGAGACGGCATGGTTGAAGACGGTGCCGAGCGCAATTGCGGATGGCTTGACGGGCGGGAGGTCTAGAATCGCGGGCTTAGCAGATGTCTTGAACACGGCCACGAAGACGGAGTCAAAAGCAGACACGATTGGCTGTGTCAATTGGTTGAACGAGGACATTGCGTGCTTGTATGTGTGAGGGGATAGAGGTCTAGGTCGTGTTCGAGCAATGGAGAGGCGTGTAGAGCAGGAGAGAGAGGGGGTGTGCGTGTATGTGTGTGTGCGTGTCGTGTGCTGCGAAGACGGAACTTGACAGCAGCAGAAAGGCAACGGTGTGAGGAGCCTCGGGAAATGGAGCTGCTCGCCTCTGCGAGGCACTGCTCGTTCTGCTGCTGCTCAAGCTGGCGATTGAGAGCCCAAACGCCGTAACGACGCTCGCGGCTCCGTCGCGGGCAATGACGGTGATGGCACTGAGCCTTGGTGATGCCAGGTTGGGGCAGGCAGCCAATCGGGGCCGCTCGCAGAAGCATGTGGTGGAGCTACGTACAGTGAAGAGTGGCCATGGCGACTGATGGGCGCGTGAGGTGTCTGTGTGCACGAAGGACGAAGAGAGATGAAGGCGATGGAAGAATTGAGTCGAGTCGAGTTGGGCGTGTCTGTGATTGTACCGGAAGAGAACGAGGAGCTGCTCGACCAAAGCCGCTGGCTTTAAAGGACTGCGGAGGAGCACAAACGGGCGGTGACGTCAATGTGATCGCGCACTTGGCCACCAAAAGTTGCAGCCGGCCAGCGCCATCAAGCTTCGACCACGCGCAATGGGGCTAGACCGTCGACGGCGTCCTTGGAACTCCTGCAGAACTTGATGGGTTTCTGGTCGCCGCACCCGGCTATCGTGAGCCGCGGCCATTTGGAGCCACTGTCTGAGCCGGCGCGTCGTTCTTTGTTCCTGGCCACGATCCTCGCCCTCGACAGCGTCGGGAGCCGTAGATCGGGCTGATCGTCGGTGCTTGCCGGCTGACGTAATGCGCCGGGGGGCCCCACAAGGCATTCTCGCCCCAGCACCACGCCCGTTGCGGGTCTGTCCAGCGTGCCCGGTCGAAGCTCCTGTCGGACAGTAGTCAAGCATTGTTTCCCCAACGGATAATGCCACGCTCCCGGCTCCGGCAGCCCGTCGAGTTGAAATGAAAAGACCATAGCGTCTTTGGCATTCACACACGCGCGCGCGTCGTGAAAACAGAAGCTCCATGCTCATCGCCGCTGTTTGCGCTGCTAGAACCCGTCCACTACCACAGTAGGACGGTGGAATCCACAGCATCGTTTTTTGCCGTGGCAGCACCTTCGAGACGCGTAGTTTGTCACACGCATTTCTCCCTGCCCTCCTTGGAAACGAGACTCTTGTTTTTCGTCTTGTGTCCAGTGCTCCCATAGCAGCCTCAGAGTACAGCAGCCACGGCCTCGACGAACGGATCTCGGGCAACATGCAAGTGGCACAAGGACGAAGGAGCAAGTTGGTGCGCAACAGTTATCTATATTGTGACCTCGTAGCTAGATAGTACGAAGCGAAGCGTCTTTACGCTGCTCGGAAACTTTCCAGCTTTGGGCATCCGTGATCTATCTCTACTTCCGGCCTGCTCCTCTTTTCTACACAGCGCAAATCTTGGACGTTTCGAACGCAGTATTGGGTGAACCTCTTCAAGGCGGAGACTCACCAAGCCCAAACATACGTATCGAGTTGTTCCACGCACTAGGGAGCAGATTAGCAGTCCGTCATTTCAGACACCCAAAAAATTAAAACTTACGCTTCGCAAACCTCTTCGACAGGAATCTCCTTGATGGCAGCTATAGCATATGCGACGTTTGTGATGGCGCACGGCTCGTTCCTGCCCTTGACCATGCAGCCCTTTACGAACTTCTCCTTCTTGACGCTCTTTGGGAGCGGCGGTGCGCCCTTCAAGTATTTCGCGCTGGCGTGGCTAGGCCGCATCTCACACCATGGCCCGTCCGTCTCGATCTGCAGCCTCTCCAGCGGTATAGCTCGCACAACTTCTACGTTTTCTTCCGTCTTCATCGAGCAGCCGTTCACGCCAATGTCCAGGCCCAGTGCGACGAGCCGCTGCATTTCTTCCATTGTACCCGTGAAGCTGTGCACAAGACCCATTCGAGGTAATTGGGGTAATCGGGCAGAGAGGAGACGCTCAAAGTCATCGGCGGCGGCACGCGAGTGCAGAAAGAGAGGGAGCTGCACTTCTACGGCAAGGTCCAGTTGCGCCTCGAAGTACTTCAGCTGCTGCTCCTTTCCCGTGAGGAACAAGCGGTCGTAATCTAGCCCTATCTCGCCAAATGCCACCGCATGTCCACTCCTTTTAGAATCCAACGCAAGTCTCTTGAGTTCCTCCAGCAGCTTCGACGGCCCTCCTGGATGGCTATCAAATTGTTTTGCGGAGCAAGGATGTACACCCACCGTGCCGAAGCACACACCTGGGTGGGCTTTGGCAAGATCGATAGCGTGGCGCGACTCTTTTAAATCAGAACCAGTGATCATGAACTTTTCACACCCGACGTCGAACGCTCGTCGCAACACTTCTTCGTAGTCGTCCTCGTGGGCTTGTTTGCCATGGTACTCGCCGCGGAAGACAGGATCACCTAGGTTTATACCAATCTGCAAACTGTCAGTATCTGGATGCAGGCTAGGGTGGCATATCGCGGACCAACATCAATGTAGCGGAGCTTCTTGCTCTGTGGCTGTGCATGTACCGAAGACGTTGATGCCATCCTGGACGGGTGGGTGGTGGTCACAGATTTCCCAAAGACACGGGTTCCGAGGGGAAAGGATTTCGACGACGCTGAACCGAAGCGACAGAAACCCAGGCCTCTTACTATCTGCATCTATACTGTAAAAAAACGTCTGGTTTCGTCGTGACGCAGGAACAACGACGACGATTTGACATGGTCCAGCCCCTGTCGTGGAGCTTTCATCCGGCATCGGCATCCCACATCAGAGACGCTCCCGCTCAGCTTCTTCGGAGCTGCCAGCGTTCGAAGACCAGATGAGCGAGACAGTGTCCATCCACGCTTCAAGTCTTCGCGAATCACGCTGCCTTATTCACGATCGGCGAATCCGGCCAAGCCTCGTGTAGAAACATGGTGCATGCACGGCGCTGACATCGTGGGCGATGTAACTGGTTCCCCGCCATGCGTAACGTGCATGAGCTGAGGCCAGGTATCAACGATTACTTACCACATGGAGAATTGAAGTATAGATCCAGTGTCTTCCCAGGCTTGCTTTCATTGATTCTCCTCTTCACACATCCGTTTATATTCCCGCTCTCATAGTCATTTTCGTTGTGTAATCGCAGTCATTTCAACAGCATGGCTACTCCAGAGGGGCATCCTGAAATCGACTGGGACAACTGGAAGCCTGCTGGACCAGGAGATGGTATGGACCGGTGCCCGAGAATAGCAAGAGTGCAGAGCATTATTGACTCTTATCGCCAGTCCGTTCTCCGTGCCCTGCGATAAACGCGCTGGCAAACCACGGTATCCTGCCTCACGATGGCAAGAACATCACCAAAGCCATGGCTGTCAAAGCCCTAACCTCAGCCTTGCATTTGGACGCGACAACGGCGTCAGTGTTCGCTTGGGGAGGGGTTGCCGCAAATCCGAACGCGGAAGAGCACAACTTCGACCTCAATCACGTCGACAAGCACGGTTGGATTGAACACGACGTAAGCTTGAGCAGAGAAGACATTGCGTTCGGCAGCAACAGCGAGTTCAACAAGGAGCGCTGGGCCGAGGTGTGGAAGATATACAAGGAAGGCGCTTTGACGGAGGGCGGCGCATCCGGCGTCGGCCCCGAGGAGACGAACTGGAAGAGCGCGAGCAAAGCGCGTTATTTCCGTGTCAAGCAGTCCAAGGAGCGCCACGAGGCCGCTGGAAAGGAGTTCGGCTACGGAATCAAGGAGGTCATCCTCTCGTACGGCGAATCCGCGCTGTTCCTCAACATGCTCGGCAAGGATGGCGCCGCCCCTCTCGAGTGGGTGCGGATTCTGTTCGAGGAGGAGCGGTGGCCGTACAAAGAGGGCTGGCGGCCCCCGAAGATTGTCGACCAGAGCATGATGAGACACGTCATCACCAAGCTCATGGAAGCGAACGAGGACAAAGCAGAGGAAGCCGTGCTCGTCGGCTTGGGAACGGTCCGCGCCTTAGAAGCTGCGGTGGCGAGTTTGATCAAGGTTTCCAGCCCTAGTTACTGTTCCGTCATGTAACGAGCACATCTTGGACTTCGTTGCTCCGGATGCAACGAGCGAGAGAGAGAGAGAGAGAGAGAGAGAGAGAGAGAGAGAGAGAGAGAGTCTGTGCTGGAGCCCTTAATCCCGCTGATGACGAGCGCATATGCACTTTGGAGACAGAAGAAAATGCCCTTAATCTGTTGAATATGCAACAAGGAACCATGTCGTTGTCCCCGAGTTAAGTTGTCAAGACGTAGGTTTTTTTTTTTTTTTTTTTTTTTGGGTGGGAGGGGTCATTCAGCCCGATCCTTTCGTCCTGAGACTTTGATACTCAAAGCACATCACCCGTCTTTCAAATCCCGACGACCGGTCTATTTCTTGCCATGCTATTGCCTCCGAAGTGCTTGCTTGATCTCGTTCCTGTGAGCTGTGTCGACCGCACGCTTTGACGTCCCGCTGGTCCAAAGGTCGGGACAGCCTCTGTCCAGGAGTTCCTCCGCTGAAGAAAATGCCGTACTTGCGAAACGTCTCCGTGATCCTGCCATGTTGGCCGTCAGTCCGTGCAATGCAACGTCCCGTGTTCGACAGTCGAAAAGGGGACCAAGACTCGTGCCGTGCGGCAGGACCACGCCGACTTCGTAGCCGAGCCATTGCAATCGTCCCGCTCGTCTTCTGTCCGCTTTGGTCACGCCCGAGACGACAACGTAGCGCGTGGGGCTGCGCGAATTGAACAACGAGGCGGGCCATAGGAGCTCCGTGGCCTTCAGACTCTCCCCGAGTATCTCGCATGGTGAGGCATATCCGCAAACCTCAGGAGCGCAAAGCCTTTGGTTGCCGGGGAGAGGAGGGGTGCCTAGATGTGACGACAGTGAAGCGGTAGTGTTCGCTCTATTGCTGTCTTTTTCTTTTTCATCGCGGCTTATTCGATCATGTAAATGATTGTGACTGTTCTAGCGACGACGTTAGTGTGTGCCACAGTCGATATCATAGTGATCGGATCTGGGCGGTGTCGACGAGGTCACCTGGATTACAAAGGCAGTTCTCACATGCGGGTAATGGCATCGAACCCCGGTATAAGCTCTTGAGACTACGACGGCTTCTAGGGAACTGTTGCCTGCCATAACAATGGTTTCATTTGCATGTCACCCTCATCGGCAGAATAAGGGGTAAAGAGGTCTACGGGCGAAGTTAAAGTCGATTAAGTACCCTACATATTAAACAGGCTTCGTGTTTATTCAATCCTGTCTTTCTGTCTAAAGTTTCGCCCTAGTCTCGTCCTTTTTCAGCATGGCATCGGCCACATTCTTTCGTTGAATTTTACCAGTCGCCGTCTTGGGCATCGTGTCAGTGAACCAAACTCTCTTTGGCACTTTGAATTTGACCACTTTGTTTCTCATCCAGTCCACGAGATCCTTCTCCGTCAGCTGATTGCCGTTTTTCAACACGACGGCAACACCAATATCTTGCCCGTATATCTCGTCGGCAATTGCAAAGCAGACCGCTTCGCCCACAGCAGGATGCTGTACCAGAATGTTGTCTAGTTCTATCGGCGAAATCTTCTCGCCGCCTTTGTTGATCAGCTCCTTGATTCTGCCCGTGATGTAGACATAGCCTTCCTTATCCATCTTTCCTTGATCACCAGTGCGGAAGAAACCATCTTTGGTGAACGAGGAGGCGTTCGCTGCTTCGTTGTTTAGGTATCCTTTGGTTACGTTCTCCCCCCGTATACAAATTTCTCCATTTGTTTCCCTCGGCAGCTCGTTCCCGTTTTCATCGAGGATCTTGACTTCGACACCCTGGCCAATGCCAACAGACCCAGGAATGCGTTTCCCTCTGGACGGCAACGGGTTCGAACACATTTGGTGAGCTGCTTCGGTCATCGCGTACGCCTCCAGAACGGGGGCCTTCAACGCCTTTTCCAGTTCATGAAATACCTTGGGACTGAGAGGGCTTGAGCAGCTTCGTATGAAGCGAATGTTAGGTACTGGCTGCGGCAGAGGTGATTTGAGTAGAATCTGATGGATGGTTGGCACGGCGGTGTACCAATTCGCTTTATTTGCGATGAAATCGGACCAAAATTGCTGCGCAGAAAACTTGGGTGGTACAATCACAGAACCTCCCGCTGCAAGTGGCGCAAGAAAACCAGCCAGCAGGCCGTGGACATGGAACAGGGGCATGACTAGGTACGTCCTGTCTTCAGATGACAGATCGTACGTTGCTTCGATATTCTTCATTGTCCTTGTGAGGTTCCTATGCGTCAAGGGCACCGCTTTGGGCCGTCCTGTGGTTCCCGAAGTATGCAAGACGAGGGCGACGTCATCTGGCCGCGCGGACTCAATCTTTTTGTCCCCATTGCCCTTCAGTTTCCCAAGCTCTTTCACGTCAAGAACGACCTCCTTGCCATTCGAGTAACACTCTGCGATGGCCGCATTGTACTTTCGAGCCGCTCGTACGGCGGGTGCATCTTCGTCATACGCACCCCTGGGAACAAGGGCTAACGAGGAACTCAGATCGTCGATGTAGAACTCGAATTCAGACTGTTTATAGGCCGGATTCAACGGGGCTGCAATGCTACGAGGTACGCTTAGTTGCCTATGTCATAGAACCGCGTCGTCTGGCTTACGCTCTTTGGAAACCTGCCGCAAGGAAAGAGACCTAGACAGCCAGAGTCAGCTCTCGCTGTGAGATTGGAGTCTAGGGAAGCAGTACGATAAACTCATAGCTGTTAATCAGAGCAATAGATACAGCGGCTCCATGGCCGATGCCGAGCTTTGCAAGCTTCCGCTGGAAGGAGCGGATCTCTGCGTCGAGCTCGGCGAATGAGACGGACAACGACGTCGAACCAGGAACAATCACGGCCGTAGCGTCAGACTTCGCGGGCAGCGAAGTGGCCAGCGTTGCCATTACGCTTGTCAATAAGAGATACGGCGAGTGATTTTTGTCTTTTTTTTTTTAAAAAAAAAAAAAAAGAAAAAAAGGCTGGAACGGAGAGGACTGGCAAAGCAAAAGTTGATGGAGAAGCCGTGTCATCGCCGAACCCTTTGCGTGGTTTCACGCCGATTCTCCATCCAAACCACGTCTCCGCACGTACGTGACGGGCGTGCCCCTTGGCCATCATGCAGACCGCTAGGGTATTGTTCATCGATAAGTTCTTAGCTTCCCATCACCCGACCTCTGGACTTTGCAAACCCAAATTCCGCCTTTGCGGCGAGCAGATCTATGTTCAGAAATTCCTAGCGGCAAGCTCTTGTCGCACAAGACTTCGAACGACGTGGCTTTGTCACGCGCGCTTACTACAAGTCCCAAAACCCCTTCTGCCGTCGCACCCTGCGACACGTCCCGACAGCATCTGCTCACCTTTCGATGTTCCTGGCCGTGGCAAACAATGAACTGATGGTGCGAAAAGCGAACGATAACGACGTCTCGCTGGCGTCCGACACCGGGCAGCGAAAATCCGGGGATCATCCGCCCGTGAGATCTCTTGGTCGATGCACGAACCTACATCAGCTCTAGTGCTGCCGACAAAAAGGAGGTTTGGAAAGCTCGCCACGGACCGATGGTGGCTGTCCCGAAGCCAATCATCTGGTTATTTGTGCGTTGCTTGTGATGAGGCTGGCGACGGTCAATTACCACCCTTCCGGGCCGGCAAAACACTCCACCACCCCGGCCGTCAACGAGCGACGAGAGATATTTTTGTACTGGGGTGCATATGATTGCCACTCCCATCGGTTGATCGTTACAAGCATCATGCTGAACCAATATTCATTCCGTGCATTAGAGCGCATCGTACACGGCAAACGAACCGAATCAATGGGCCACGCTTGTAGCACTACAGAACCGTTTTTTGGCCTTCTGATGGCCACTGCGTTTTGGCTTCTCGGCCAGGACCACATGGCGTCCTCTGAAGGCTTCTTCCGAGATTGGTGACCTCTCCTCGTTGATCGTATAAAGTTCAGTGTGGATCCCCCTTCTAATTCTCAGGTTGTTTTGACTTCCGACTCAAGTCACAGAACACTTTTTGTTTCAAATTCACCGTCCCATCACTCGCTTTGGGCCTTTTCTCATCACTCTCGTTCTTCTTACACATTTTCGTAATAGCCAAGAATCCCCTCGGCCAAAATGCGTTTCTCCGTCGCTCTCGCTGTTGCCGCCGCCGGTCTCGTCTCAGCCCAGACCGCAACCACGACTGCTGCCAGCTCCGGCTCGACTTGTGCTGCGCAGAAGTGAGTAGCTCAATTGTATCTGCTTGTCTATTCTTTCTGAACTCTCTCACAGCATCGTCGACTCTTGCTTGGCCACCACGAAGATTCCTCTCGATGCTTGCGCACCCAATGACTGGCAGTGCATGTGCGATGCCCAGACTCAGGTCGTAACGTAAGTCTAAAATCGGGGGGTTCCTTCTGGAGAGCGTAAGAACGCGTTCTAATCAGCCGTAGTTGCTATAACAACTGCCCGGGTGACCAGGACAGGTTCGCCGCTGAGCAGCAGCAAACCTCCTGGTGCAACGCGGCCAAGCAGCTCGCACCATCTTCGTCTTCCAAAGCTTCTACTCTCGCCACGTCCGCCACATCCGCAGCTTCGGTTAGCAGCAGCACTGCTTCCAGCACCAAATCCTCCGCGTCCGCATCTTCCACCTCACTGCAGCAGAACGCAGCTGGCGTCGTTGCTCCGGCTACCGGGCTCCTGGCTGTGGCTCTTAGTTTCTTTGGTCTGATGTGAGACCGGTATCGAGGAGGACAGTTTGGAATGTTTAATGTGGCATGGTGTGTCTTGGCAGTTCATCAACACCTGCGTGGATAGGTTCGGAGGCGCTATAGTGTCTAATATATTCCATTCCACACATCGATCGTGTCCAGATGTTCCAATCCAAACGTAATCTCAACATGAAAAGTGCAGGGATACCGACAGCCGTGATATGTCCGGCATTTTCAAGAGTCTGCTTGCCTACAAGAGAACCATTCCATGGTCATCAGCAGACTGTCTTCACGGAGCACATGGTCGAGGATTGAGATGTTATTAACAGGCTCCGAAAGCTGGGTGTGAACTGATATCATGGTGTAGCACAAGCCTTGCTCTCATGTACCTGCTGCTTGCGAGCGGTATGCCCAATGGCTCTGGCTGTCTGCGTGCTCTACGAGCTCAAAAGAGGCTTTCTCAAGAGGCTGCAAAACGGCGACACAAAAACAGCTTTGTCGACCTTGGCCACCGTCTCCGTACAGGACTGCGGTGCAGTCGCAAGCGCGTCTAGCATGTACACACGCCGACTGATCTCGTAAAGACAGCTAAGGCGCCTTCATGCGAGTCAGATTGCTGAGTCTGCCGGCGCCGCTCCCAGCTCGTACGATCCCTAACGAGAAGTGGCAGCCGCACTTCGTAAAGAAGGACGCGAGAAAGCTGCAAATGGTTAAATGCCTACTCAGAAGAGCTTCATGTGTATAGCGGGCGCAGTGCACCAAAGTTTATTAGCGGACTCATCCCCGTCGTTGGCTGGCGTCAGCAGCTGCCCAACGCTTTGCCCCACGTTTTGAGCCGTCCCAGCATCACCATGATTGGTTCTTCGCCACAATCCGTCTCCAAGTCGATGATGGAGACAGATCTGGGGTCAAGTCTAGCGGCATTTTTTGCGGCATTAAGTGAGCGACAGCCGGGCCGACTTGTAAGTGGGTTGACTAAGTCGTACTGTCCCACCGCGCACGACAGCGGTGACGCTCGCCAGTTTTTCTACCCCTCTTGCACTCACGACGCTTTCCAGGACGTTCGGAACCTATTCACTAACCAGAAGGCAGCTTGCTGTTCCTAACAGTGTGCTCGTAAACGCTCAGCACCGCAAGCTATATAAAACCGCTAGTCTGTCGCCGTCGGATGGAATGTCGTGACGTCTCGCACGACCGCATTGGCCTCCCTGAACGATGCACGACTCTGTGAAGACTCCAAGTACGGGGCAAATACCAAAGCATGGCAAGCATGGCAGAGCCGAATAGAGGACCTTCGGTTTTGATCGTGACCACTTTGTTCTGTGTGCTTGCTACGATTTTTGTTGCGCTACGCATGATATCCAGGATCGGCATAGTCAAGAAGGTTGACCCAGACGACTATGTCATGCTTTTGGCCTGGGTATGTTGAACGTCCATCGTCTTGACGTCTGGATCGCTCATGATTTCAGGTCATTGCCTTTTGCCTCTCCTTTTCGATATGTTATGGCACGGCCTATGGACTCGGGCAGCATCAGAGCACTATTCCTGCTTCTCACATGGGAAGACTGAAGAGAGCCGAGTACGCTTTCTCGGTCCTCTATGTATAAGAAACCCCCTTGCCTTACCTTCAACCCAGCGCTAATATATGCAGAACCCTTCGCTCATGGTGACAAAGACATCGATTTTACTATTCTACCTGAAGCTTGGCGCGACGGAGCTAATCTTCCGATGGGCGTGCTACGCGACTCTATCCGTGGTCAATCTCGCCGGCTTAGCATTGACATTCCTCAACATCTTCCAGTGCAGACCGATTGGCGCGGTGTTTAAGACACCAGTGCCCGAAAATGCATACTGTGAAAACATTGTAACTCTGTACTTGTCTTCAGCGCCTGTCAACATCATAACAGATCTGGCCATTCTTTTCCTTCCGATGCCCATACTGACAAGTATGCGCCTTCCTCGGAAGCAGAAGAACATCCTCATCGTCACCTTTAGCGTTGGCTTCTTTGTTACTGTGATCGATGTCATTCGCATAGCGTACCTTCAGGACGCCGCAACGGCCAGAATTCAGGCCTTGCTAGCTGGTGGTGGAAACGACCCAGGCCAAAGAAACAATTCCGACATCTCATGGTATGCCTCGCTCTCATTCATGTGGTCTGGCGTCGAAGCCAACATGGGAATTATGTGCGGATGTGTCCCTATGTTGAAACCACTGGTCTCTCGGTTCATGCCGCAACTACTTCGCGACATCAACGTCAAGAATTTGTCGAACTCGAAATCACGTCTGGGTAGCGAGAACAAAAATGACTCATCGAACGGAGCATCTTCTCGCGCTGCCAACCTCGCTGAAATCATGCAGCCTAAGGAGCTACATCTAGAGCCAGCGGAGGCCAGCTGTTCGTCAACCAGTCATGGCGCTGGCGAGGAAATAGAGCCGGCAATAGGTGTCCTAGATTTTCTCACCACGCCCGAGATGAAAGAGCTTCCCCAGAGAGACGTAACCAACTCTGGCGCGATCAAAAACCCTGTCACTCGCAATGACTACTCCACCTTTTTCGACTTCGTGAACATGCAACAGCGAAAAAGCTTGGTCGAAATGACTCTTCGCGAATCACTCTTTCCCAATATCATGGTTACCATCCTCTTCGTGATCTGGGGTGTTGCATATGGCTTCCTTGACACGCTAAACACACAGTTCCAACAGTCGGCCAACATGACGCCTGGTCAAACCACCGCTCTTCACAGTGCGTACTTTGGGGGATACTTCGTTGCTCCACTCACGTTTGGCCGACTGTGTCTCAAAAAATGGGGCTTCAAAGCATGCTATATCGTTGGCCTGTGCACATACGCTTGTGGGACGCTGGTATTCTGGCCTTCTGCCGTTCTTACTTCTTTTCCTGCCTTTCTTGTGTCCAATTTTATCGTTGGTATGGGTCTCTCAACACTCGAAATTTCAGCGAACCCGTTCATCGCGCTGTGCGGGCCTCAAAAGTACATGGAGGTCCGTTTAAATCTGTCCCAAAGCGTTCAAGCCGTTGGGACGGTCGTGTCACCGCTGCTAGCTCAAAAAGTGCTCTTTAAATCTGCCACAAATGCTTCTAGCCTAGTGGACGTTCAGTGGACGTACCTTGGCATTGCTCTCTTCTCCATACTCCTTGCAGTGGCGTATTTCTACGTTCCTCTTCCCGAGGCTACCGACGCCCAGCTCGAGCGTGCTCAAGCACGTCGCTCAGACTATGCGAACATTGCTTCCATATCGGGTGTGCGCATCCTATGGATCTCTCTCACTCTCGGTGTCCTCAGCGAATTTGCATATGTCGGTGCTCAGGAAAGCGTCTCAACGTCGTTCAATGCGTTTTACGCGGAGGCATTTCATTCCCACAATATGGACACGACGTCCTGGCTTGCTATCGCTCACACAGCATTTGCCGTGAGCCGGTTTCTAACCGCGGGATTGAACTGCTTCATCAAAGCACGATACCTATTACTGTTCTTTTATGCCGCTGCTGTTGCTCTCTCGGCCGTGTGCATGACGTATAGCGGTGTCACAGCGCAGACAGCTCTCATACTTCTCTTCGCATGCGAGGGTCCAATATTCTCCATTATTTTCGCCAGCTCGCTGCGCGGCTTAGGGAAACACACCAAAGACGCTTCTGCCCTCATAACAGCGGCCATATCTGGTGGTGCGAGCTGGCCACCAATCATGTATGGAATTGCTACAAAGACACATAGAAGTTACCAATACGGGTACTGCGTCATCATTGCGGCATTTGCCACAGGAATGCTTCTGCCCATCTGGCAGAATATACACCCTGTAGCGCGCAAACTAGCGGACCCAATGCCAGACGACGAGGACTTCATGATGCCAGTTCATTCTTCGAGTTCGGGAATGAGAAGTTCAAGCTTCTCAAGGCCAAAGGCTATCTTCAAGAATAGAAGAAGAAAAGAAGGGATTTCGGGTGTGGAGCATGTTGAGGAAGTGCATCGTCATGGTACTCTTTCTAGAGATCTACCACACATTGGTATTCTGCCTGGCACGCCATGATGGATTTGGATTACGTGGCATGCTTAATGAGCGATTCTTTGTATATACGTTTGCAAGATACCCGACCTTATTGCAATAGTCAAGAACTCATAGCACACTGCCTTTTTTTTTCAAAGCTATACATGGATACAAAACAAGACGATTCTGTTGTTCTTATATTACACAAGCATATCCCACTTCACCGAAAGGGCGACATTTCCCCAGCAACATCCGCTACCGTGCCGATAGTCGTCGCTGGTAGCCGTTCTCTTGGCGCCATTAATTCTTCTCTTCTTGACCTCTCTTCCTCTTCAGCAATCGCCAATTCGCTCAGCCTGGCTGCCTCTGGAGACTCGCCATCATCAGCATCAATTTCTGCTCCACTGTATCCCGCCACACGAGCGTTCTTGATTTGATTCGCTCGTTCAGTAGCCCATTGCTTCCACTTCTCAAATTCCGCATCTTCCAACGGCTCTGCGATAGCATTCGGTCCGAGATTAAAGTATGCACCTGTATGAAGAGCCTCCTCCTTCGCGATACGCCGCTCGACGTCTTCAAAGTGACGATGCTTGTAGAATTCATGCCGCGCAATGTCATAGGCGCGGTAATGCGATACAGGCTGCGCTTCAGCTGATTCTTCCGATCTATACCCATGCTGCTTCAGGTACAGTTGACGCTGGACGACGCTGCATAGATCGTCAGTACTAGCTGCTACATTTCATACACGTCTAATCAGTACTGTACCTTTCGCCATCCATTCTCTTTCCCTCCTGTTCCAACACGCTCCAATTGTACGACTTGTGATCATCGCCCGAGTCCTCGAGCACGACTCTCGGTCTCGCTAACTCCCATGGGTGATCCGAGAAGAACTCTTGACGCAGAGCATCCTCAGGATAACGTATTCGTTGGGGCTTGTACATTCCCTTTGTCAATTGACTCTTGACTGGCCGTGTTACCCGTGGCGGAGGCGGGATGTTCTGCACAACATCGTGCCATACTGGTGGCATCGAGATGCGTTTCGTCTCGAGAGCTATATTGGCAGTGGAGAGGATGCGTTGGGCACGGAAGTCATAGCGGCCCATCGTAAGCTTCTTTGTACCGTTGGCGAGCACGGAGTAGCGAAGGATTGAACTTTGAGGTCAGATTTGTCTTGTCTCCGCCCAGAGACGATTGCAGGAACCAAAGACGGCGAACAGATCAGGACAATAGCTCGCCCTGGTAAGTGTTCAAGATAATGCAATTCCCTTCAGATCAGCATTGTTTGTGCTGATCATGTCAAGTTTGATGGAGGAGAACGAAAGCGTCGTGCGTGCGACAAAAGCTCGCGGGCTTCTCCATTGGGAACTTTTCACGCTCCGCATTTCCCTTTTCGAGCAATCAATCAAGCAGAAAAAGTTCACCTCATTGACCTTTTTCAAACTACCCACCAGCGCATCTTCCTGCCCTCATATTTAATATAAGGTACCTCCGAAAAAGGTCTAATAAACGAAATCATGGTTGCTACTGCTCCAGAATATCGGGTATCATCCACTGCATAGCTCTGTTGCGCGGTATGTCCGCCGTCTCATGTCCTTTCTCCGAACCTTCGAGCGGGCGTCGAGCTGCGGAAACACGTACGAGATAGCCTCCTTCTCTCTCTCGGCCTTCCTATGCCCGATACTATACGATCGTATACGCCCAAAGACGACAAAGCAGCATGAGAGACAACGAACTGAAGCCCTATTTCGGACGCTTCCTCCAGCCGTCGAACTGGAGACATGCTTCATTGCAGCCTTGGTGCGAGCATCATCTTGTCACGGACATTACAAAGGTCGCTACAGGCCGCAAAATCCCCTATCTCAGTATTCAGGAGCCTGCAGACCACGAGAGCTTCTGTCAAACACGGCCTTCCAATGTCAACGAAGGAATTACACCAAGACTGCAAGATGTGCACGCAATTCCAGCTTCTCGGCATCAATTGGAAAGGAGGACCTACATGCTTTGGTCGATATATATGGAGCACGAAGAGAAGAGCATGAACATCAGGTAGACACACCGATTGATCCCGTGCCTGTTAGGGTAAAGTCCTCAGAACAGCCATTCGAAGACGCAGACGTCGTTGAAAGCCATTATCTGATCAATCCCGAACCTTCTTCAGAAGCCTCACGGATCCTTGCGGATTTATCTTCCCTGCTGGAAGATCCTGACACGCCTCATGAAGTTATCTATGCGCTATATCGGCAACTTCCTGGCAGTCGTATCTGCTACTTATCTGTGGACTTGCGCAAGCGTCTACTAAAATTTCTTTCCCAAGTTCCAGCATTCCGCTTCAAAATCAAGTATGCCGACAATTTTCTCTCTATATTACACGACATGCGGGCAGAGAATATTCCTGTGGACCTCGCACTATGGTCAACCGCTATTCGCTTCCTAGGTCTGAGCGAAGGTCCTCATCAAGCTGTACGAATGTGGCGCGAGATGGAAAATCACTACGGCCTGAGAGCCAACAACTACATCTTCAGCATTTTGTTCGACTTAGCGGCCAAGCACAACAGCTTTGCACTTGCCGAAATGATAGAGAAAGAGGCACGCGAGCGGAATGTCAAGCTTGATCGCATATCACGAATGTCGCGAATTTTCTACTATGGCATACTAGGCGACGGCCTGAATGTGCGTCGAGCATATGCCCAACTTGTGGAGGCAGGCGAGATCGTAGATACGGCTGTCCTCACAAACGTTATATCTGCTCTGATTGATGCCGGGGAATATCCAGCTGCGGTGGAAACCTTTGAGCGCATGAAGCATCTGCATGCCACAAAAAAAGGTGCCACCCACGCGCCCAACCTCTGGCGCGAGAGACGCGAACTGCGAATCCTTCTGACCAAAGCGGGACATCACTACCGAAGACGGCCAGAAGAGCGGCAGAAATTCCAAGATTTGGCACCCATCAACCCAGACTGGCGCACATACCGTGTTTTTCTTCGCTATCACGCACTTGTGACAGGCGAATGGCAGGAAATTGAAAGGCTCTTATCCGAGATGCGCAGGGCCAAAATCAGCCTGAATTCCGAGATCTACGCAGTTATATTTAGCGGCTTTGCAAAGCACGGTGGCATACAGCTTGCCGCGTGGACCAGACACAACCTTGAGAGCCTCTGGCAGGAGTTTAAGAAGGCCAACACGGAAGATCCAGTGGAGAATTCGCTCAATTCCCATTTAGTATCAATGATTATGGCGGCTTTTCGTCATTGCGCAGACCGCACGCGGGCGAGATCTGTTTGGGAGACGATATTAGAGAGATGGAGGCCTCCTAGAAGGCTGGATTTGCGAATTCGCCAGCTGCTCAAAAAGTAGAGGGCGCCTTAAACGTGCGGTTGATCACTAATTTGATCGAGGCTTTTTGATATCTGGTATACCGACTTGTAAATATTGATCTCATGTGGATATGTACGGATGTACTTGTGTATGATAGAATTATGAGTTCTGCTCTGACGTCTTGTAGTTCCGCCACGTGATGTCGCGTCTTCAATCACGAAAAACCTTACGCGTGCTCTTCACTGGCTCAAGTGCGACAAGAACTGCACGTACTACACCATATCTATAAATAATCACTCACACAATGTTACTCGATGGATATGGGAACATTTTGAGACGTGGCAATTCAGAGATGTAGCGGATGAAGGAATGCTGAAACGCTGCTGCTGCTTCTTGATAGCTTTCGCTGATTTCGGCAATTTCTTCCCATCAGGTTCTAACGAATTCGAGTTTCTGAGCAGCAATAATGCCAGGAGAGAAGAAAATTCGGCACTCTGAGATCGAGTTCTACTTGCGGAGAACGTTCGGAAAGTCCAGCTTTAGGTGCGCGGATTTTTACAGACCCGAAATATGACATACGAAGCGGGTGACCAACAGATTGTAGGCCAATGCAAAAGGAAGTTGTCTGTGCTGCTCTCGAGGGCCATGATATATTTCTACAGGCTGCAACGTCGTTTGGCAAGAGTTTGTGTTATCAGCTACCTGCTGTCGTGGACTTTGGGCGTGCGTATCATCGCACGATGCAGACGTTTCTCTATCTAACTGATCAAAAGTAACACTGGTGGTTTCACCGCTGCTGGCTCTGATGAACAACCAGATCTCCATCTTGCGTGAATCGAATGTCCGCGTCGAGTCGATCAACAGCGCCGTGTCTGCGGAAACACGTAAGGCCATCATGGCCGATCTACAATGCGGGCATCCCAAGACAAAGTTGCTGTACGTGACCCCCGAATTCTGCGCCATGGACCACTTTCGAAGAGTGCTTCGCATTGTACATAGTCAAAAGGAGCTTGCTCGCATAGCCATCGACGAAGCTCATTGCATCAGTGAGTGGGGCCATGACTTTCGCCCAAAGTTCCAAGAATTGCGGTTCTTCAAAGACCAATTTCCAGACGTACCGATGATATGCTGTACTGCTACTGCAACACAAAGGGTGCGTGAAGATGTTGTGTGCATGCTTGGGCTCAGCCCGAACAAGGTGAAGGTCTTCACGATGACGACTTGTCGTCCAAATCTGCACTACGAAGTGCGATTCAAATCCGACGAAACCGATCAATATGGCGACTTTATAAAGTGGCTGAAGGCTACACACGCTCGTCGTGCTTCGTCCCAGCGTGCTGCACAGCTTGCTCAATCTAACGAGCGTCTTGATAACGTGAGCGGAATCATTTACACCATATACCGTAGAGATTGCGAGGCTCTTGCAGAACAGCTGCGACGCGACGGTATTGGCGCACGCCCCTATCATGCTGGTCTAAGCAATGAAGAGAAGGACAGAAACCTCGCAGGCTGGGTAGCGAACATGGAAGGCTACGATGTCATCGTCGCGACAACGGCTTTCGGCATGGGAATCGACAAGGAGGACGTTCGTTTTGTTGTGCACTGGCAGATTCCCAAGTCTTTCGAAGGCTTCTATCAAGAAGCCGGACGAGCAGGACGAGATGGCAAAGCGAGCGTGTGTATAATGTACTACTCGCGCGAGGATGGGGCACGTGCCTTCCAGCTCTTGGATGCCGATGGCCAGCGAAAGCAGAACAGCGTAGCCAAAGGAGCTACGCACGCGGTCGACCACATTCAGATGAGAAAGGCAAGCCTGACGGCGTTGGTGAACTACTGCGAAGAGGTGGGAAGGTGTAGACACCAAATGATCTGTGATTATTTTGGGGAGGAGATTACGGCGCCATGTGATTACGCATGTGACTGGCACAAGTATGGTGACAAGCTAGCTAGCATCAAGGACCGTGTCCTTGTCTCCGAGGAGTGGGCCGACACGCAAACGCAAGCAGGAGCTTATGCTGTTCGCAGCGATGACTAAATACTCTGGGCGAATCGTCATTAGGCCGAGGAGGGCGGCGCAACACGGCCTTGAAGCGTAGGGAGAGGACGGGATGACAGTCGACAGTACAATATGTCCAAAGCAGGTGTTCCAGGGCTCGATTGCTGATGGTCTAGGTGTTCTCTAAGCATGATGCTTCAAAGTCAGTCCAGCGAACGAGTTGAGACCAACGGGCAGTTCCAAGTCAGACGTCAAAGGATTCAGGGTAAAGACGAACGGATACCATGACTACCCGGATGCATTACAATGGATCTCTCAATCTGCCGCGAGCTCCACGATTTCACAGAAGAAGAAGAAGAAGAAGAAGAAGAAGAAGAAGAAGAAGAAGAAGAAAGCGAATGACGCGTAATGACTCCTAGTCATGCTCAAGAACAAGACCAAATCAGCAGACGTCTGGGGAAAGAGAATCTTCTTGATGCCAAGGCCTGCAGACATACAGACATACCGACGCTTTGTAGCATATGGAAGGGGCTTTGAATTGAGATTGCGACTCTCTAGAGCGAATCGAATGAATTAAATTGTTTTGCCTGAGTTTGCGGGTGATAGAGCGAGAACAGCGCGTGTAATCGAGACAATCGGCTGATAAACGAAAACAAGACGCGCGGTATCTCGCAGTCGTGCGCATGCAACCAAAAGGTTCCAAGACACATGTTTCGCACTTCCTACTCCCTATGTGTCTATCACAGCTGTCCTTTGCGCTTCAATAATTTTCTGGGGTATCTTCGAACGTAGGCGATCTACAGCCTTTTGACCGCACAGATTGTCCAGGTCAGGGCGGTCGAGGTAGAATCGACGAGTCATTGGTCGCGGACGCGACATGATAGATTCGAGCTGTCACAACTTAGTCTGCGCCCCGACTTCATGCCTGTGAGGGATGTGTTGAAGTTGGCGATACCTTGGACGCAGCTGCTGAAGCATTGGACGGCGATGACGTAGATGCCGACTCCATTGTGAGGACTGGGATTGTGACGGAAAGGCGGATGTCCCAAATAAAAAGAGTCCACTTTCGTGTGTTAGATGGATCAGTTTGGCTTTTGTCTCTCGACTAGACTGTGCCCGCAAAGGAAGAGAATGGTACAAAGCGACGAAGCTACTGTGTATCCATCTGCCCGTCCTCACTCAGGGGCCTCGTCTCGCTCCTCCTTTCCACCACACTAGAGAGCCCGCGGTCTAGCGTTTAGCCACAGCTGCGCCTTCAACCGTCCATCTCGAGCCTGGATCGACCGATGAACAAACATGTTGCTTGCGAGCGTGCGTAATAACAATTTGGCAAACCGAAGCCTTTACAGCAAGCACGTCTCACTGCTTGACTCCCCCTTGCCATCGGGTCTTTGATTGACAGCGCTCACTGTATTCCAGATCGCGTCGAGATGAGAACCAGCGCCTTGTTCCACGGCACTGCGTGCTGTGGCAATGTCTAATCACAAGGACCATCGGCAGAGCCACAGTTTCTGAAGTTGAAATCCTGCGTCAGTCGGTCGTGTTTCCAGGCATGATAGCAATACTGAACATGAATTGGACTCATGATCGGGTTCATGCATTTTCGCTCAACTCTATTCGCAGCACAGTTTGTATCTTGGGGTATCACAAAATCCGCCCACACACAAACGCCGTATTCAGCGCTAACAATTTCCCCCCCACGTAACCAAACATGACGATTCAGACTTCAAACTTGTCCATCTTATCCAAAAGTCCCGAGAACGGGCATTGCTTCAGCTCTTCCGCGGGCGTTCCGACATCGCTCTGGGCAGGACTACTGAAGTTCTCATCTCCCCCACTGCTTACACTTCCACTGGGATCGACCATTCTCTTGCCGTGCAGGAATCCTTCTCTTTCACTTTGCGGCGACAGGAGCGGCCTTCTCAGAGCATTACCATCCTTCACGTGCCACCGTGCAAATAGGTCGTTTTGAATCCATATCACTTTCCCTACAGCCTTGATGAGCGCGGCCTTCCTCTCCGTTTTCAGTCTCGGATGGAGAAGGATTTCGTCGGTGAGCATTTCCTGGATGAAGGCCAAGGTCATGCCAATATGCACATAGTCAACGTGCAGTCCGCGGCGGGTAGTAGCCTGGCAATGCATCATTCCGACCTTGTCCATGTACTCCCAGAACTCGAATTTACTTGGATCCGAGCATATTTTTTGCAAATAACCCTGCATGAACAGTTTGCGGTAGTGGATTTGTGAGGAGTCTTTCGACGGGAAACTGTCGCTGGGACCGGCCCTTCCTAGCTCACGTTCAATAAATGATTTGGCGGTGATGTCGTACTGAAGCAGCTTCGAGTAGACTTTGTCTACAATTGTTGGTATAGACGTCCTAATGTACTTTGAGCCAACAGTGAGGGCTTGGATATCAGCTGGATCGACGTTAGCAGGAGAGAAGAGAACGCGGCGGAAGGACGTACAAGCGTTAAAGTCCAGGAAGGAATGGAGGTATTGTATCCGCGCGTGGAGATTTGAATGTATGTCGTCGTGATCGATGTGCTGGACTCGTCTGGCGGGCGCCATGCCGACAAACCCCGATAGCAGGACAGCTCAATGGAAGGCAAAGATGGAGAAGATGTGCGGGAATATCAAAGGTGATCGTGAAGCCATGTGGTGAGCAAGTCCAAGAAAAAAAAAATCAAAACGTATCGAAACAGGAGCCCGACGGTAGTCCGGCAATATGTAGGCATGAATAATAGTGGGCCATTACTAAGTAGCAACTCAAGGCTGGCCCACGCGAGCAGCTAGGCCTTGATCAGATCTCTTAACGTCAAGGGAATGAACGGAGGGTCAGACCGCAAGGAAAGCGAGCGAACGCGCCGGCTGGCCGGTCGTACCATTCTCCGGCAAGGCTGGAGAACTGCTACGCAAGTTTCCGAAGGCCCCAGGGGCACAAGATGATCGGGAAATCTGGGGGGAGGGGGCTGCTGACACGAAGGGGAGGGTTTGGACGTCTGGGGGGCCACATGGAGTGATTCTTCGGGAGAATTCGCGTCGGCACGATGTGCGCTGAGTGAAGGCCGGGAATTAATGTCGCCGGTCCGTCTCTCCGAGCTTGTTTCATTCCACGGCGACAACCCTCAGCCTCAGCAGCGTGTCAAGGAACCTTGTTCGTTAGCGAGCGACGCCGGTTCTTTGGGGCACGCGAATCTTGAGCGGTAGGTCGCGCGAGAAAGCACTGGGAATAGGGCGTATGCTCCGCACTGTGGAATTGACAGAGCGTAGACAGCAGCGAAGCAGTGTACGATTCCACAAGTGGACCGCAGAATCAACGGCCCGTCGCTCGTTCGAGAATGGCGGGATTTTTTTTTCTTTTTTTCTCGAAGCTTACCTTTTCAGGCCGCCAGCGGTCGAGGTGCCAGTGCTCGGACGTGCGCCCGCGGCACACCCACACTGACAGGGCCGAGAAGCAGATCCAGACTCCGCCCTCATCGAGAATGGAGAAGCAGGATAAAGGGAGAGAATGAAGGTACGTCCGTGGCATGCTTCACCGTGCTCTGGTTCGGGCCGACGCATGCTGTCCGTTGCAGGCGGGCGAACAAACGACAGCTGTCGGCGCCGGCAGCGTTCAAACGCGCCACTGTACGCGGCGGGCTGCGGAGTCTGGAGCGCGTCGATCACGTGCCGCCGTGTGTGCCTGGCTGCGCGTCGACGTCAGTGCTTTTTTTCGCTCGTCTCTCCCTCTCTTGGCCGAGCTCAAGTGCACGCACGTGAAGCGCAGCAACACGGCCAGTCCTCTTCAAATAAGTTCGCCAAATACCATCTCAACCAGGACCTGGGTCCGTTCTCGCAATGCCGAGAAAACCAGCAGCACCGAAGCCGAGGGCTTCCATGTCGACGTTCGCTGAAAGCGATACGAAGCTGCCCCAGATTCGGAGTGCTGCTTTCGATGGCTGGCCCAAGCACAAGAAAGTAAAGATAGGCCACGATGCGGTCCAGTCCTCGGCCGACAATCCAGCAGGAGAGCCTGAAACCACCTCTGCTGTAAGGTCCCAGCCCAATGCGAAAGTTCGTCGGCCTGGCCACGTATGCCCACCGCTGGCACCACCAACACCACTATCCGCCACCCAGCTGAAACCTGTGTCGAGCCACACTCCGATACTACCCAAAGACGCCGACGATGTCAAGCTTCGCGCGCAGCATGACATCCATAGCATAACTGTGATGCCCAACTCAAAGATGGAGTCCAAAATCCAGCAAGTTCTTCGCTCCATGCCCACTCTCGATCGAGACTCGAAATCCTCCGTGGTTGCACTCACCGCCCCTGCAAAGGCAGCTAACAAATGTATTGGCATCGCCGAAATCGCAAAAAGAGAGCTTTGCAGAGATGATCCTTCCAGAGCCGTGTACCAGTACACAGGCTGTTGGACCCGTCTCGAATCTCGGAAAGCTCCTCGACAGTCTTCCCTCGAGGCCTTGCCAGGCGTTCTCGACAATACCGCTACGAGGACGTCGAGCTCTGAGCACTATTACCTTCGCGACCATATGGATGATGAGGAGCAAAGTGTAGAGGCCGAAGATTCGGATGGCGCCTTCGAAGACGAGCACTGCGCTGAAAGACCGCTAGTTCGGGGCGTTGTCTGTTTGGTTATTTACCTTTCCACTAAGCCCGTGTCACGGCTCCACGAGCTTTACGGAGAGCAAATCTACCGTCTAGATCAGGCGTGATGAGTAAACGACCTCCAGAAATTGCTTTGGTATTATCTAGTATAGCGATGAAATCCGAATTTGAACGTGGGCGGCCATCATTCCAAACAAACACGGACAAGAAAAGTCGTGCGCGGGTTGAAAATTCACAAGGCAAGGTCTCCCCCGTCGAGACCTGTAGTTGCATTGTGATGCGGTCATATTTTCTTCATGTTTGTGCTGTGATCGTCATGGTCAATAGGGAGCCAAAACATCAACCCTCCCCTTGACTTGGAAAACTTGCCCGTCGCTTTAAGAGATGGGTGGCTAATTAAGTCACGATTCTCCTACCAACGTCACGTTTACCCCAACACATTCACGGCCAATGCAGTCCACAAAAGTACTATATGTGTGTCACATTCAGCACAGTTGTTTCGATACCCGATTCCCACACGAAAATCATTGCTTTAGTTGAGAAGTCTATTCCCGCAACTTCAGTGATGCCGGAAGTCGCCTCTTGGATTAGCAGACTGAAAACATTTACCTTCCAGCTAGATACTCTGTGCTTCTTGGGTAAGATTATGCCTTCGACGCTTGGGACTATACTGATCTTCTGTGTAAGGACGTATTGAGCATTACTCAACTTTTTATGGGGCATCACTGGTTCTTCATTCACTTAACAAAAAACATTTCTTGCGCAAGGTAGATTGAGATCGACATTCTCAAGTTTAGTAAATCAGCTCCAGAGCGCTTTCAACAATTTTTTTGCGCTGAGCTAATGTGGTTTTCAGGGACTCGGATGTTTTTCTCCCAAATTTATCTGCTGGAGAACAATAACAAAATAAATCCAAACAACGCTGAGACATGACACGAACTCATCCTATTTGAGTTACTTTCCTGGTTTCTAGGGTGACATGGACTACAGTCGGCTAAGGGTTTTTTGTCTCGACTGCCTCTACGACTGGTTTGAAAGCTTTCGACAGACATAGTTGACAGCTGGAGGAACGATGTCTTAGCCAACAGACTACTGTAACTGCGCAGACATTGGGCAAGCAGCAAAGATCGTAAGAAGGATGTACATTTGGAAATCGCTCAAGGCCTTACATGCTCGGAAATCCATGATTATGGATAATCAGTTGAATCTTATAAGAACTGAAAGGAGGATCAGTGTTGCTCGCCAATTTAATTCTGGTGTTGTGAACCATGTCAATTCTTATCAAGGACGGCTTGGCATAAGAAGAGGCAAGACAGATACAGAATGTTTAGTGGAGCGGGGAATATTTTGTTATCTCCCAATAGCTTGAGTTGCGTTTGACAGCCATGGCATAGCAAATCTTTTTGGCCCACAGGAAATCATCGCTGTATACGGCAATGATTTCACCAATGTACCCCATCACCATAAGTTCAGTATCCTAAAACATCTGTGCTTACTCTCACCAATGCAGCCTCCCGCTTATGGTTCTCAAAATCCTCCGAGTTCCAATGCGGTTATCTTCATAAGTGTTAGTTTAGAGCTCAATGACGACGTCTCGGTTTTGAGTTTGAATACACATTTAGAATGTGAAGGTACCACAACGACCTTCCAAGTTGCGGCGTCTTCAAACCGGACTCATGCTCACCACGAGAACGCATGGACGGTGCTTTGTATCGGATAGTTCGATATTGAACAGGAATCCGTCCTAATACACGGGCTGAAGCATCTGCTGCCGTTCTGCATACGCTAGACATAGCCAATCTGATGACGACGTTGGGAAAGGCTCAACACGTCCACGAGTTAGAACTCGTTAATAATTGTCGCCTCGAGCAACCCACTGTATGGGACGACAAAGTGTGGAAAGCCAATGTGCACACTCGGTCAGGCCCAGCTGCCCTTGCCTGTGTTGACGTGATCCTCTCCATGCATTCTGGAACAACCCCCACATCGCGCTCCATTGTTGACGATTTAGAACCGTCGACACCGTGTGCGGAGCCTGCGGCTAGGTATGGGAAGAAGTATCTCACTCAATATACAATGAGCCGTAAGGGGTTAGCCACATTATCATATGCCGCCGTATTCATCCGCGATTGCTCGACAAAAGAAGTAATGCGGCCTAGTGAAGGCGGCTAGCAGGGCGTTTCTCAGTCGCGTAATCTTTTAATCTGAGAGTAACAGAGTTGTAGATCCGTTAAGATCACGTCCTGTCTTATGTTTATGTAGAGAAACAACGAACGAATGAGAAGCGTGCATCTAGAGGCCTGTAAGGCGTATATGCCTCGGAAGCCAGATGGTTCAAATCAAAGAGCGAAGACAACACTCGCAAAGTGATGGGCTCAGGAGAACGAGCAACGGAGTCTGGAAGCCAGGGTTAAAACGGGAGTGTTGAGCTCAACAAGAACCCACCATCATAGGCCAACATCTAATATTCATGTCGTATCGTCTCTCAGAAGTCTGCGAACTTCCCTCGAGGAACGATTTTGTTCATCCTAAATTTCTCCGACACGGTTGACAACGTAAGCGAGCACATCAAAAATCGGTATAAAAAATTCACACGATCCTTTCTTGCCATGCGTCTCACTAAACCTGAGCGTAAGGTTAGAAAATTGTTAGCAATTTCTTGGATGACGCTGACGCGCTGTCTACATGCTCATGATGATCGTTACCGCCGATTCCGCCCACTTAATGATCGCGCCTTTGCCAGGAAATTGGTCCAAAAAGTCATAAACACAATTGCTAACAACGCAAACGCCATGATCTGAGTCCACCATCCTTTGATACGAAAAATGCATCACATCTATTTACAGCAAACGCAACAAGTCGACATTAAGATACCGATGCATTATAAGCTTTGCACCAAAACGCTATGGTTGTTGCTCAAGTGGCGGTCCAGATATCTCTGTGCTCAGCCACGAGCGACCTGGCTGAGTCAATTGTGTGTTTCAAGTGTTTGACAACTATAAGAAATCTTGTATGGTGACGCTAACAGCTTCCAGTCATTACCAATGTTTTTGTCCTTGGATCGATGAAATTCACACCGATGGAGGAGGCGTCGCTTCGTTAGGATCTGTCGAGGGATACATCTTGGCGATCTGTCCAACTCGGTGTAATTAGCTGCAAGCGCTTTTCGTGTTCAAAGAGGCACAGCCGGGACATGCAACTCCGGGCTCGGTTGCTTCGGAGCTGCGGTAGGTGAGAGCGCCACATCACTGAAGCATCTTCAGTGCTTGCCATATGCAGTAGTTACCAAGGACCAACCCTGACAGGCTGGCCGTGGCCGTAGGTACCGCTCAGTAACTGTTGACGGATGCTTACTGAGTCTCCTTGTCCGGAGGGCTGTTCGTTAGAATTGCCCATCCAGCCCAGACTCGTCCTCAATTCGTTCATAGCCTCTTCCATTTTCCCGCCACTCATCTCATTATGTTTTGCAAGCTTCTGGTCCCAGCCCTGGTATTGCAGTTGTATCCCTGCCCCTTTTTTCGCAGCCTCCCGAATGACCAATGCCCATGCCTTTGCTGTTTCTTCGTAACCTTCAGCTTTGTGCCGATTATGCTGGAAGCTCTCCCAGTTCGGTAGTCGATGCAATAATGTAGTGATTTGGTCCAGGTAGTTAAGCGACACGCCCGGTTGCGTCTCGTTCGGCGGTAAAAAGTGCGGGGTGTAGTCCTTCAGCGCATCGTACATGTCGCCCAACTGCTGTCGCACTCGATTATATGCATACTCAGACGTCTGGCTGCCCACCGGAAAAGCCTGTCGAAGGCTGACTTCGTATCTCTGCAGGATTTCCATGACAGACTGCACGCTGGGTCTCGGTGCCGAGGTGACAACATCAGCAGCGATATCCGGTCTTCGATCGCAAATCTGTTTCAGCAGGCCCCGCATCTCATCTGCACTCAACGTCTCTAACAATCTTGGCAGAGTGAGCGGTCTACCACTCATGTTCGTCCGTGGACGCTTTAGACGCCTCGAGGCCGGTGCGGACGTTGGGAGGGCGCTGTTTGGAATTGACGGCGATGCGGACGGGCTCTGCGACATGCGATCGGGGTCGTCGGCATCGTCACGTTGCCGCTTTCTCGAAGATGAAGAGGAAGACATGAGGGAGGTGGCGGTGGGTGAGGAATATGCTGTCGAGTTGAGAATTGATGTCAGCTTTGAGAGTGGAGGGGCAGCATCAGGGTACTGCGTCGTACATCGGTTGCCGGGCGAGAGCCGGCCTTCGAAGATGTTTGGTGGAAATAGCGACTGCGTTGGCAAGACGCTGTTCATTATGGCTGCGCTTCGACGTCCCTGAACAGGATCTCCAGGGCAGACGACGAGGCGGTTGGAGCGTGCAGAAGCGAAAGAGATGCTAGGTTGGGTGAGTGTGTGTGGTTTTGTTGTGGAAGGGAATCAGCAGTCCACTTGACGGTCAGTTCGTTGGCCGGGACAGCAGCTCGCCAAGGTAAGTTAGCGACTGCAAGGTTTTTGCCTGGCCTGGCCCGGCGCCGTTCACGCTGCGGCCGGCCTGCTGGTCACGTGCTGGCCACGCCTCAGACATCCAGCTTCACTTCCTCGTCGAACCTACACGACCCATCCACATCGCCGTCTCTCGCACTGGTCACACAAGTGCGCGCGCCTGGCATACGCGCCCCGAGATCTGAGGTCCATGGCCGATTCGGCTGACCAGGCACGTTCACGCAAGGAAGAACGATGCTGCCACGCCCGTGCTTGTCGCCACGTGCAACATGGAGAGCTTTACGCCATCGCACATGATGAAGATGGAAGAGTCAATAGGCACAAGCGATTGGCGGCCAGGTTATGCACCGCTTGCATTGAATATCCTCGCCCGCTGCAAGTCAACACGCTTGAGTGAGGCCACGCATAATCGGTGCTTGTGGCACCCACGATTTCGCTCATTGTGAGCCCATAGCGCTATCTCGTCGTGGAGCCAGGTCCGCCGGCACGCATCGGAAGCAACCTGAACGCAAAACTGCGCAGAGAATCGCAATTCATGTGTACATAGGGGGGGTACTTCGTGCAATAAAACGACGTGCAGAGTGATGCTCGCCTGCTCAGCTTTACAAGTACAAACTCTGCGCCGCAACAAGATCTCGCCTAACCTTGCCCAAAGCAGTCTCAAACTTTTCTTCCAGCTCCCCGCTCCCCATTGTTTTCGAGGCCTGTGCCATTTGTCGAAGCAACTCTTCCAGGCGTCGGAATAGGCGAATCAGGCTGCCTTCATACACGTCGGTCATTTTGCTAGGTTCCCAAAGTCAGTTGTAAAATTCATAACGCGAGGGGATCATCAAGAGATGCACCGTACCATATCTCTGCAAATGTACTTCCTCCACACCAAGCATAAACCACCTCCATCAGCTCCGGCTTGAAGCTTTGCAGATACGTGTCCTCGTCAAGAGACAGCTTACTATCCCTTGAAACTTGCGCTACAATCCTCGCCTGGCTCACAATCTCTCGATGCGCCTTTGCTAAGCTGTCTCGTATTTGTGGCACATCCTTTGTCTTTTCTTCGAAGATGAAGCAGCTCAACGCAGCGGCACATTCTTCAGGCGAAAGCTCATTGAAGAAGCGATTGAAAAGCAGCTCGCTAAGCACGAGTTCGTCACCTGTGCTGATCTCGCACGCGACGCGAGCCTTAAGTTGGACAACATCTGCATCGTTGATGAAGCCGAGGCGGCGCAAGACCCGTTTGCGATTCTTGAGCTCGTCGAGCTGCTTGATTGACAGAGCTGCCTGTATTTCTTTTCGCACTTCTTTGATCCTTCTGTCCAGCTCCTTCTTTGCAGAATACTGATTGTACAGTCCTTCGAGCCGCGGAGAGTTGTGAAGCGGATTTGCCAGCAGTCGCGACTCGAGCACTTCGATTTTCCGAAGCAGCTTCTTGAACGAGTCATCAGTGATGCCCATGTTCTCAATCGGGTCAAGAATCGCAACGCCGTCCGGAAATCGCTTTTTAACCTCGTCAAGGCTTTTGCGCACGGCCGCTCGATCGTCCTTGGAATACAGATTCTTAGGTAGGAAGATTCTTACATGACCAATAGCTACTATGCACGATAACAACACCGGGACGACCTCCATCTTGCCTTTGTCACCCGGCGCAGGCGGTCGGATCCCGTCAGGCAGATCCGAGTGAGTCTTTGTGCCGACAGTTACGTCCGATGCGACAGGAAGTAGCACATCGACAATATATGACTCCTGGGGTTGGAAATCCTCTTTCTTTTGACCTTTTCCCGGTCTTCGTTCCAAGAAGTTCACCACCGCACCCCAGCCAAAGTCATAGTCCTGATATTTGATGTGCACGAGTCGACCAGACTGCAAGAATTGTAGGCAGTAGCTCGGATGCTGGATCACAGCTCGCATGTCAGCAGCGTATTGATCAAGTTGCTTGCGCAGATCATAGTACTCTTTCACGGTTGCCTCATCCTCGATTATGATCGAAGCCCGCTCGTTTTCTAGTTCAATCTGTCTCTTTTCTAACGAAGAAATGCTTGCCGTATTCTGGAACTGGTAAAAGCATCGCTCAAGCATGTATTCGGGGGAGATACCCTCCACGCGCATCAAGTTGAGGATCATGTTGTATCCCAAGTAAAAGGCCGAATTAAGCTTGTCCTGTTCACCTCGGACAATTTCTTTCGCGACAGCAGGTTCCATCTTTTCGTCAATCATCATAATAACAATACCACGCTCATCAAGGCCACGACGGCCCGCTCTACCCGACATCTGAATAAATTCAGACGGTGTCACCCAGCGCTGCGAAACTCCATCAAACTTGCGAACACTAGTGAAAACGACGGTTTTCGCCGGCATGTTCAGGCCAATCGAGAAGGTTTCTGTGGCAAACAGCACCTTGATCAAACCCTCTTGGAAGAGAATCTCAATAACCTCCTTCAAGATCGGTAGAAGGCCAGAGTGATGAACACCTATACCCCGCTTGAGCAAAGGCAGGATATGCTGCACTTGCGGTAATTCTCGGTCATCAGGAGATAACATCTCTATCGCTCCTTTAAAGACCTTCGTAACTAGCAGCTTCTCGTTCTCTTCGTTAAATGACATCTGCGCCATTTGTAATGCGTAGTCCTCGCATTCTCTCTTACTAAAGCTGAACACAATGACAGGATTGTAGTTCTTAAGCATGATCATACGGACGATCTTGTATATGTCTGTTTGAACCTTTTTACCGCCCTTGTTGACCTCTAGCTTCTTCTTCTTGCCTTTAAACTTCGCATCGGGATTATTGGGATCGTCGCCTTGCTTCTCGGCTATTGCACTCATGGCCCTCTGGAAGTTCTCCTCACGAAATGTGCCCTTCTCGTCAACAACCAGGTGGATCCCGTCTGCGCCAGCAGGGAAGAGGTAGTGCTGTAGTGGTGTTGGTCGAAAGTCGGTGTAAACCACGTGGCATGGTTGATTGTGCGTCTTCGTGATCCATTCGGCGAATTGCATTGCATTAGGAATAGTTGCAGAAAGGAACACATAGCGGACTTTGTCGGGTAGCAAGATTATCGTCTCTTCCCAGACGACGCCCCGCTGCGCGTCACGCATATAATGGACCTCGTCAAACACGACCCAAGCAACCTCGCGCATGATTTCCGAGCCGCGGTACAGCATCGATCGCAGAATCTATAAGCTATGAGCGACTGCAGAAACACCAGGAGTAGCGGCTATTACCTCTGTTGTCATTACGAGACATGTCGCCGTAGGGTTGATGGTCACGTCACCAGTCATAAGCCCGACGTCGCCAAATTCAGCGTTGAATTCCCGATACTTCTGGTTGCTGAGGGCTTTAATGGGACTGGTGTAGATGACGCGTTGGTTGTTCTGCAGACATTGTGCGATCGCATATTCTGCAACCACCGTCTTACCCGCGCTCGTATGCGCAGACACCAAAACGCTCTCATTCCTTTGTATAGAGTACACTGATACTTGTTGGAATGGATCTAGGGTGAAAGGATAGGTGCGAGCGGGTTGCTCAGGCGGTTTATGCTGTGATATCGGTACGTAGTCGAAGTTGGGAGGCAGAGATACCTGATGTCGGACTTGATGATGTAGCACAACAGCCGGAGCATCTTGTGTCGAAGCTTGTAGTCCAGCAGAAGCAGCGACTTCTCTTGCCTGGTCAGTCTCGAACTCATCGGCGACTATGGGTCCTTCTTCGGGTGCGAGCCGCTGCCGTTTCGCCTCTGGCTGCTCGCCGTTTGCCTGCACATCATGCGTTCCTTGGAACGAAGCCGCAGGCTCTACATCTCCTAGTGCTTCTTCAGCGTCTAACAGCTGCGCGCCTTCCGAGGGAGACTTCACATATCCATCTGCATCGCGCTTCTTGCTCCTGTTTGGCCGGTGGCTCTCATCATCCTTGCGAGATCTTTGCGCTGGTTCGTCAAAAACGTCGAACAGCTCTGAATCCATCGCTTCGAGATACGTAATGCAAAGATGAGAGATGGGCCGTCGTCGTTCTATATATTGGGCGCACAAAGCTGAACTCAGTAATCAAGGTGCGATAGAAGAAAAAGTCGCATGCTTTATGACATCTGAGGCAAGGTAGCGGAACGCTAGTCCGATATTGTAATAGCCTGTGCCAAGACTTATAGGTCAGAGCGAAAGAGCTTCCTTCCACTGGAACGACTTCACCCGCAGTTGCTCACACCACACCAAAAAGCACTTGATTTGACTGCTCTTTCGCGCTCAGATTTATCAGAGTACGTCTCAATCTCAGTTCTTAGAGGTCAATGAAACTCACAATTCCTAGATGATCGCCCGTTCCATGCAGTTCACTGGCCGGAGGGCCTTTTCGACCACTCGGGTGATGCAGGGCGGCCATTACGCAGAGGGTCCTGGCAGCAACATCCCATTCAACCCGAAGACACGCTTTTTCTGGCTGCGATATTGGGGATTCATGAGTTCGTCACATTGCTCGCTCATTAGGAATGCGTGCTGTACTGACAAGCCACAGCCACCGGTTTCCTCGCTCCCTTCGGCGTCGCTTGTAAGCCCTTCCACCTCGACATATAGCTATGAGTACTGATCCATTGATTAGACTGGCAACTGCACAAGAACAAACCATAGATTACCGAATTTGATACACCACGGAGGTTTCCCGTGTGCGCAATAGCAATTATGAGAGGACTTGCTGGACACTGCCAATGTACATAACATGAATAGATTTCGTGTTCCTTATAATCGGGCCATTCGTAGTCGCCTTCTTAGATTTATAAATTGCTTTTCTTTGATACAATATCATTGAACCAAGGACAGGCCGATGATAGGCTCTCTAAATGCCACAAGACATTTAGGCGCTGAAACATAGGTCACTTAAGTTCACTGCCACGCGCACGACAGCACCACAATCGCTTATATCACTCCTAGACCTTCCCTCATGCAGAGCTAATGTCGATTTCCGAAGTCATATTTTCGGCAGACCCATGTTTTGAAACATTCGATTCTGGAATTTGGCAGGATGCCGCTGCAACCGGGATGCGCATTGAACCATCTCGCCCAGGAATTCGGCAGCTGTGCTGTGTTGTCCACGCTGGCACTGAAAATTTGGTCTAAGTTTATCTGTCTTATTTGGATATGCTTCTTCTAGAGCTCTTGACACCTCTAGTGTTGGGAGAATTAATTCCAAAGTCAAGAATGATGTAGTGTAGGAGCAAAGATGAGTTTGATCTTCGTCATCACTACCTGCTAACGTCTCTGCTGTCTTATCATCTGGGTAGGCTGCTACAAAATGGTTACGGCGGAGCCTGTCATGTCATGGGCTTTGGTGGAATGAATTCTCGCGTAAACTTGTCACAGCGCCCAATATATGCATCTTAGCAGAGGAATTGATGTCTCACTGCTTGTTTCCATTTGATTACTTCGGTCACGATGATCCCAAGCGGTATTGTTGGGAATACTCTAATTCTCACCACGTGAGTTCCCAACGTCCTCTTAGCCGTCAGTTTACAAATTATACCTGCGCATACATCATTCCTTCCTTGGTGCTTATAAAAACTTCGTAGATAATATCCTAGAAAACCCGTAGACAAGGCGTGACTTGTCATACATTTCAACTACTAACAAGAGCTGTTCTTTATCGCTGGACATATTGTCTCGGCTAAAGCAACAACAATTACGTTCCACCAGATTCAAATTTCTGATTGAAATTCCGTGAGAGAGTCAGGGCAATTATAGCTATGCTCATCTCTTCACCCACCCCGCCCTACTCATATCCGCTAAAAATCGCTCATGGTGTGCTTAGTTCTAAGGACTTGTACTTCAACCGCATCAGACTTGGGCAACAAATTTTACATTTATCACAAGCATTGGACCTGCATTATCCAACTCCGAACTCTTATGTGGATCTGGAAGCAAGTCGAAAAATTAGCCCTGCCCTGCTTTTGCGCTTTTTAAGGCATTTAAGCGTACATATTCCGAGAAGTTCCGAAAGCCTACAGTGTTGAAAATATATACACCAACTTCGTAAGCTTTTTTTGACGTCTCTGGGGTCTTTTATCCGAGTTTGTCTCTGATTAACGGGCTTATTACGATTTTTGCATTCGTAAGCTATCCAAGGCGCCTTTAGAAGGAGGGAGAAACTTCAAATCGTTCAATTAGGTCAGAGAACATCCAATCCGTGTCTTACGGAGTTCTTATAGCGCTGTACACGATTTAATGCTCTTCCGTACTCTAAATCACTTTGAGTATTTCAGTTCCTGGTCAATTTCTAATCTGATGTAGATGCTGTCATCTTACAAGTCTTCAAGACGTCGCTCTTTAACTTAGGTCTCAAGCACTGTGATCAGGGTTGTTCAGTACTAAAAAAAGAGATGTATCTCTCATTGAATTCAATTCTATCTCTTTGCTTTACATTAACACTAGACGCTGTCTTGTGAGTCTCAAGTGAGAGCGCCCGTCTGATATGAATAAATAGATCCCGCAGACTCCTTTCCGATCCCAACAGTATCGAAATCCGAAATTACATTTTGCCTCGAATTTTATCTTAAAGCCGTCCTAACAAATTTGTCGTAATTATGAGGTCTCTAAGCTATTTGAGTTGACTTCACTATTGAGTACAGAGTCTAGACGATTTTGTTTAGGCTCCCTTCTAGATGAAGTCATTGTTTCCAATCGTTTCCGAATTTTTGCCTAAACCCATCGATTGATCGCGTAGTAAATCCATTCACGTTATTTCTACTATTGATAATGCTCTGTTTATTGTTTTGGTCCTTTCTTCTGGATCAGTATAACTATTTTGAGAGATCGATCTCACTTTCCGCCCCCGTCGAACAAAAGACGAATGATTTAGATTATATGAAACAGTCCACCACAGGTTCCTAGAGCTCATGAATGTCGCCGGAGACGTTTTGGCTCTGCAGACGAAATGGGACCAGGCCAACAAAGATTATTCACTCCCTGCTTTGGTCGTGCCTTGGTGGCTCTTATGTCATTCCGTTCCATCAGTAGAATTGGCAATATCCAAGGGAAGTAGACAAGACGTCGAAATCTATTGGCAACACATGTCATTCGACGATTAGCCTGCAAGCGACGAGCATATTATAGGGTCAACGCCCTACTATCGTGCAGTAAAAACCGAATGCCTGAAATTGTGACATTAACGGTGAGAGTAGGTGAGCATTTGATTTTTGGGTTAACAGATGTTTTAATTTTCGATGTGCCGGGATCCTTCTTCCTAATCAGTCGTTCAGGCTCCGACTCAGCTTTACAGTACTCTGCACAAAACTCAGCCGTAAATAGCCTTATAGCATACAACCGCCTAACATTTATGGTGGCTGCCGCTTATAAATATGAGTTAAAGAAACTTTTCTTTGGGATTCTTCGACGACTTTCCGGATCGAATGGAGACAATTGAACGTTAAAAATGGCCATGAAGCGTAAGGTGTAGGAGAAGCAAAGGAGGTGGTTTCTCACTATTCCGCAGATATTCATTTTACCCAAATGCTTGGCATGTTCAGCGATGCGGGTCAAAAGATGCTTGTCAACGCATCAAACCTGCTGTTACGTTTTACAGCACCGAGTAGGTGTCTGTGTCCTCGAATTTGAGGACATCTCTGAAGATTTTCAGAGAAACTACGGTGCACAAATCAAAGCATCCAAACTCCATGGGGCAAAATGCATGCTAAGGTGCAAATAGACATCAATTTCAGGCTTGATGTTGTCGAAGAGACATCTGGGTCCTACACTTGGCGGCTTGGAAAATGGTTGTCTTTTTCTGTAGCAATTATTTGCGAATCTCAGTTAAACTCGGTGTCTCATGTCCTCAATTTAGCAGCATAAAAATTTCCAATGTATACTGGTCTCTAATTTATTGTTTCTCAACCTAGATATCGGCATATTCCAGTAACATCTAGTATTCCGTTGCAAGGCTTATCGCATTTTAAATTATATTTATCAGAATGCAGTTCAGCCATTGTAATTCGGGAAGGGACAAAAATAAAATTAGCAAAATCCTATCGATGTCAATTAGTTTCTGAGTGGTGAGAGACTCATCGAAGAAGGAAGAACTTACAGCTCACGAGTTCTCTAAAGGGTCTATGAGTTGCAGAGAATCATTTGAACTTATGTCTCGTTCTCAAGACTTGAGCGGAGCTATTGTTAGGCTAATTGAATTTGCAGGAGTCTAGTTACTAGCATGCCCAGTTATAGTAACGCGGGCAGAGCGCATCGGCTGAGCAACTTGTCGCCGCATTTTTACTTCTACAACTCTATTTGCATTGCTATTAGTACGCCTGTAATAATTGATCATAGGAAACTCTAGAGGTGCTATAAATACGAACATTATGCCTTAGTTAACATTAAATATGCAGATGGAAATAACAACTTGGTATTTCTGATACACCATGCAACGATAGGAAGAAGCGTTCAGGGCGCAGAAAAGTCGGTTCCGTTCAATAGAAGCTACAATATCCCATCGTACGTAAAGCGATTTTGATGTTTAAAAGCCACATTTTGCCTTTGTGATATTCATTTTGACAATTCAGTGTAGAGGTAAATCCTAGTAATCCAGAAAAAAATCGAGTCATCGATTGACATTTTCCCACTTCTTGTATCCATTTGAGTTCACAGCTGACCTGATCTTTGGAGTCCGAATCGTCTTGCTTTGCGTTGTCAGATTCCTGCAACCGCAACCCAATGATCTGTCCAGGTAATCGCGTTTTGCCGGCGAAAAGGGGAGGATCTGAAACATTTGAAGATATATATTAGCCATGATGAGTTTCACTACGCTGCACTTGAGCTTTGTTTTGCCTCTGCTTGGCACAAAACTACAGCCTCAGATCCGCGGAGGATTGAAATCAAGAGCAAGAACGAGTCCAAAACGATATTCTTAAAGTCGATCAAAGCGCAAATTCAAGGACTCATCGAATAATCAGAATTTAGACCATTTGGAAACGTACTAGAGAAGCTAGTAGTAAAAGTTGTTGACCTGGACTTGCGTCTCGGAAACGAAAACTGAGCAGTGTCAGAAGCGGCTGCAAATTATGGGCTTTCGTGAGCAATTTAACATGGCTCTTCATGGAGCCCACGTATTGAAAGAGTAACTCTCACAGGCACTGTAATCCTGTTTCACCCATCAATTAGTAAAGATGACGGATTTGTTCTTCGGCATGTTTTCAGTAATGTTAGCAAAGACTCCAGTAAGAAGAATAGACTATACGCAAGAACCACCTCCGTACCCTATGAGTCCGCTAGTCAATAAGGCCAGTCAACCTTGTCATGATATTTCTAGCATTTTCCGTAGCCTACTCGAAGTTTTGGGTGTAGACGTTGACATCATCCTTAGAAGATTGTATCCTTTCTCGAGATACTACGGAAATGTCTTCAACATTGGTTGATCGACGATCTTGAGGCAGGATACTGCTTTTTAGTTATATCTTATGGAATTCTGTGATTCTTCCTAATCGGTGCATTATCTCTCGTTGGTAACAAATGTATCCGCGAGCTCGCGATGATCTAATTGATTTAAATACATTTAGGTGATAAAAAAACCAATTACAATGTTTACACCATCCAATTAAATGACATTATGTCTAGCGAGATGCTTTATTACCCCTCTGATCATTAACTCTGCAAAGACCGAAGCCGATAAGAGGCCTGCTGCAGAGAGGCCAGAATTTTGCTCTGATTTTTTTTCCTTTATCCTGTTCAGGTGACATATCAACTGCTGTATGAATTACTTCTATTTTAATTTCAAAGTTGTCCAGCGTACGAAATATTATTGTGTTTGTAATGAAGTTGACAAGATCCTGGAACGGTAGAGACGAAGCAACCGGCGTAAACTTCAGTGGTTGTTTGATCTCTTTGCTAATTTGAATTATTTTTCTTTCTATTCTCGTATTACTCTTGGTACAGGAACTCGCGGGATTAGCGCTGATTACGAAAGACGGCGCGATCGAGCAGCGCAGATTGGGCTCCATCTCCATTGCAAATTCACTAAGTCCTTATTGCAAGCAATATTGCAGTAGATTTATTATTAGATTACAGAAACCTCCCGTAGAGATTAATCCACGCATCCGAACTGTCAGTAAATCTACTTTAGAGAAGGAGCAGGTGATATCATATGATAGCCCAGGCGCACTGTTAGATGAGACCCGATATGTAACAGCAGAATGCGTCAGCGAAGAGCAATTTTGGAGAGATGTTAAGTTCAATCAAACCTTGACCATGGAGCTTCGACAGTCAATTCAAAGCAGAAATAAGCAGGAGTCGTCTTAAGTGACGTGAGGAAGACAGTACTTTAACAGTAGTATGTATTTCGTTTTAAATCGTTCCGAAGAAGTGATAAATCAAGCAAAATTCTCAAATACCAATGTAATATGCACCAAAAAAGATAACATTGGCTAAGTACTTGATTCAAACTTGCTATAATTGGATTTTATTTCCAAATTAGTGATACATTAGAGCCAGTGCTTGCCAAGAAAGCTTGAGTCTTGATTCGACGAACCCTTTTTCGTCTTGTACACGTTAGGTAGCAAGCCGTTAAATAGAAAGGAAAAAAAATAAGAGACCGTTATCCGACGTGCTGGTCTGCTTGAAGGGCTAGCCAGGGATATCTCACTGATATGGGGTATGTCTGAAGTCCCCACGACCACGACCACGTCCACCACCACGATAACTCCTCATTAGTCAGCATATTGGATTTACTGAAACAAATCACTGACACTTACCCTCCCCCAATGCCTCGTGGAGGGCCGTAGTTGCCTCCGAAAGGACCGCCGCGACCGCCTCGAAATCCGCCACGGCCACCAAAACCACTCATGGGACCACCCCTTCCACGTCCTCGATGCATACCTGGTAGGTTGGTGCGCTTAAGGGTGACCTAGCCATGATATTAGCGCCGCCCACGTTCTAGCGCTCCACACAGGAATACGAAGCGTACCTTCAATTGCCGGCCCCGGAATTCGCTGTCGTTTAGAACCAAGGCGTTGTTGACGAGGCTTGGGTCTGCAAACTCCACATATGCATACCTGCAAATAGCCCGATTAGCTTGCGTCATCCCAATCTTGCAATCCACCTCTTGCTGCCAAGCTCTTGCCAGGTAGCGAAAAGGCAGTGGTCGAGCCATCGTATTGAGGGGCACTATAAAAAAGAGAGCCAGGACAAGCAGCAAATGCTGCACCGACGATACGACCAATCTACACTTTTTTGGGAGGGACACATGCGCACGGCTGCGAAAACCATTTTTTACATTATTACTGACCCTTTTGGATGTCCCGTGTGCTTGTCCAGCAATATCGTTACGCGGTTGATGCTACCACAACTTTTGAAGTGGTCCTGTATTTCTTCAGGTGATGCGCCATAGTCGACGTTTCCTACAAAGACGCTGCGAGCATCGACGTCCTCTCTGCGCTCACGACCTCCGTGCGGGCCGCTATAGTTAGGATTGGTGGACTGTTCATGCTCGTTTTCCATTTTAGCTAGACGCGCTGACTCCTCTTCGATGGCAGCAAGGCGTGCCTTCATCTTGTCGAGATCCTGAAGGTCAGAGTTAATTGGCGCATGCAACGCTAGACGTGCCTTATTCACCTACTTCAGTCTCATAGTTGTCCTCCTGGATGTCGAGGCGAGCCTCTTCATCTCCCCTGTTACTATTCTCAGACATTATTGTCGGTTCTCGTGTTGGTATTTGGATATGCTCGTCTCGCGATCTCAGCAGGTAGAGGTTCGATGTGATGTGCCTGCGTTCTAGGGTCAAAGCAATGTTGCAAAAATAGTGCACAGGCGCCTCGTGCGAATCACTGCATCAGACCTCAGCAAATCGCGAAGTGATTATGGTTGACCAAAGAAGCACAGCGGTGCTGGCAGGCTTAAGGCTATAGTCTTCTGTTGCGCAGTTGCTTTTGGATGTGGCGTTAGTTGCATTCAACTGAACGAACTAGTCTCAAAACAGTATTCAACAAGCGCTCGCGCTCACTCGAAGTACGTTGGCGCATAAACGAGCAGATGGCCTAGGACATTTGCAGTATCGAGAACATATCTTGTAAACGAATCATTGCACATTGGGAATCCCACTGTAATTTGTTATCGTTTTTCGTGTTGCTTGAAACATGGCTGAGCAAGCTGGTCGCGAAAGAGAGATGTTACTGCCGTCGAGCTCACACCCGATGCCTTCACCCAAGCGCTTGATCAATCTACAACACTGGCTCTATCCATCTAGAAACTCAGATAATGGATATTTGCGAGATAGTCGCACAAAATTGAAACATTTCTTATCTTCCAAAGTAGGCCACTACGCTGTATTGACCCTCGTCATCTTAGATGTGGCTGGCATTTTTGCAGGTAAGAATCCATGGCTTCAGATGCAGCCGCTGTCGGAGTTGACACTGACAGATTTTGTCATTAATCTTTTCAAGTGCGAGAAACAGTGGGGAAGTAAAGGTTGGGACGAAACGCTTGAAGCTCTTGGCATGGCCAGCCTCATCTTCTCAAGTCTGTTCATGTTTGAACTCATTGCCTCAATATGGGCATTTGGCCTGGAGTATGTGCTACAAACTCCTTTGCAACCAATATGTACCTGACGACGAATAGATACTTCCGCTCGTGGTTTCATTGCTTCGATGCGTTCGTCATTACGGCCGCGTTCGCACTTGATGTGGCTCTTCGCGGCATTACTGAAGAAGCAGCCTCTCTCATTGTTATCTTGAGACTGTGGCGTGTCTTTAAGATTATCGAAGAACTTAGCGTCGGTGCTCAAGAGCAAATGGAGGAGCTTCAAGCCCGGATTGAAGACCTCGAGAAGAGCAATAGAGAACTTGAAGCAACTGCTATGATGAGGAGCACATGACACTTGGTAGTGTTGACTCCTTGATATTTCCTCTTACTTTAATCTGACTATGACTATATGGGTTCTACCATCTTGATTTGCTCCATGCCAACTACAGAAATATTAAATGGTGCTACTTCGAAAAAATTTTAACGTTCTTCGAGTCTTGAGCATCGCCAAGTTTCGCTAAGTAATATCTACTTGTAATCCAAATTTATTCTCTGAATAACTACCAACTCCCCAATACATGGTTCCTACCGACGACTCAAAGATATCTGGGTACTGCTCTAGGATCCCAGTTTTCTACGCTCGCCTTTCCTATGGCCGATCACAGTCCCTTCCTGGCAGCTCTGCGTCATGTCCTGCGAGGGAGATAAAAGTAAGCATGATACAGAGTATTATGAGTATAACATGAAAGAATAGAAGTTATGTAACCAAGAGTGATTATTTTGATTTTTCTTAGTTAAATAAGCAGAGAAAGCACTCTAGTTAATTAACTCTTAAAAAGTAATCTTAATAATTATATTATAATTTATACTTATAGTAATTACAAAAGGGTTCATTTATAAAAATATATCTTCTCTCTCACTAATCCTTTATAGTTAAACTATTTAGTTCATCTACCTTATTAATCTTAATATATCTTTATCTATAAAGGTAGATTTTATAATATTATAAATAGAGTTTCCACCTCAGATGTGAGGAACTGAGTGGGTGTCACGGGACCACTAGAAGTGATCTGCTCAAGTTATCACGTAAGGTAAACTAATAAGGCTATTAATTATCTATTCAGTTATGCTATACTAAAGTATTATATAATAATTAAGACGTTGCATAAAGAAGGGAAGGCCCAAAAGTAGTTCTTACTAAGAATATAAAGGGGGCCTTATCACACCTTTCCTAATTAGGATTTAGGTGTGCGCGCGGTAAAATTAAATTAGGAAATCAGTTTAATTTAGGAGTCCAGTTAGTTAATATTAGGTAATATTAGGTTATATTAGATTATATTAGCTGATATTAGTACTACTTTAATTAAATAGATAATAGGATAGTGCTAATTATATATCATAGAGGTAACCCTATAATAATACCCCCCTCCTAGCTGGTGAAGCCTCCAGAGAGGGGCCCAGGGAAGGAGTTCCAGGAGTTTGAGCTTAGGTATTTGGGTCTAGATTATCAGATATTCCGGTTCAGGTATTCGGGCCCGGTTATTTAAATTCAGGTGCTTAGGTTTAGTTACTTAGGTTTAGGTATTCAGGCTTAGTTATTCAGATTCGGGCGCTCAGGTTCAGTTATTCAGGTTTAGGTATTTAGGCTTGGTTATTCAGGTTCAGGTCAGGCTATTATAGTCTTGGAGCTTGTATTATAATTATTTAATATAGGATATATTTTATACTTTATATTTAGTAAGAACTGCTATTTTAAGTAGAGTATCCTTAGGTTTCCAGGTATTATCATCCGGATTATTATATCTACGCCATTTAACCAGAAACTGTAGTTAGCAGTGGTAGATTTATATATCTAAGATCTGTTTAACTAGGTATTCATCTTCTCTATCAATCTTAATTAGGGGTAGCGGCTCCTGCTACTGGCTAAATAGCGGTTTATAGCTAATTAATAATATCAGGTTTGATATATTAACTATAGGCTATATATACACTAAGCTAGGTAACTTTAATTTATATATATAGGGTAATACTTTTTTTTTAATCTTATATGGGCCTGTATTCTTCCAGTCCAGTTTCTTAGTTAAGTAATGGCTACATATATTCTTCAAGTTCAGCCAAACCTGATTACCTACCTGATAGTTAGATCCTATTTACCTATTATAATTAGCCTTTTCAGTATAGATAGCCTGGGCCTAGGCTATTTTATTATATAGGTGTTAGTTTAGTTTATATATCCAGCTTACAAAGCAGTCAATATTGCTAACTATTAGAGACTATAAGCTATCAGAGGGTAGCTTAAAACCCATTCGCGGGTGCTAGCCAGTGTTTACCAGGAACGGTATTATTCCTGTTATCTTATTTCGGCTATTATTAACAGTAAATTCTATTATAGATAGCCAGTTATCCCAATTATCTTATATATAATCTATAAAGCTTTAGAGGTACTACTCTATTTCCCTATTTGCGCGTTTAGTTTGGCCGTCTATTTCAGGATAGTAGGTAGTTAATAGGCAGGTGTTAATACAGAGGTATTTATATAGGTGTCTCTAAAAGAGTGATATAAATGTGCTTCCCCAGTCTGATATAATTATGTCTGGTAAACCATAAAGTTTCCATATATAATAGAGGAATAGTTGGGTGACTGTGGGCGCTGAAATCTCAGAATATCTAATAAAGTATTGCTGTTTAGACAGGTAATCTACTACTACCATAATATTTATATTATTATTAGATATAGATAATTTAACTATAAAGTTAACTGAAACATCACACTAATACTATTTAGATATAGGTAGGGGCTTCAGTATACTGGTATAGGTAGTCCTTTAAGCTTTTGCTTATAAGTAGATATAATAGGAGGCTATAAAATATCTTACTGATTTATATATCTTTAGCCAATAATAATAGTATAATAGAAGTTCCAGAGTCCAGGAGCAATCAGGGTGGCCCTTAATAGAAGAGTTATATATATATTAGAGTAATTTAATCTTTAGTTTATTATTATCAGGGACCACCATTCAGCCTCTATAATATAGGTGGTTGTTAATAACCTCATACTCAGCCAGAATAATCAGTTTTGATTTATGCTTACCCTTACTAAGTTAATAATAAACCTTAGTAATAAATTTATTATTAGTATACTCCTCCTTAATAATCTGCTTAATTAACCAGTCTATCTCTATTAGCCTAAAGTTAAAGATTTCTGGTTACAGTAATATTTACTGATAAAAATAGCGGGCCTCCTCTTAAGTAGGCTGATTCTAAAAGTATTATATTAGGATGTTAGACTTTTAACCCTGGGTGCCTGGTTAGTATATAATTCTGAAGTTAAAGTATAATAAGTACTCTAATTATTAAGCTTATCTATGGCTAAGTTATTTTATAGTATAGAAATATTGCAGGTTCTTATAGTTACTTAATACCTTTATAGGATATACTACTTCTTCTAGTTTAGGTTATTACTATTTAAAATATTAGATAATAGCTAGTAACTCTTTATTATAAATTTTATAGTTGTATTCAGCTGGGCTCAGTCTTTTCGAGAAGTAAGTAATAGGGTAAAGGACTCCTTCACTATCCTCTTATAATAGTACCCCTCCTAAGTAGTAATTAGAGGAGTCTGCCTCCACTATATAGGGTAGTAAGGGGTTAAAGTATTGTAAGATGGGTGCTATAATAAAAGCTGTCTTTAAGTGGTTAAAGGCCTTCTAGTAGGCAGTTATCTAAAGGAAGGGGATATCCTTTTAAGTAAGTTAGGTAAGCAGGGTAGCTAGTATTAAGAAATTATTAATAAAACAGCGGTAAAAGTTTATAAAGCCTAGGAATCTACAAATATCTTTAATATTCTAGGGGGCTTCCTAGTCTAGGATAGCAGAGACTTTCTCAGGATCTATTTGTTACGAGGTAACATGGTGATCACGTGAAGGGAGAGCGATCATGTTGATCATTCATGATCGAGGTGATCAGTCTGCATAAGCGAAAGGTTGTGATTCGCTCAGAAGGATTGAACGAATCAGGAATGCAGTTAGTGATCAGTCTGATCATTCATGATCAGAATGATCGCTGAGAATCAGGCAACAAGG